AACATCCTCCGAAAGAAAGAAAGATACATTGCACAATCGCGTTGTGTATGTATGTTTTTTGAAAATCGTGCACTCTTTCCACATGACCAGGGTTCTGCTGATTTATCAATTGCGTATCTCCTCTTATCATAGATACAGCACGGTGGATAGTAGGGTAAGTAGGGTAATATCGTATCGTATACTAGCTACGTAGTAACTCCACTACATGATCTGCTATAGGAGTCCCACTCTCTTCACTATAAGAATCCCCATATCATATACTCAGTATCTATATATCTATATATAATAAATACCCTGTACCTACACTAATTTCCTAACGCATTTCGGATCTTCCTTATAACAAGATGAGCTTAAAAGATGCAGGAAAGAGACGGTGGAAGGGAAGTATGAGAGATCCGAAATGGATTATTGAGCATTATGCATGCTATTTCTGAGTTGGATGGATAGTGAGATAGATGAATAGGCAGGTAGATAGGAACCAAGTAGTAAATGGAGTAAGCAAGCAAGACTACCTACCAACTACCACCACCACCACCACCACCACCACCCTACTGTTCACAATCCCACCCTCCCCCTTAACAAAAGTTAAAAAAAGAAAGAAAAAAAAAAGCACCAAAGAATCTATTTACAAGACCAGCCCATTGAAACGCGCAAACACCATGTGCGCCCAAACCCCCCAGATAGATGACACAGAACAAAACAAGATGAGACAAGACAGACAAATAGGGGAATAATGTACGGTATGAGTATGAGTATGATATGCATGCATGCATGTATGTGTGTATGCGCGGAGAAATGCAGCGGAGAGGATATATGTCGCTGGCTGAAGGAATGTAATAACCGGACCGAATCAAATACATAAAAAAAGCACAAGGAACGAATAGAAGAGAACGCTTCAACGTTCTACTGGTAGAGGTGATGGGGAAAGATACATGGGGAAACAGAAAATGCAGCTAGCTGTACATCCGTCGTGGAGGAAGAAAACTTTTTTTGCCGTTCGTTCAGTTTGTTGATAGTGGGTGGGTATGACCCGAGTTGTAAGGAGCGATGTACAATCGGTATCGAGTGTCGCCTTTTTGTGGCTAGTGTACGTCTCTACCGCGAGGGCAAGAGAGTCAAGGTTATCGCTCGGCATGCAGGTTCAGCCAGCTCATATCAGTGTTCTGTTTTCGCGTCGGGAGTGGCTCAAGTGTATCCGGGATAACGACGCTAGAACCCCGTGTGTTGGTACTCGCACGCACGCTGTCGTGCCGACGATAGTCGTTCACAGACGGTGCCGTAGAGGGAAGGTTGCTGCTGCTCGGGTTGTACACACTGGCGGTGTATGTGCTGCTCGCCGGGCGGGCAAGCCAGCTGCGCTGCTGTGGCCAGTGGGAGTCGCGATCCTGGTCGTAGTCGTCGGAGGCAAGGCTGATCGAGTCTGCGCTCGAGATGCGAGCCGACTGGCTCTCAGGGATGGCGATGTGGTTCCCGGACGGGTGTTCGGTGGTGGGACTGCCGGTGGGCACGCGGCCCAACGGCTTGGGTCCTTCGAGGAATCCGAAATTCAACGGCGTGAGCGAGGCCGTGGGCCATGTGCTCTGTCGGTTGTCTGCGCTGGCGGGGTTCATGGGCTTGGGCGCCTGCGTCGGCTGCGTGTCCACGAGACTGGCGGTGTCGTTGTCCTGGAAGTACCGGGCCCAGCCCTCGTCAGTCCTCCGATCGCCCGGTTGGCCGCCGCGGGCGGGACCGCGCGATTTCTCCTGGGCGGGCGGGGCCGTGGCCATGGCTGCCAACGGGCTCGACTTCATGGGTGGTTGGCGGTTCTGCTGCATCGAGGGGCGACCCCCGGCGGGGCGCGGTGATTTTTCGTCACCGACGTTGCCGGAGAAGATGGCGAGGGAATCGACCGATGAGGCGCCCACGGGAGCGGGGCTGTGCGCCATGGGGTAGGCCGACCGGGTCAGGGGCTCCACCCCCTGGTCTTGGAAGCTGAGGCGGTCCTTGTCGCCGGCACCCCCTTGGTCCTGGGCCGCTCGCTTCCGGCTATCCTTCTTGCGCTTCAGCAAGAAGAGGATGATCAGGAGGATGGCTGCGACGCCCAGGATGCTGCCCAACGTGGCGCCGATGATCGTCCCGACATCGCTGCCGCCGTCCCCGTTGCCGCTGGCCGCGCCGCTCTCCGACGGTTCACTCGACTGGGTGGCCGTTGCCGACGGCGAATCGGAGGTCATCGTGTGAAGAATCTGCTGCTCGGACTGGTCGCCGTAAAAGAGCCGAGTGGCATTGAGCCAGCCGTTGGCGGTTTGGTTGAAGATGGACAGGGATTCGGAGCCGCCGCCGCTGGAGAAGACCACCAGACCGTGGTCGCCCTGAGCCACGGAGTACTGCTCCCGCGAGGTAGAGGAGGCGAGTTCGTCGTCGTAGGCGGGGAACTTCAGGGATTCGTCCCGCCGGTCCTTCTTGGCGGGTTCTCCGACCTTTTTGGCGGGCCGTCCCGGTCGACCGCCCGGAAGGGCTAGGGCCAGACTGGTGACGGTGTTAGGGGCGACACTCAAGTCAAAGACCTCGAGGACCTTGCTCCCATCCGCTCCACGCATGAGGAGACACTCGGCGTGGTCGGGGAGTTCGTCGGCGAGGGTGACGGGCGATTTGTGCCAGCCGCCCTTGGGTTCGAAGAGATGGACGCCTTTCGGGGTGGTGTCCCCACCGATCAGGGCGGCTTGGCGGTCGTTCCAGGGGACGAGCACGGGGGAGACAGACGGAGGGGCGCCCTGGGAGGTGTAAGCCAAGACGCCGTACGGGGCGGTGGTTTGGATAACGAAGGTATCGGAGGATCCGACGGAGGAGTCGTCCTGGTGACCGCCGTAGACGAGAATGGAGTGGGATGCTTCGAGGGAGACAACACGGTGATGGGTGCGGTTGGCCATGTTGGTGCGGGCGGATTGAATGGATCGCCATTTCTTGTCCTGGAAGGAATAACGTTGCAGGCCGGATGGGTCGTCCTCGGGGGTGGAGCCACCGACTACGTAGAGGGCCTGATGGTCGGAGTCGCCGTCGACGGGGGCCTTGATACAGGCGGCATTGGAGACGGGCTCTCCCATTTGCAGCTTGGTCCAGGTGCCATTGCGTTCGAGGGGGATGGAGGCGAAGCCCTTGGCGGAGTAGGTGTAGAGCGTATTGTCGTGAACGATGGAACAATGGTCCTTTAATTCCACCGGGGGTTTGGGGACAAGCATATCGAAAGGGGGGAAGGGGGGAAGAAGACAAGGAAGTGCTTCAAGGATACCAGCCGAAGACAGATAGGGGGAACCAGCCGCCAGGGGCCAGAAAGCGGGCGGAAGGGCGGCGAGGAAAGCAAGATGACTGCCAGAGCACTATCTCATGGTCGAGGGACGAGGTTGAGGGTGACAGGGCGCAGGAAGGATGGGAAGACAGGGTGGTCAATGGCGCGGGGCGTTGAGTGCACGAGGAATGTTCAACTCGAACAAGGCGGTAGAGATTGGTTGAAAGTGGAAAAAAAAAAAGTAATAATCAAAAACCAAAACCAAAACGATTGAATCAGGTCGAATGTTACAAAAGAATGGCAGTCTGGAGCAGTGTTAGAGCTTGACTCGAGTCAGGAACTGAGCAATCCAGATCAACAAAGGAATGTGATGAACGACAGGAAGCACGATGTCAAATCGGCAAGAACGTGACAGAGGGAGAGAGAAAATGAACCTCGTGTGGATTCGAGAAGAATCGAAAGAAAGAGGAAGGGAAGAAGAAAGAAAAGGAAAAGAGTCAGGGTGAATCAGGAGAGGCAGGAGAAGCAGTGAGAAATGAGGGTATAGTGGCAGATGAAACGACGGAGGGCAGCTTGGACCATGTAGGGTGGATTTTGCTCGGGTAAACTCACAGAAACTTCTCTTTTCTTGGTCTAATTACGTTAGACTCGGGGAATTGAAGAAGATGATGAAGGAATGGGAATGGGTATGTGGGGGGAAACGAAAGACAAGAGGGGAGGACTTGACAGCGCACGGAGTGTCCAGCACGTTTGAGGATGAAGTGGAGAGAGAGAGAGAGAGAGAGAGAGAAGAGAAGAAGAGAAGAGGAGAATGAGAACGAAAGATGAGAATGGAGAACGAGAGAGAGAGAGAGAGAGAGAGAGAAACCTCAGGCTAGTGGGTTAGTCTCCCCTGGTCTGACACTAGGAAGAATGAGCCGGAGAAAAAAAAGAGGGGGTCTGTTTTCCATGGGGAGATTCCCTTGTTGATGTTGATGTTGATGTTGAGGTTGATGTGTTTATTTTGGTTTCGTGTCCTTACGTGAAAGGGAGGTTTGCTCCCTGCAAGGGATCTACCTTGATGTTGATGTTATTCTCTTCCTATACTGCGCTCTCTCTATCAAGGTGTTTGGTCCTGTTCATATTGGGTACTGTGTGGATGTAATTACAATACAGTTTCAGGGGTAAGAGAGAAAAAGCCATCAGGTTTTCCAACTCCGCCCCACTCCTTCGTCCCCAAGAACCACCCGATGTCAAAAGAATAGACGAGAGAGAAGGAAGAAAGGGGAAAAGAAAGGCAAAGGATGGACGTGGGAATGTCGATCCAGAGGAAAATCCCCAAATTCTGGGATGGATGGGTGGGTCTTTTCAGGAACAGCTCCATGATTATTGACCGTTGAGGGAACGATGTTTGTTGTTCTGTGATGTGATGGGATGGAGACGCAGGTGATCATTACTGTATGTTACCATTCTGTATTCTAACGTCATATCTTGAGCTGAAGTATTCTTATAGGTTTGTTTGGAAGAGTATATCCAGGAGATTCGGATTGATTCCGGCGTGAGGATCAGGTTCAAAGGTCAAAGTGTCATGATACCTTTCGTAGCGAGTGGTTCCATATGATTCTGATTCACGAACATATATTATAGAATCTTATGGTCTCAGTCGGACTCTATCACAAACACCCCACAACCAATGGGAAGACGCGTCGAGACGAGTGAACGCCATCGAGCATGGATGTGTCTGGGATAGAGGGCGAAAAATATACATCTATCAATTCCTCCACAAGAGACTACATAATACAGGTTAATATATTGTAATATATCTGATATCTATATCCGTTCACCGACCACATAGTCAAATAGTACTCATACGATAGACTATTATATTCATGACAAGAAAAATAGATGTATCTACTGCTGCTGCTTCCACTTGTGCGCCGTCTGCAACAACTTCGACAGATTGGCCGCCGACTTGTCGTCCGCTGGGAAGACATAGTCCATGTACTCCTCGTACCGGTCGTCGTCCAGCTTGCGACGCTTCTTGACCCGACGCGGCATCTGCTTCTCGATCTGTTCGATCTCCTCCGGCGATCCGTGCGCGTGCTCGAACGACCGCCATGCGTTGAGCAGTTCGACGCGCTATTGACCGTTAGCAAAAGCCACATGATACAACAACAGGGAAGTAATGGACTAACCTCTTCCTTGAGCTCCTTCTCCTTGAATACCCGGTGCGCCCGCTCGAACACGCTCCGCGCACGACGCTTGGCGTCTTCGCTGACCGGCCGCTCTTCCTCCTCCTCTTCTTCCTCTTCCTCCTCGTCCGGCACGTTGATCTCGAACCGCGCGTAGTTGATCCACACCTTGACGTGGTCCGTCTTCTGCAGCAGACGCTCGTAGAGCGATCGCACCTGGTCGTACTCCCCTTCGTACTCCTCAAAGTCAATGTAAGCCTTCCACACCAGCTCCGGCATATCCAGACTCGGCTGCTCGATCGCCAGCTCGAAGATCCCGCGGGCCCGGTCAGTATCATCCAGCCCCCGCTCCAGCTCCGCGTACTGGATCCACGACTGGCTGTTAGACGCGTTCCACTCGATCTGCTTCTCGTACAGCGTCCGGCACCGCAGGAACTCAAACAGCTGCCGCTCCAGCTCGATGTAGCCCCGGAACAGCTTGTCCTTGGGACACATCCCGATCGCCTGGCCTAGCGTCTTCCGCGCCGCCGCCAGCTCCATCTGCCGGATCTCGAACTGCGCCTTCAGCAGCCAGATCTTGGCGAACGTGAACTTCTTGTGCGGGATGAGCTTCAGGCACTCGTTGTAGATCTGGCGTGCCCGGTCGCTGTCCTTGGCTTCCAGCTCTTCCCAGATGGCGTAGAACACCCAGAGGTAGATGTACCGTCGCCAGTGGCGTTTCTCCTGCGACGGCGGAACCTGCGCGATCGCGCGCTCGTAGACCTCCCGGACTTTCTCGGGGTCACCCGACGTCTCCTCTAACCGGGCAAAGTCGAACCAGATGTCGTAGTTCCGCGGGCTCTCCTTGAGCTGCTCCTCGTACTGCACGCGGCGCTTGTTGAGAATGACGTCCTCCACGCCTTCCCGGTCGCCGAACTGCTTCTCGAACGTCGTGTACGCCTTGTGCAGTGTGATGGCCTTGGACCGCGGGAGTCGGTCCAGGGCGTATTTGTAGATCGCGCGCGCACGCTCATACTCCTTCAGCTTGGCCTCGAACTTGGCGTACGAGATAAAAAGCTTCTCATCCATAAAGTCCTCTCCCAGCGTCTCGATCGCCGCGCCGTACACCTCCCGGACCAAGTCACTCGTCCCGTTCTCCTCCTCAAATCGGGCCCATTTGATCCAGTTCCTCGGCTCGGGATGGACAATCGTAAACCGCTGGAAGATGCTCCGCGCGCGCTCGAACTCGCTGTACCGCTTCTCAAGCTTGATGTACGCGCTCCAGGCGCCCTCATCCGGCTCCCACGACATCCACCGCTCAAACACCTGGCGTGTCCCGGGAATATTCCCCAGCGTCTCCTCCATGTAAACATACTTATACCAGAGCTTATCAACTCTCGGCAAAATCGTCACCGCACGGTCGAGCAAATTCCTCGCATGGTTGATATTACGGTTTCGCATCTCCGACTCGATATACCGAATCCATAAAATCACCGACGTCGGGTTGACGTCCAGCGCGCGCTCGAAGATGGAGCGGGCGCGGCGGAATTCCTTCTGCTCCAGTTCCCACGCCGCGTAGCGCATCCAGTTGTTCAGGTTGATCCGATTGCGCCGCACATAGTCCTCGAAGTCCTTTCTCTTCCGCCCCTGGTACTCGTGCAGTTCTTCCAGGTCCGCAAATCGCTGTGTCGGCGCCTCCAGCGCGGGCTCTTGCCGGTCCACGGCCTCCCGGAGCAGCTGCTCCGCGGAGATCTGGATCGGTGCTGCGGCCTTGTTCTTGACCCTCGGGGGGCCGCGTGTTGCCTCCATGGTGTGGGTGTTATCGAGTGGTCGGTACACTGGGGTTGTAGTTATCGGCGCCGCGGCCTGGTGTGAGGAATCTGTGATGGATTAAACGTGTGAAAATCGAACTCTCATTGAGAACAAATTCACAATGGCAGGCTGTATGATAAGCTTAAAACGAAAGCCCGGAATGAGATTCCCAAGCCAGAGTTGGTCTGGGTTGTGTTGGTCGAACTGACGTCTGGTGTTCGCATTGCCAAAAGTTCGGACAGGCTGCGCTGTTGGCAGATCGCGCCACCCGAACCAGCTCTCACCGCCCTAGCCCAGCCTGGTTAGTGAATAATGACTAAGCAGATTCCTGACGACTGATCCATCTCCAAAATTCTCCAATTTGGTCTCTCCCACTTCACATCGCAAAAGTCATCCACTGGGCGCATCTTGCTGTGGTCCAAAATGTCTACCGCCGAAGAACTGTTGAGAGATTTTGAAGACGACGAGGAGGATTTGCAGGAGGGAGAGGGACAGGGTCTGGAAGAGCATGTGGACGAAGAGGAGCAATACCAGCAGCAGCAGCAGCAGCAGGCTGCGCCGGCAGAGAGGAACGAGTTCGACGTCGCCGTATCGACTGGAGACGAATTAACACGGCTACACAAAGTGCTTCGCGATCACTACTCGATCAGATTCCCAGAGCTCGAAACTCTAGTCACGAACCCGATCGACTACGCCAAGACGGTTGCGATTCTCAAAAATGGCCCGCTGAACGATATCAAGGCCCTGTCGTCCTCATCCGACAACATGGTGGGCGTGCCTCTCAAGTCAGTGCTGGACGGCCCGTCCTTGATGGTGGTCACCGTGGAGGGGACTACAACGCGAGGGCGCGAGATGACCGAGTCCGAGCTGAAGCTGGTGCTCGATACATGCGAACGGATCCTGAAGCTCGACCGGGAGCGGACGGCCCTTACGGAAAGCATCCAGTCGCGCATGAGTCAGATTGCGCCCAATCTGGCGGCCTTGATCGGTCCCGAGACAGCCGCTCAGTTCCTCAACCAGACGGGTGGGCTGCGCGAGCTCGCCAAGATCCCTGCGTGCAACCTGGCCGCGCAAGGTTCAAAAAGGACGGAAGGTCTTGGATTCGCGAACATCGGCATCCGAACTAAGGGTTTTCTCTACAACTCGCCCATGATACAAGACATTCCGGACGACCTGAAGCGACAGGCTATTCGCATCGTTTCAGCCAAGATGGTACTCGCCACCCGGGCGGACGTGTCGAACTACAGCCCAGAAGGCACCTTGGGAGAGGACTTGAAGCAACAGTGCTTTCAGCGCCTCGAAAAATTGACAGAGCCCCCTCCAAACGCCAACGCCAAGGCCCTCCCTACACCGGACGACAAGCCGTCGCGAAAGAGAGGCGGACGCAGAGCCCGAACAGCCAAGGAAGCCGTCGCCATGACCGAGCTCCGCAAAGCCCAGAACCGCGTCGCATTTGGCAAAGAAGAAGCAGAAGTTGGATACGGCGCCGGCGAAGGAACAGTTGGCCTGGGCATGCTGGGCCAGCAAGACGACGGACGAATCCGAGCGACCCAGATCGACCAGCGGACGCGCGCCAAGCTCAGCAAATCCAACAAAGGATGGGGCACCGCCACCCCTGCCAGCGGTACCGCTTCGTCGCTGCGCGGATTCAACTCCGGGGCGTCGGGCACCGCTAGCGTTCTACAAGCTAGGGGCCTTCGCACCTCTGGGATTGGCACTTCGCTGGGCGGCTCCGGCACGGCGAGTACGATCGCGTTCACTCCTGTGCAGGGCCTTGAGCTCGTCGACCCCAACGTGCAGGCTGAACTAAGCCGGAAGCGCAAGGCTGAGGAGGATAGGTGGTTCAAGTCGGGCACATTTACGCAGGTTGGCGGCCAGAATAGCGGCAACCGGGGAGAAAGTGGAGGTTTCAAGGTGCCGGCGTTGCCTCCGAAGAAGAAGGTCGACACTGGTGAGGGCAAGATGGGGCCGCCTGCACCGCCGTCCAAATAATCTTCTATCTGTTATGCTGAGCATTCAAGGCGTTTGGTTTCTTTTGTCTTTTTTATTGTCTCTCTTTCGCAGAATAGCATGATACCATCGATCAATTTATATACTACTATAATCAGTATACTCAATAGCTTGAAACCCTCGAGTGATAGCCGGGCAGTGATCTACACCACTCCAGGATTAAGCAATTTCCAAGCATATCCCAATCCATGGTTCAAGTCCAACAACCGAACCCAACAAAGTAGGCTAACCCTTGATTGCGTGCTGAACCCGGACACAGCCAGTCAATCGCGAAATCAGTTCAAGCACGAAAGAAAACCTAGTTCTGGCTAATTTGCACGTCACTTCCTCCTCCACATTTGGACCATCTTATGGCAGTGACTTGATCTCCATCGCCGACATGGTGATGGGGGGCGTCGGCAGTCCTTCGGGGGGAGGATTACGCTGAACCCCGGCCCGGTGTCGCCACTGAAGGCCCGGTCATTTGGACGCGTAATTGCGTGCTTGTCGGGGGAATTTGCACACTGCCCAGGGTATCTCCTACAGAGTTCTTTGGGTAGCATATATAGATAGTGTCTATAGACCTTTCTTCTTTTCTTTGGTCCTATCTAGTAGCTTACGGTGTAAAAAAAGAAAAAAAAGACCAGCTCCATTTGTTCATCAACTTTTAGGGCCGAGACAGATAGAGATGGCACCACAACTAGGCAAGCCCGTCTTCGCGGCAGAAGAGCCCCAATCGCACTCCGTCGCGCATCAAGATACAATTACAAGGCAACCAACACTACATCACCACACGCAAGTCACATCAGATGCCGACGCCCTCAAGTTCAACGCAGCGGCGTCCACCCAGCTGCAGTTCACCAACAACACTACTCAACCCACCGCGCCAGACAGCGACAATGACGAACAGCAACTCATCATCTCTCCCTACAACGACAAGCACCACCTCCTCGACCTGCACACACTAGACACGCCAAACCAGTTACTCGCGCTAGCACTCACTTTGCTGAAGCCCATACGGCCCGACTACGCCACCGCGCCATACACGGCGTCCTTCAACTGGGACGAGGTGTTCGACTTCCTGCGCGACTTGGCCCGCGCGACAGGCCATCACTGGAACGAGCAAGATTTCTACGTCGTCGAGTTCCGGTCCTGTTTGCGGGAGGATGCGGACCCCGTTGCGCTGCATGAGCTGGATGCGTGGTCGTTACAGGAGGCGGTTGAGAGTGGGGGGTTGTTGAAGTATTGGTTTGGGACGAAGAATGGGAAGAAGGAGAATCTTGCGACTTGTATGTTTTCCTCCTTCTTTCTTTATCTCACGTTTCTTCTTAGTTTCGGTGTTTTGGCTGGTGGTGTTGGATTAAATCACTCGCTAATGATGTTGAGTAGGTGTCTGGCGAAGTCGGGAAGATGCACGACTTGGGGGAGCTGGGCCATGGCATAAGCGAGCTCGAGGGGCTGCGCGGGATCTGTACGAGCGGATTAACTTCACGACGATGCGGCTGGTTGTAGGGGATGATGTTGGGACGTGGGCAATTACTGAGTGGGTGGATGAGTAGATTAGTATAGTGGTAGGCGTTTGGGGTTTTTATTGGGCTGCCTTTTAGTGTTTCACATTGCCTTAAAGTGAGTCTGCTTTGGATAGAGATAGAACATGATGGATAGATTGGAGTGAGCAACGATGATACCCTGGTTGCTTCTGGGTTTGATCTATATCGTTTCGAGTCATTTTTTGATATTACGTAGCCAAGGAGAAAGAGGATATAAGGGGTATTTCATGATGTAGGCGAGAGTCTAGGAAGATAAATCCCACTGAGTAGGGGGAGGCAAAAGTCAGCCATGTTGAGATGTAATGATTATATCGATAGCGATGTATACTCCACCACTGAACAGAGATAGCGCTGATGGCGACTGGCGCCATATTCTAAGTCTATATATGCCACCAAGGACATACCATTCTAGCAAGCCCATTGTTCATAATATCAAACGCCAGTCACCCCGATAATATCGCACCACCATCCTACATCAAACAAGACAATGACAGATCCTGCGTAGTGAATCAGCACATCTACCCTACAGTCACCAGAAAGCAATACTTACTGCTCACGATCACAATAACCCCCCTTCCATCCCCCCCCTTGCCCAGTACACTGTAAATCAAACCATTAGCCAGAGCCACAAAACCAAAACCACAGGACCAGTAGAACATACAGTATTTTTACATGTCAGGTTGGCAATACTGCCAGGCCCTTCAAGCTGACAGGAGTTCTGGATGCGCGAGATCACGTCCGTGAGGGGGCTGGCTAGCACGGAAGGAGTAATCGTGGCGTGGAGGGTAGCTATGGCGACGAGGAGGGTTGAGGGGTACATGGTGTGTTGCACAGGTGTATTGACTGCGCAAGGGAGAGACAGAGAAGGAGGAGAGGTAGGGTAAGACAGATGATAGGGTCTATGTTGGAAAGAGGAAGTCTATGAACGGATGATTGAAGGGAGGTTCCTGTTCTCTATATAGAAGGGAGTACATGTAATGGTCCTTCATACCAAGGGATAGAAACATACTCCTGAGGAAATAAAGCACGTCTATCATGTAGGTGACGTCTAAGGGCATAGTGCCTTGCTGGTAGGGAGGTAATCGCTGTGCTTGGGGTGGTGTGTGAAGAAGGGTTTAGATCCCTTACTTGGGTCTCTGCAAGGATAATATGTGAAACTGGATTACGCGCGGAGATAGATTGAACAGTACTATCTTGATATATCGATATATAATTATGTATATGGCATGTGTAACCCAAGAGTTGCTTCCATGGAGATAGTGGAGAGGCGTCATAGTTTTAATGTACATGTGTGTGAAAAGAAAGGACACAAATGAGAGGTATATCAGGGTGGGATAATAGAAATATGTATACCCTCTCTTATTTGCTATCCAATGCCCTCAAAAGGCCAGTTACAAAGGTTGGCTCTGAATGTCAGCCAGACATCACAGATTGCAACAAACCCTTGCTATTGCTTGAGCTGAAGCAATGACCGGTGAATTGAGCCCAGACACTGGTTGAGAGGGCAATGAATTATAACATCCCAAGCCACTGAAAAAACACTTTGCCAGGGAATTAAGAAGGTCACATGTCACAAAATCAGGATACTATAACCGCTACGCCAAAAGCGCTGACCCGCGTTTTGGTATAGGACTTGACCTGACTATATCCCCAAGAGGATATGTCCTAAGGCATGGGTTCTGGAACTCTCCAAGATGTCCTACCTAATCAGCCATGCCGTAAAAAGATACAAGACTGTATCGTAACTGGTCGAGTCAATTGAAGGAATTCTAGAGCTGTGGATAGACCTACTACCGCTAATCCCAATTAGCTTGGCTAGATATAGTCACAAGCTCGCTAATAGCGTCGCAGGCGAGGCTGACATCTGATACCCCGCCCACCAGATAGTCGAGTGCGGCTGAACAGCAGTCAGTCGGTGCTGATATCGATTATCTGGCTTTTGGACGAGATCCTACGGTTCTTTGGTATAGCCAGGATCCAGATTTGGCGTGTCTTTCAAAATGACACTCCTAAAACCCCACAGCCCTAAAGAGCATCCCGACAACCCCGCAGGGCGCCCAACCCAAGCAGAAAAAGCCCCCAAAACATGCACCCAATGCGACTGCCTGACAGACTACTCGCCCGTGGGCAAAGGGTTTGATCGAACCAAAGAGGTCCTTGATGGGCACCGTAGCTTTTGCTTCCACGAGAAATGCGAGAGATGCTCCCGGGTCCCTGATCTCACATCCCGACTGTGCGAAGGATGCGCGCACATGAGACTAGGACATATCCTGCGATGTGGGATGTACGAAGAGCCATCTTCGAGGGGGAAAAGCCAGGATGCAAATCGGGAAGCAAAAAATAAGCTGGGCGTCTGCTGTCTGCGACTCTCTCTGGGTACCGTCAAGGGGTTGCAAGAGAGGGCGAAACGGTGCAGTATCTGCAGCATGTTTTCCAGCGCTGCAGAGCAGATCGGCGATTTTGACGATGATGCAATCGCCGAAGTGGTGATTTACTCATTTAGAGAATATTTTAAAATGCAGGAAGATGTAGCACTGACTGTCTGCTTCAAGGATGAGTGTATGTATGGCATTTCCCCGAGGAGAGCATAACCCGTGACTGATGCTCGAGCAGGTACTCAAGACTCAGAGGGAAACAAATGGTACGGCCGCGGCCAGTTTGCTCGTTTCCATGCCGGGATGGTTGGCACTGCCACTGGGGATCAGTTGGTTCGGCTACGAAGCCCTCCCCCGGCAGTGCAGTGGGACAAAGTCTCTAGGTGGTTAGAACAGTGCCGTTTGAAGAAGAGATACATGTGCCGACAGGAAATCCTCGATCCACAACCGCCCGGATTCCGACTGATCGATACTCTCAAAAAATGTGTCTTGCGAGCTCCTCCTCGCTGTCAATATGCCGCCTTGAGCTATGTCTGGGGAGGCGGCTCGGGGCCCGACCTCGAAGCAACAGCGGATAACATCGCGACTCTTGAACAGGAAGGCTCTTTGCTTCAGTCTCTCCCACAAACCATTGAAGATGCAATAATCGCATGTGCAAAACTGGGAGTCCGTTATCTATGGGTTGACCGCCTCTGCATCTTGCAGGATGAGGGCTCTAAAGCCGAGAAGATGGCCCAGATCCACGCCATGGGTGATATTTACCGTTGTGCCCTCGTGACTCTGGTTGCCATGGCAGGCGAGGGAGTCGACTATGGGCTGCCCGGGGTTTCGAAACGAGAGCGTCCAGCGCCGTGGATAACCCAGATCGGCGAGGCGCACATTCTAAGGTCGCCCCCGACAAGTCACATATTCATACAGCGCGCGAAATGGTACACGCGAGGTTGGACCTACCAAGAGTCCAAGCTGTCCTCTCATGAGTTGATGTTTACAGACATCGGAGTGTTCTATGACTGTTCAAAGGAAAACGCTGAAGTTGAAGACGAGCTGATGCAGGACTCTGCGAAGATGGGAGATGAATCGAACTACCAGCAACAGGTCAAGGCGTTTACCAAGAGGTCGCTCACCTTCGAATCGGACATCCTGTACGCCATGTTGGGTGTATTAAACTCGTTGTATGGGTCCGATCATCTGTCCGGCATCCCGGTAAGGGAATTCGACCATGCTATCCTATGGATGACCGCCAACGGGTCCCTCCAGCGTCGACTCCCGCCCAATGGAGAGGTCTTCCCTTCATGGGCCTGGTGCTCCGCTCGAGGTCCCATCACGATCCCCGATCAAGGGAACCTCAGTATTACCATTGCCGCAGAATCGTTCGCACTCTGGACCATGGCCGGGTCTCTTGCCACCTGGGCCGTTGCTTCGAACGGTACTACCATAGATGGGCTACGCATCCTGAACCCTGGTTTCAAAGACCCGGCCGACGACACATATGACCAAAACGACCGACACTTTGCCGAACTGGCCATCATCACAGCCTGGAAGGAGGGTTGCTATCCAACCCGACCACCTCCTGAACTCTGTGCTAGCGCGAGTTGGGACGAATCCCTCAAAATAGTGAGTTCGAAGTGGACAACCCTCCCCACCCTGGCTCTGGATGCTCTGGGGATCGGGACTCACCCGCCGTACGATCCGGCGCGAACCACGATCTGCGACGGGTTGGACATGAAAGTCGCGTCTCAGCCCGGCCGAGTCATCGCCTACTCTCAAGCCCTACCGGTTCACGTGGTCCCGCCAACAGGTTCAAACGGCTACTTCTGTCTCCGGAGCGAGACAACCAACATCGCCTTCGTCGCCCCCCGTACTGCAGACAAACAACAGCTTCGCAATGGACCTCAGGCACTGGACGTGTTTGCGCTGTCCCTGGTTTATGCGTGCGTCGAGGATCTAGAGCACAGTGACTTCCGAACGAGTGGGTTTATGGATGATCCCAACGTGCTCCGCTGGCCCGATGGGAAAGGAAAACCCCTGCGTGGGGACTCCCCGATCGGTATCGAGTCGGATTTTACGTTCATCGTGAACCTTATGGTTGTCGCCTCGCGAGACGGGGTCAGTACGCGGGTTGGATTGGCGCGGACTTTTCTGCGGACGTGGGTGCAGGCTGGGCCTCGATTTCAGCGGTTTATCATTAAATAGTACTTTACTTGATGATACTGTGGAACCATTCTATTGTCTTTTTGTGGAAGATGACTTAGACCCCAGTAGCTAGTAAATGACATCGATTACATGGTCTCTTCATTTCTTTCGAGTGAGAGTTGCGCCCTGAAATTCAACTTGTCGGAGCCGCCAGGTGCCATGGCCGAGCATGGACATGACCGGTCAGGTAGGTTCTCGTACCCTAGGTAGGTACCTACAATTGGAACTCTCATACAATCAGGCCGAGTATCCTGCTGGGCCGTAGAGCCTGACTCATCAAATACAATCATTAGCTGGGAGACGACTATAATCAATTCAATCCATTCCAAGGGTCACAAAGATATCTAATGAATCATCCCTTCCGCAGTCATCATCGTTCCTGACTTGACCTCTCTAAAATCTTATTACTTCCGCCATAAACAAGACACCTCGTGTTACTCATGGATATTTACGACGGGCTCCCAAAACCTGATGTTCCGTATGCCGTGGGTTGGCGATTCGCAATACAATCGCACATTACCCCTGCCCCAACGCCAATCACACTCGGGTGCTGCCTCAGCGAGAAAACAGAGAGAGAGGAAAGAATGACTCTTAAGCCAGTTGAAAGATGCTTGCGGCACCCACCACTGGCGGGGAGCTTGGGCTCTTCCACAGTTGATTTGGAGATCCTTGATCTGATCAGAGTCGGCGACGAGCATAATGCCCAGGTGTTCTTGGTTAACGTCCGGGCGACCCGCTCTGACTCGGATTATGTACATGTAAACCAGAAGCTCGTGGCCAAGGTGTACGATCCTCTTTATCTTGACGACGATGATGGTTATGTCAACCCATTTTCCTGCGTGGACCAGCACTACACTCACGAGGTGCACGCGTACCATGTGCTGGCCCGGTTTCAAGGCAACCTCATTCCGAGGTTCTACGGTTCTTACTCCCTGGACATTCCTTGTGACGGCTCTGAGAAGCGCACTGTGCGACTTTTTCTAATCGAGTATATCCCCGGCCGATCCATGAGACAAGTTAATGCAACACGATACCCACAAGACACCCGCCAGCAGATCATGAAAACGGTGATTGACTTTGAGAGTTGGGCGTATCAGAAGGACGTGGTTCTCACTGATCTGAGTCCTAGGAATGTGATGATCGTCGGCTGCGTCTCCGATGAGAAAAGAGGTGTCGTTTTTCTGGATTTCGCTGGTACTGTCTTTGGCCGCAGGTTAGATGAGCCCATGCTCGCTGGAAGCAACCTCCTCCTCGGTCAATATATTTCACCTCTTCTCCGGTGGAAGAGAGACATAACATGGCAGTTCGGCGAGTGGATTGATTGGGAGTGGAGCAGTTGGATGGAGGCACAATATGGCCACACTGCTGCATTGATCACCGATGAGATGCGTGAGAAATACTGCCAATGATGGATCTATGAGGCGAAATGCAATAACAACAAAGATTCTGTTGATCTTTGCGGGTAGGATCTCTCGAGGTTTGCTTGGTTTCTTCAGTGACCAGCATGACACTCCAGTGCGAAATTAGGGGGTCATATCAGGTCTAGTCAGTATAGCCCGTTACTAGGTAAGGTACTACCTAGTAGTATACCAGTAGGTGTTGTGGTGGGCTTAAGTGTGATGGTGGATGCTGGATAAGCGGGGGGGCTGACTAAGAGCAGAATTATGCAGCTGATTCTGTCAGCACAATTACCAATGTTTGCACCGAACTCGACCTGATCTGGATATTGGATCATTGACCGAAATAGTCTTGATGATTCCAATATCTCCTTCTTTACCAACCCTGAATAAACAGATCCAAACTCGTATCGGTGGACCGCATCGAACCGAAAAAACTTCACGTCAGCCGGACAGGAGATAATCCGACCAGCAGCCCCGCCTAACACTATCGTTGCTCTGTTACCCCTCGCTCGCCCCCCTCTCCCGCCCCACCCGCCGCTCTGTTTTCTTCTCTCTTTTCTTCTCTCCCTCTTCTCCTCCTCACTTCTTTCTTCTCTCTTCCTTTTCCTCTCTTCCCATCCACCCATTCTCTCCCCTATCTTTACCACCTTTTTCAGTATGTTGTCTTGTCCAATTCGACATTGAGATTTATTTCAAACTCATTGCTGACCTTGATTCCTACAGTCTCATAACTTATACCATCACCATGGCTGCCCCCGCTCAACAGTTCAAGGTCGCCGACATCGTACGTCTCCCGAAATGAACTCAATCCCCCGCGACGCGATCGTGATGATTGTTCCGTTGACTAACTGCTTATAGTCGTTGGCTGCCTTCGGCCGCCGCGAGATCGAGCTCGCTGAGATCGAGATGCCCGGTCTCATGGCCATCCGTGAGAGATACGCTCCCGCCCAGCCCCTGAGCGGTGCCCGTATCGCTGGTTGCTTGCACATGAGTAGGTTGATCCGCCTCTATGTACGAAATCATGGCCTAACTTTCTATAGCCATCCAGACCGCCGTCCTCATCGAGACCCTGACCGCTCTCGGTGCCGAGGTCACCTGGACCAGCTGCAACATCTTCTCCACTCAGGACCACGCCGCTGCCGCCATTGCCGCCTCCGGTGTCCCTGTGTAAGTCAACCCTGGTCCGATCTCGATTATTACTCGCTAATTCTCCCCTAGCTTTGCCTGGAAGGGTGAGACCGACGAGGAGTACAACTGGTGTCTGGAGCAGCAGCTCAAGTCCTTCAAGGACGGCCAGAAGCTCAACCTTATCCTCGACGACGGTGGTGATCTGACCTCGCTCGTCCACGACAAGTACCCCGAGCAGCTCAAGGGCTGCTTCGGTCTCTCCGAGGAGACCACCACCGGTGTGCACCACCTCTACCGCATGCTCAAGGACGGCAAGCTGCTCGTCCCCGCCATCAACGTCAACGACTCCGTCACCAAGTCCAAGTTCGACAACCTGTACGGCTGCAAGGAGTCCCTGGTCGACGGTATCAAGCGTGCCACCGACGTGATGATCGCCGGTAAGGTTGCCGTCGTTGCCGGCTACGGTGACGTTGGCAAGGGCTGTGCCTCCGCCCTGCACAGCATGGGTGCCCGCGTCCTGGTCACCGAGGTTGACCCCATCAACGCCCTCCAGGCTGCCGTCCAGGGCTTCGAGGTCACCACCATGGATGAGGCCGCCTCCCAGGGTCAGATCTTCGTCACCACCACTGGCTGCCGTGACATCCTGGTTGGCCGTCACTTCGAGGCCATGCGCAACGACGCCATCGTCTGCAGTACGTTCCACTCCTCCCTCTTGTCTATCATCCCATACTAATTGCAATAGACATCGGTCACTTCGACATCGAGATCGACGTTGCCTGGCTCAAGGCCAACGCCAAGTCGGTCCAGAACATCAAGCCCCAGGTCGACCGCTTCACCATGGCCAGCGGCCGTCACATCATCCTGCTGGCTGAGGGTCGTCTGGTCAACCTGGGCTGTGCCACCGGTCACTCTTCCTTCGTCATGTCGTGCTCCTTCTCCAACCAGGTCCTGGCCCAGATCGCCCTGTTCAAGGCCGAGGATGCCGCGTTCGGCCAGAAGTACATCGAGTTCGGCACCACCGGCAAGAAGGAGGTCGGCGTCTACGTCCTGCCCAAGGTTCTGGACGAGCAGGTCGCCCTGCTGCACCTGGAGCACGTCAACGCCAAGCTGAGCAAGCTCACCCCCGTGCAGGCCGAGTACCTGGGTCTGGATGTCACCGGTCCCTACAAGGCCGAGCACTACCGCTACTAAGCGGGGTGTTTTTAATTGATTATTTCCTTTCCTTTGTCGATGTTTGCTATACCCGGATCTAGACCTTTGTTCAACATGATCACGATGTTACGACGATATCATGAGCTCTATCAACTGCGGGCTCAAAAGTTTTGACCTTCAACGGCATAAAAAAGTGGCATACAGGGGTTTGATGGGTAGTTTGGGTTGTACTGGCGGTTTTGGAGTCTTTTGCATTCAACAGTGCTGCTAAGATGTCTTAATGTAGAGGTATTGAAAATATAATCATACCGTGTCGATCAAGTCTTCCACTTCCTATATACATGTAAATGACCCCAGGTCACTTAGACACCCCCATCAAGCCAGCCAACATCTCCGCCGCCCGCACCGCAAAACCAGGATCATTAATCGGGCGCTCATCCCTCACCACTCGGATCCCACTCCCCTCCAACTCCCTCTCCACCGTCTCGAACAGCACCCTATCCACGGCTGGATCATAAAACGGCTGCCCAGGCACATCAAGCATACTCACCCCACGAACAGGAAACAAAACATTCACCACCTCGGGTCTAAGCACCTCCCCCTTCAACCTCCTCCCAATAAACTCCCCCACCCGCACACTCTCCTCCGCAGTCGTCCTCATCAGCGTCACAGCCGCATTATGCTCCAGCAACACCCTCTTCTTCTTTTGCATAAACTCCCTCGGCACAGTCTCCACCGCCCCAAAATTCACCATGTCGCACGCCCCCACACTCACCACCTGCGGGATGCCCGCCCGCGCCGCCTCCAGCAACCGGTCCGGCCCCGCGCTCAACACCCCGCCCACCACCTCGTCCACCACCTCCGTCGTCGTCAGGTCCAGCATCCCGTCCAGTAGCCCCTCGCGCACAAGCCGCTCCATCGCGCGTCCTCCTGCGCCCGTCGCGTGGAACACGTACACTTCGAAGCCGTATTCAGCTTCCAGGTGCGCCCGCGCGGCGTCCACGCAGGGCGTCGTCACGCCGAACATGGAGACGCCGATGCGTTTGGGCTTGTCTTCTCCTCGTCGTTCCCCTTCGCCTCCCTTCTCCCCAGTCGCTATAACAGCCGTAACCCCCGTAGAACCTACCTCACCAAGCTCATCATCAGGAGATAATAAAGACCTCCAATAGGCAACCGCCATCCCCGCGCCCGCAGCAGCAGCATTCCTCAAAACCCTCTTCAGAATGGTATTCGCGCCCGCAATATCAACAACACTATACATGAGCGTGATATCCGACTCGCCCACGTAGGGCCGCACATCCCCGCTCGCCATGGTCGACACCATCAGTTTGGGGAACCCGATGGGGCAGGCGCGCTGCATGACGGCTGTTGCGAGGCTGGTGCCGCAGGAGCCGCCTATGGAGAGGACGGCGTGGATAGTGCTGGTGGAGAGGAGACGGGTGGTTTGAGCGATGGCGTGGGTGGTCATTTTTTGGAGGTAAGTTGCGCGGGGGAGAGTTGATATCTTCCCCTCTTTATCAATGTCATCTTCGTTATCTTTATTGTTGGTGGTGGTTGTAGTGTTCTTGGTAGAGTCCGGGTGGGGGATATCAATAAGAGGATGTTCCGTCGGGGTGCGGCCGACGTCCATGAGAAGAGTGGTGATGGGTGGGTTTTGGTGCTTTTGGAGTTGGGCATGGAGGAAGGTGAGTTCGGACCATTTGGAGTCGCAGGTGCCGAGGAGGAGAACTGTTGGATTCATGTTTGAGAATATATATGTGTGTATAATATTCTATTGTCTCCTTCTGTGTTGTGATGCTTGAGGAGTAAGAGTGGGAGTGGGAGAGAGGTGTGTGGTGGAAGTTGTTTTTGGGCTTTCCCCTCATTGCATCACTGTGGGGACTCCCACTACTCACTAGGATGTATACTGTTTCTTGGTTATGGGATGGAGGCCGCATATGCCAAGTTCAATGATGTACTTTACACTGGATCATGTTGTGAGGTTTATCTTCAAGGGTTGAAACGTTCATAGAATTTAATGTTAATATCCCTTGGCAATTCCTACGTTTGAAGTAGATCATCTATCTATCTATCTAGTTAAGTCTACGGTTAACTCAAACCTAAACCCAGCCAATCCGTGGGTTTGGCAGTCTAATCACGGAGAGTACTGTAGTTCAAACTAAGCCTCTACATTTGCATAAAATTCCGGGGAAACCTGACTTAGTTGGAAAAAGCTGGATGAAGACAAGAGGAAAAGACCGAAATATCCTCCCATGCCCTCCTGCAACTTCCCCTGCTCTCAGAGCAACCATTTCTTTTACTAGGACAAAAGTCTTAGTGCGTTCTCTGTTAACTGGGATTGATCGCTTACACTCTAATCACACTATCATGATCCCAATCTCGTCAACACCTCTCGTATACCATCCAGAGATTCATCACTTACCGTGCACTGTTAGAAGTCCTCTTGTCAGCCTTATTTTGACAAGTCACTTGTAGCTAGGAAGGCAATACTTACACCATTTTTATTCTGTTCCGATTCTTGGTTAATTTCCCCTACCATTCCACCTGCGCAGAGATTGATCACTTACCACGCAAATACAAAGGCAACCCAATTCCTCAACCCAAGATTTGCCCTCAGGACAACACTGATACCGGCCTCGAGCCTATTTATGTTTATGTAAGCTGCATATTCAATTTAGCGTTAGCAGGGTCTGATTACGCACGTCTTTCACACAGTTCAGCTTTGGGTCCTCAACTTGGCTGGTCTCTTGGGCGCGGTTAGCTGCCACCAGGGCGGCAAAAGAGACAGCACAGAGAACAGCCAGCAGCTTCATGGCTGATATGTTCTGCTTCCACTTGACGATAGTTGAGGAATCAATGCGATGGTTCGATAGAAAATCTGATTGAAGAGCCAGCGGGTGCGAATACTGGCAGATAACAGTCGCTATTTATGATAACGAGGGGAATCATAGTTGAAGTGATGAATCAGGCCAGAATGCTACTCTACGCAAGGAAGGCCTGGTATCCGGATTTGAAGCTGAATCATAACATATGCAAGGAAATTACTGTACACAAGTAGCCATAAACTGTTTGAAGATACTATATGTCCCCGGGTATACAACAGTATGCACCGTCCTATCTCAGGAAACCCGATACTGATGGTACACGAGTATCTAATACAGATCCATAGCCCTTGCATCAACGATTCCAAGTTGGAGTCTAGTCCAGCATAGGGCGAAGGCTCCTATCGTCTCCCTCGCTTATCTCTACCAGGCGAATCAAACCCTGCTCGCGGCCCCGTAACTAGGTAGCCCTATGCCAAAGCACTTGAATGCGAGATTTAGTCCCCATCTACAATCAAGAGCTTCAAGATTCATACAAAACCACATGATAACCACAGCCCAGCAGTACAGGTTTTGCATGGGCTCCATGGCCGGCATTAGGATATGAGAACTAACTCCGCCGCAACGTAGTTGGTGTACTCCGTACATTTGCTAGATACTGGTTCCTGGGGAGTTGGTATCTTGTACTGCACCCTCAGATTTATCTACAAAGGTAGACCACAATATCAAAGAAAACAAGAGTGTTCTTGAGGACTGGCTCTCGCACTGGATCTATAGAGTAACACTGCGTAACTATTCTCTTTTTTCATTTTTTGCGGTGTGTACAATGATCGGTCACTGATCACTTGTTCAATTGCTATACAATGAAAGTATGGCCCAAGAAGTAAATGCAGAAGCACTCCTACCTGGATATTCTATACAAGGGCGAAACAGTGTAATTAAATCTTGTTGAATCAACATTGGCCTGCTAGTCATGTGGTTGTATGCCTGATAAGGGTGCATACACAGTTAAATTTACCTGCACCATTTCTGATTACTGCTGAGACCATGAATAATGATTTACCCAGTACTAATGATACAGGCTGAAATTATATTACAGAGATCATATTTAGTGGTTGAAAATATGTTCAAATAGTTATATGTGAATGATGCAAGTGTAATTGGAATAGCTCCGCCATGGGGTATAAAAAGTATGTCAACAATGATAATACAAAAAGGAATTTAGAAAAGCACAAGATAAAACAATCATAGCATGAACCCCCCCATGATAGCCACTGCAGAAAGCACGACCATCCCAGAGCCAAGAGCAGGCACCGCAGCAGCATTTTCTTTATCAGCATCATCATCATCATCATCATCATCATCTAAATGATAGCACCACAAATCAGCAATCCATCTTCACCACCACTCAAGGTCAGAAACTAAAACTCACCACTAAGATCATGTCCCTTGCACTGCCCATAGATCACCCCGTTCCAGCGGTCCGCGAACTGGTTCGCCACCTCCGTCCCGTTAGTGCTGCCGCCGTCGCACTCCTTCTGGATACACGGGGAGACGGTGTGGACGGCCACCTTCATGGCGTTCTTCTTTCTGCCGCGGACCTTGGTGGAGCAGATGCAGTCCACGCTGGCGTCGTCGCCGCAGTTTTTCTCGATGGTGGTCTTCCTGTACAGGTTGTCGAGGCACTGGTTCGTGCACTCGGGCAGGCCTTCCTTCATTTGTGACCACGAGGTGTAGTTGGTTTCGGCCAGGGCGGTGGCGGCCAGGGTGAAGAGGGTGGAGATGGTCAGGAAACGCATTTTGGAGGGATTATTATATGGCGTTATAAAGGATATTGTAGACGTTGTAGTGGGAGTTGTGGTGGTGGTATTGGAGTGTGAAAATCTGGTTGGAGGATTGAGAATTGAGGTTTTTGATAATTGAAATTGAATAAGGGAATATACACCCCTTTATAGCCTTTCGACACCCCCGGTCATGGAAGTGACTTGTATACCGCCTATACTCCGTCCACCACAGTAAAGTTAGGGCTGAGGCTGAGCGTACAATAGCAAGGTACCCAATGTAGGCAGGTTGGGGCCAAACCCAGCCCTACTAGGGCCGCCCTAGAAGCACTTCAAAGACACTAAACCACTTAGTGTAAGGCTATGTACCCCCCAATCAACAATTTGAAATCATGATAGTCCAAGAAACCTCCCTATTTCAGGTTAGCCCGAGTCTCTCATAGCAACTAAGCCATCGGCACCGCCCATCCCCCAATTAGCCTTCCACATCTTTCGCTCTCCGCCCCCAAATATCTATTCATAGGAAGCATCCAAACGGCTCCCGACCGACCTGAGCCAAGATATTCAGCACTCTTCGACACCTGATTCGCCGGCTCGTCAGTTTGAGCACCGACACACTGGAGTCGTTCTCGGTGACTCCCGATCTGGACTCTCCTTTCGTGGGTCCCGTCCTGCCGACGTTGCATTGTGAGCAGGCGGTATCAGAAGTTTAACACACATTGTGGCTTGAAAAGCAGTCTCTGTTGCTCCCCACGCGGGTCATCCATCAGTCAGTAACTAGCTGGCGGTCTAGCTCTGCCTATCGTTTTCCTATAATTAACAATCGCAATGGCAGAGCCTCGTCTTGATCCACACCTCGAGTGAACCAAGTACCAACGGAGTCAAGATCGCATAGTCGCTACATCGCCCATCGCAACATTACGGGGCAGGTTGACGTGAATGCAGTCCCGGCATGCGCAAAGAAAAAAACGTCGCCACTGTTCTCATACCGATACAGATTGGTTAACAAACACACCTGGGCAGTGATCGGCGCCGAAGTACCCGGGTGCAGCAAGTGGAGATAAACTATCAGTAGTTAGACAGATGGTTTATAACACAGCCATAGATACAACCACCACGCTGACCCCACAGACTTAGTTTCCACCATCCCATCCAAAGATCTGCTGTGTGAAGAAACAAAGTAGAAGATTGACGCTGCGCATAAGCACACTGTGTCTATGTAAAGTCTGGCTTAGACTGGCTGAGTTTGTCTAAAATTAGGTACGGACATGTCTATCTTTGTTCCAGGCGTCTAGCAACGCGCAGATTCGCCGGAGCGTAGATGGTTTTGTCCCCCGTTCGGATAGATGGTGAGCGTGTCCTTTGCGCGACTATTTGTCAACTATTCTTGACAAAAAGGCTTTGTGGACAGGACTTCCGGTGCCGGCTTGGTTGAGGTTTTCATTTTCGATACTGGGCTGTCTTGTCCTCGGATGTGAAGCGAAGGTCCGAGATGTCCTGATATATATACTGTATGCATCTGGGCGCTCCGCTAATGCAGGGTTCGCGTCGGTCGGTATCGGTCAGATGGTTGATTGGTGCGCCAGCTCTATAGTATCCATAATGCAACAACTATCAAAGTTCACTAATGATAAGTCCGATCTTAAATTTATCATAAGTTTAATAAAGTCATCTTAATAAGGGAGGTAAAAAACAAAAAGAAAAAAAGATAAGAATAGTGCATCATCCGTGAATCGAACACGGGCCTCATCGATGGCAACGATGAATTCTACCACTAGACCAATGATGCTTCTATATAGGTTTCTTGGCTTCTGCAGATACATATTCCACTGACCCTACAACTAAATGCATTCAATTCAATGTCTTAAGAACAAGACAACCGCAGCATGGTGATGAAATGAATACTAAAAACTTCTTTACGGTCTTTAAAAAATTCTCCTCTGCCATCCACAATCCAGACCATTTCAAAGTCTATGAAAATGAAACCACTAAGCCACACTACCAGACCAGTTCTTAACAGTGAGGGTCGCCTCTCCACCAGTGAAGGGCTCAGTGCCGAATTGCAACGCTACAACAGTTAGTTCATCTCGCGATATAAGTATATCAGGAAGACCTGCGCGGCCTGCATAGAACATACTGATGAGGTATTGCTTGTCCGCGGGGTAGGACTGATTCTCGGTCAGATAGGTGAAGAACTCCTTGACGTCTGTCTCGAGGGATGTGATCGGCTCCGCGGCAACAAAGCTGTACACGTTCATGTCGCCGTTGGGGCCGTTGTAGACGTCCCAGGTCTTGCCGCCGACGTCGGCACTGTCGATCTGTGAGCCGATGGGACCGACCTCGCCGTACCGGCCGAGCCTAGTTACTAATTGTTAGACATACATGCCCGTATACGTGAGGCATATGTATAGCAACACGGCAAGAGACCCCACATAGAGAAGAATGAGAAGAAAAGAAAACAGAAACTCACCAGATCATCAACTCGTAGTCACCACTGGACGTGGCGTGGTCAATGTCCGCAGCAGTGAAGAGATCGTAGGCGACGTTAGCGCGGATATCAGTGTTGTCGTAGCTCCACTCCACAGCCGAAGGGATCTTCGTGATATCGCTGATCAGCTTTTTTTCGAACTCCACGCCCGAGTAAGGGTAGGCCTTGACGGAGTTCTCGGTGCCGGACCAGGTCCAAGTGGTGTGCCAGGCGACACCGGCGTCCGAGGCGCTGTCGAGGGTTGTGCACTGGGAGCCGCTTCCCGAGTCCATTCCCCACATGTTGTTGTTGATGATGTAGGGGCCTTGGGTGACGGTGCCGTACTGCTCGCAGGTTTCCTGCGCAGCAATCGGACCGGCCATGGCCGCGGCCACGGAGAGGATCTGGGTGGTCTTCATGGTCAGAGAAAGGTTCGTCGTTTTTGGCACGTCTAGAATAGATGGATGAGCTGCTGGATTGAAGATTGTTCGTGCGGTTGGATGGATCTTTATAGACTTCAGCAGTGGCCCGGGAGGTACTCTGCATGAAACTGACTAAATGATGTGGAACGGGCTGTTTCCAACGTTATTTGACTAGTGGGCCCCAATTTGCGCGCAACTTCCGAAATCAAACGGTATATACGGTGGGAAATATGCCGAGACCGTGTAGATCTATAGTAAAACAGGTCACGGAGTATTGCGGAAAAATTAGCCTTCAGGCACCGCGAATAGCCTGAAGTATGATCATTGTATGGTCCGGCTGAAACTACCCGTCTACCCGTCGTAACCATGGCAGTTAAAGGTGATCTACAAAAGGCTTACTTTTCTGGTAAATTAAAAATGTGGGAGGACCGATGGTTGCGGCCAAGGTAATGATGAATGTTGATGATCCTTGTGACGATAAAAAGGCGAATAGTGGCAAGAGTCCAAATACGCTAGTGTGTGAGAGAAAACACAAACGCATATCAGCTGAAATTCTTGTTACCTTCAAATTAGCTTGTATAAGCTAATTGAATAACATCATTTTTATTTGATATGAGCTTGTTCCTTCATTTGTACTTAGTAAATCATTATCAAAATCACTTCTGAACCGTTGTTATCTAACCTCATTGGCTCTTGATAATTAGCCACCTGCCAGGAGTTTTTTAAGAGATAAAAGCCTGGGGGGTATTCAATTCCATGTCAATTGTCATTTGTTTATTTTGATTTCTTTTCTGGATCTTCTTTAAGAATATTTGGCCGGGTTCCTACACTGTTGATAATCATGATGATTTATCAGAGTTTGTAGTTGACTACCTGATCACTGCTTATGACATGGTTTCTAAATAATAGTCTAATTTTTCTTCTCTAGCCGTTCTGCTGAACAAGTAATTTGCTCCTGAGTCGATACTTAACCCCGCATCACAAGTAGCATCGTGTTAATCGAATATCTCATTGGCTGTTACCCAAGAGACTTGTAAAAGCTCTTTGGCAGTTACCCTTTCCTAAGTTATTCCGCTTGAGGCCTATTACGTAGACTATAGGAAACCAAACTTATTCACTAGCCAAGACTCAATTGCTTTCATTGTCTGAGTATAGGATAAAATAAGAAGGCTCAGCTAGTTTCCTGGAACGATAATCATCAGTATCAATAACAAAGATAGGTATATTTTATTTACCATTTTCTGCTATATGAAGTGTAGCATACCTTGCCCATCCCGAGAATCAGTCCTTCTCGCTAGGTTTCTGGCTACAAACTCAGAGCCTACGGTCTTCGAACTGTGTTGATTTGGGCTGAGTGAGAAGCATCATAAAGACCACCGTCCCTTAGACAAGCTACGAAGGGTCTTCTTGACTGTGCAATCTCAGTGGTTTCGAGACTCATGGCAGAAAGCGGCTGTGAGCCTTCTGGGAGACCCATCTTCTTCAAACTACTTTGGGTCACGAGCTCTTCACCAATCCCGAGTCTTTCTTTCACTTTGAACAGAAACTTTTGTATATCGCCTGTGGAGATCACAGGAGCATATAAATATCCAGGATGCTCCGCATGTTGCTAGGCAACATGTATTACTTGGTGAAAGTTCTTAGTGTTTGGAATCAGGACCCCCCTCCAAGAAGATCGATTTCCCCAAAGTTCTACAAGCCTATCCGCGAAGGCGCAGTCGCTCTATGAGAGGAGTGAGAGGCGCCGAATCATGCAAGATATGCAAAAGGGGCACTATGGTTTATCCGGGCGAGTCCAGAAGCTGGAAGAGAAAGCCCAGGTTTCGGGGGATAAGCTGACCCCGAGAAGCGGTTCTTCCAGGGTTGGAGAATCTCCACAAAAGGGACCAGGCGCAAGCGGTGGGGTTGGCGAAAATTGATAGAATGATCTAGGATACCCTTCGACCTTGTCGACCCATAACGGCAATGAATAGGTCGGCGGGACCATTGCGGCTTGGGGGAGCAATTGACGATTACTCCGTTGAGGACTGATGGAAAACACGAAAAAGGATGGAGTACAATGTTTTCAAAGGTGCACCAAGATAATCGTTATCGGCAAGATCGGCCACGGATCCACTTCTCCAGGAAATACAGGTCTTCTGCCAGATTCATCCGCCTTAGTCCGTGTCGTCGCCGTCTGTTCGATATCGCCAATGATATCAAACCTCCATGCCGCCCTGTATTTTAGTGGCGGCAACCCTTGTTTTAAATATGAGTACGGCGTCTGCCTACCGATCGAAAGCCCTACGATCTTCCAGTGATTTTATCATGTTAGCAGCCTCGAGGAGCTCCAGGAGATATCTCTCGTCTCGGAAAGCTTCCACTACCTATCTTATGAGCCATTATTCGCATCGCGCTTCAGCAAGGACCATGGCCTCGATTTCCGCCCTTCCCCCGCGCCAATTTCCTACATCAGGTTTCGTCAGATTAGACTCCTCAGAGAAGATAGAAGAAGAGAGTCTGCCCCATTATGACGCGGGAAGATACTATCCAGCCCACATTGGAGATGTTCTTGTGTCCAGGTATCAGATAGTCTCCAAACTCGGATATGGCACATCTTCCACTGCTTGGCTTTGCCGGGATCTCTTGTATGTATTTAGTCGATGTTTGAAAGTAATGCGCTCTGATAACTGGTTGAAGGGAGCAAGTCTTCTATACAATCAAGATATGCATTCGCGGACAAAACCTGGATCATGAGATTGATGTTTCCAAGCATCTACAAAACGCTGACGACCATTTTGGGAAAAAGCTTGTTCGCTTAGTGTTGGATTCATTTGAGGTTGTTGGTCCGCACGGAAAGCATGTGTGCTTGGTTTACCAGCCACTTGGAATGAATTTCGCCGAATTCCAAAAATTACTCCCAGACAGCAAGTTCCCGAAGAATCTTGCTCAGAGGAGTATCCAACTCATTCTAATATCATTGGCTTTTATGCATGAAAACAACGTTACCCATACTGGTAAGTCCTCAAACGAGCTAAGAACTTCACAGTGGTTTAACAAAGCGTAGATGTCTCATCGAATAATATACTCCAAGGCGTCGAGGACAGGTCTGTTCTTTCTCGTCTTGAAGAAGATGAGGTAGAGCGGCCAGTTGCTAGAAAAGTTCTGGGTGACCGTACTATTTACTACTCCCGACCAATGCCTTCTTGTGCCGGCTTACCCATCCTGTCCGATCTGGGTGAGGCCAGGATTGGCAATGGAAAGCACAAGGGCGATATTATGCCCGGTATTTATCGGGCGCCACAAGTGATTTTGGATATGGATTGGGGTTCTAGCGTTGATATATGGTCAATTGGCACTATGGTGAGTCCTAACAGGAACAAGCTACCTTCCTAGAAAAGGCATATTTGGGACCGACATGAAAATCTAATATGAATGGAGTAGATTTGGGATTTAGTGGAGGGAAGTCATCTATTTTTTGCCAAGAGAAATCGCACTCTCAATGATGAACAACATTTAGCAGAAATGGTATCTCTGATGGGACCTCCACCTCCAGAATTTCTGAAGAGGAGCGAAAAGTGCCACCACTTCTGGGATGAGAAAGGTATGTTTTGGCCGTTGTTGCGACCGGATGATTCTTCCTTCTTATATTTGTATTGCAGGTAATTGGAAAGGATCCATACCTATACCAGAGCAGTCACTGGAAATGAGGGAAATTCAACTTTCCGGTGAAGATAAAGAACTTTTCGTCAGCTTCTTGCGCAGAATATTACGTTGGCTGCCCGAGGAGCGGCCAACAGCGGAGGAGCTTGCATATGATGAATTTCTGATGCAGGCTGTGTGGAACTCTAGCTGAACAGCATGGGTAGTATGGAATAGTCATGATATGATTGAACCCTGATAGCCTTGCATGTGGACTAGTTGATTGATTTACTGTATAATGCGCAGCCGTAGCTAAAAATTGTCCATGGAATCCAAGCACAGCCTTGCCACCATTAGATTCTAATAGATATGTGTCAACCAGTTCCGTTACGTGCGTCATCAGGTTCTAACCCTGTATATACATCAAACAAATTCCAGAACTACCTAGAGTGGATGAGTGGATAAATAGGGAATTAAAGCACAGATCCAAGATAGATATAGCCATGAAGGAAGAGTCGCCCGGCTCCAGAGTCCTTAAATTTCCCTATAACCGTTGGGGGGCGGGAGGCATGTAAGACTTATTTCCACGATGCCAGAGAATTCACAGCACCCATTGGACAAGCACCGAAATAGATAGCCGCCTGGATTTTTCTGCCCACATTAATCAAAGACGGTCTTCAGTTATTATGAAAGAGGACCAATATAGAAAATCTCCCGACTTGCCTCGGTCGTTCTAGACTGACTTATCCGCCCTTGGCTGCCTTGTATTCGAGATTGTGGTCGGCTTGCGACCCCAAGAGGAAATTGTAGACGATGATTGGGAAACAATTATAGATAACTATGATCGTGGGATCTTTCCGCATATGGGGGAATTGAAATATAGAGATATAATTTATAGTGTTGGACGTCCCAATATTCGGAGGCTCGTTAGATTCTCTTGGATATTGGGAATGGCGAGCATGGAGGAAAGGGGTAAAGAGCGGACTGCCGATATATTTTGCTGAGGCTCCCTAAACAAGCTCTTCTGCCTTGGGGATAGTGACAATTGAAGTACTTGCATTTTATACTTGCCGAAAATACAAGCGGACCCACAATTACATGAGATGGAGCAAGTAAATCAAAACGTTAACGTATAGTTTATCAGTTCGGATAACATTCATATCAAGCCTGCCAAGATACCGAGGTAATTTGATGCAGTGGCCGAGATTAAATTGAATAACCAGAGTACTGGGCTTTGTCTATATACTTCGTGATGCTCTTTTGGTTCTATTCCTTGTTTTTGTCTTTTATTTATTTGTTTATCTATATAAATTGCTTTTTGGTTCGTCTTGAGTTGCAAATATTAAGAACGATTGTAATCATATTTGACATCAAACTGATGGCTCACGCCGATACCCCCAGGGCCAGTGAGATGCTGCTCATCAGACTCAAAGTCCACCGTACGTGTTGTCATGAACAGATCAGCGTCGGGGTCCCGTTTATTCCGGAACGGCCGGGAGCCGGACGTATTACTGCCGCTGGAAACTTGGGTGTTCACGGGGTCATGATCGAGGCGATTCATCGGGTAGATGGCGGCGCCGGGTTCGTGGATGCGCTGGAAGTCCTGCCCGTGCGAGACGGAGTACGTGGCCTGGGCTGTAGAAAACAGCCCCGGGAAAGCGCGTGCCATGATGGTTTTCATAAGCGGCATGTTGGCGCAGATTATGGCTAGCTCGGGCTCGAGCACGGTCCACATGACTCCCATCTGGACGGAGTGGGTAATGTCCTTGAAGTCGATGGCCATGAGTGATGATAGGCGGACGATACTGATGACAGAGACACTTGGAATTGTTAGCCATGTCGCCAATTACTAGTGGGGTGGAAGGGGATGGAAGGGGAGAAGTTACAGTAATCCCATGCAAAAGACAAGACTCAGTGCAATTTTCTTGGCCATGCTTAACTGTAGCTTCCAAATATGAGGCACCGGAAGGGCCATGACCATTAGGTCCGTCACCAGATTGAGCACGCCGGCGGAAACATACGTCCCGTTGCGGTCTCCGCAGGTGCCCCCGGGGATCGTTGTATCCCAATTGAAGGCCAGCGGACGGCAGAGTAGCACGGTCTCTAGAATAACGCTGATGGCCCAAAGCCAGACGATGGTCATCACAATGCCAACGCTGATCTGGAAGCTTCGTTTGGTGCCAAAAATACGCATGAAGAATAGCATCATTGACGTTTTGACTAAGCCCATGACAATGCCGTATAAGGCTTCGAGAGGTAGGATAGTCTAGAAGGGATGAATATCGTAGAGATCTGCCTCGTTATGGAGCGACCGACCTTGAGTGTTATGACTACCGACTGGGGGTCCACTTCGGCGATATGTCGACCTGCACCGCCCTTGATAGAGACTGCCATACATCGTCAGTTAGAGTAAGAAGCACGGACAGATCCTGGGTGTGAAGCTCACGGATATATTGGATAGCGATATCGATGTATACAATTAACTGGCAGTGTCAGCACCAGATTCGACATGCCATTAGGAGCCACAGCGTCCGCAACTTACCAAGGCGACCAAGATTAGAATCTCGGGGGCCCCAATCCGGACCCGCCGCAACTTCAGGGCATATAGACGTAAAGCAGTGGTGAAAGTCGCGAGAAAACCAAAGACCGTCACGACAATGACCGGATTCCGTGCCAGCGGAGCATCCAGAGCGTATGTCGGCGTCATGACTGCGAGCAAAAAGTTGTGACAATGTCCGGGGGACCGTGTCAAGTTAGGGTCCCGGGAAGCTGGTTGTTTTTAACCACCGGAATGGGGCCAAAAAATAGTCCTCCCGCATCGAGGCATTGGGGCCATTCGAACAGGGCCGGGTTTTGTGCAGAACTTTGGGAAGGATCATGGTTTAGATGAGGACGCCCCACCCCGAAGACGGAGCCCTCTGACTGAGACCGAATGTAAGGGCGCGTGAAAGTGGACATTCCAGTAGCATGACCCGATCAAGTCAGTTCACACGGCTGGGGGAAGACTAGCACAACGGTTCGCTTTGGCATTTGGCACTTCGTGTCCTGACTGGTGAGAGGGAGACGAAGAAACATCGAGTTCAATGGGGGAAACTTCCCGCGGTCACGGCGTGGGTTCCACCCGGATATCCGGTTCACTCCTGTCGGCCTGATAGCTTGACAGCCGGGGGTGGGTCCTACCGCTGGATTTGGTTTAACGTGCAAAACGGCGTGATTCCGGCCCTCATTCCGGCATGGATAGATCAATTCAGGGGTGGACTGATTGGTATTCCTGCCTGACACTGCAGAAGGAAAAAATTGCGATGATCAAGAAGCCTTCCTTCGTATATGACTGGTTATTGCCATCATCTGTGGAACATGTCCACGATCTTTTGCCTGGTGACTGCCTCTGGACCCCACCACGGATACCTTCAACCCGCGGGCCACTCCTTATTGCAATTGTCCACGCCGCCGGGGAACAACGAACAAGGAAAATATGATTCCATTATAGGGGAAGTGGGGGGGTCGGCTGTCGGGACTATCTCCCCCCACCTCACCCCCCCGGCTCGTTGGCTTTAGCTTATAGAGGGGCTCTCGCACTGAATTATCGAGCAGCAAAATAAACCACAACCATGGCTGCAACGGACGTATCATCTGTAACGGACCTCTCCGCCTCCTACGACTATGTTATCGTCGGTGGAGGAACGTCTGGGCTAGTCGTTGCCAACCGTCTGACCGAGAATCCTAATGTGCGAGTGCTCGTGCTTGAGGCCGGCAGCAACCGCGTCGAGGACCCCAGGATTGCCGCCCCCGGCCTCGCTGTTGGCACGTATGGCAACCCAGACTTCGACTGGTGTATCACCAGCCCCCCTCAAGTATGTCTCTCATACTCTGTATTCTTAGACTCACACTGACTAAGCCCCGCTAGGAAGCCCTGAATGGCCGCTGCATTGCGGAACCTCGTGGTCGCACCCTGGGCGGCTCCTCGGCCATCAACATGGGCATGGTCATCTACCCCAGCCGTAGCGACATCGACGCATGGGAAAAACTTGGTAGCGCGGGATGGAACTGGGCATCGCTGTCGCAGTATCTGCGGAAATCCCAGACCTTCACCCCGCCGTCCGATGCCACCCGGGACGAGCTGTCCCTGGGATACATCGACCCGGCTGTCCAGGGAGAGACTGGTCCGCTCCATGTCTCGTTTGGCGACGGCCCTTTCCCGGCATTCAACGCCGCCTGGCCCAAGGTGTTTGAGAATCTCAACTACCCGCTGACCGGGGACCCCATGTCTGGCGAAGCGACGGGCGCTTTCTGCCACCCGGGGAGCATCCACGGGACGCAGCGAACACGTAGCCATACCGGTGTGACCTACTACAACTCCGAGGTTGCCCAACGCCCGAACCTTCGCGTCGTGACCGAAGCGCTGGTCGAGAAGATTCTCGTGGAGAAGGGAGGTGATGGGGAATGCCAGGCCACGGGCATTCGATTTGTCGGGTGTGACGGAGAGCAGCGTACGGTGTCGGCGACCACCGAGGTGATCCTGGCCGCTGGGGCCATCAAAACGCCGCATTTGCTCGAGCTCTCGGGAATCGGAGATGCCGACCGTCTCAAAGCGCACAACATCGAGCCTGTCGTCCACAACTCCAACGTGGGAGAGAACCTCCAGGAGCACGGCTTCGTGCCGTTCAGCTGGGAGGTGGCCGATGGTCAGGTGACCGCCGAAGCCCTACGCAACCCCGAGGTCGCCAAACTCGCCATGGACGCCTGGACGACGTCGGGCGCAGGACCCTTGGGGCTGTGTACCTTGGCGTCGGCGTACATGTCCCTTCCTGAGGAAACAAAGGCCGACGTGCAGCCTCTTATCCAGGAACACCTGGCGAGTGTGCCTCCGCGCCACGAGGCGCAGTACCAGATCCTCCAAAAGATGCTGGAAGATCAGAACGAAGCGTCGGGGCAGTACACCATCGCGCCATTCCAGGTCACGCCGGAGAAGGGTCCGAGTCTCCAGGGGGTTTTCGGCATGTCGGAGCCCGAGAACTATGTGAGTATGGTAGCCGTTTTGAACCGCCCCTTCTCGCGCGGCTTCGTCCACCTGAACTCCCCCGACCCAGCGGCCCTGCCGACGTTCGATCCCAAGATGCTGTCGCACCCGCTGGATCTCGAGCTGCAAGCGAGACACGTCCAGTGGCTCGAGACGCTTGCAGCGACGGAGCCCATGGCGTCACTGCTGAAGCCCAACGGAAGACGGCTCCACCATCACGAGCGGCCATCCGGTATGGAGGTGGCGCGCGAGCTGACGCGCGATCGCATCCTCGCGCACTACCACGTGGTCGGCACGGCGGCCATGATGCCGAAGGAGATTGGAGGTGTCGTGGATTCTCGATTGAAGGTGTATGGGTGCTCGAAACTTCGCGTCGTCGACGCCAGCATCATTCCGCTAATCCCGCGCGGCAACATCCAGACTACCGTCTACGCTGTTGCGGAGAAGGCGGCGGATTTGATCCGGGAGGATAGCATCGTATAGTTATAGCCAATCAAATTCTGTGTATATCATGAAACGTTGTGCCTCGCGACTCTCGGTTTCTATAGTAAATGTAAATATTAAAATTTCGTGTTTGCCCGAACCAATTCATCCTTGACGTAGGCTTGATCATCCGCGCAGAAGTATCTAGAGGAGGTAGAAATTCCGTTTCCAACAGTCACGTAGGCTAGAAAATCACACTCAAAGAAGGTTATGAGAGACTAATATGATGAAAAAGAGATAGAAAGAAAATCAATCGTACCCTGGGCCGGTCTTCCTTTAACCATTTTCTTTGCCTGTCTAGTGACACTCGAAAATAATTTTATGATCACCTCAGTATTCTATATCACTGTATCTGTGATCCAATCTAGAAATAAATCAGGAGCATTGTCAAGTCTTCTGGCCAACTTTAATAGGGACGGCGCCATCTCTTAGCTTATAAACGTAAAAGATACTAAATGTTATGCTTGGCGAGGCGCACTAATGCCAGGTATGTGTATTGAGTGCTTGGGATGATTCTTGTAGCAATAATTGTTACTGTGTCATTGTTTGATAAAGCTTAGAAAGCTAACAGAGGTAAGGCTAACTTATAGACCCTGCTCCGCCCAGACGTCGCTTGAGATGTCTCTCAACTGATTGGATGAGATCTTAATGTTATGCTCGGGCTGGACTGGTAGTAATTTGTGTGCTGCAGCGGAATGTCATGATGGACTGCTGTATAGTTGGGACGTAGCGAAGCCGCTGGTGTCGTGCAGAGCTGACTATGTGGTAAAAGATAGTCTCAAACTTGATACTGGGTGTGTCTTGATTAATGGACATGATGATCACAAGCTTTACAACTTCCCTCGAGTTCGTGAGCCACCATTCTGCATCTGCCTTTAACTTTTGATAGGACTGAGAGACTAACATTGACCGTAACGGTCGGCCATTTTGCATCGCGACCTGAGAGTGATTGCTTAGGGGCCCACGACTCATCAGCCTGCTTTGATGAAGACGCACCTCGGACACGTTTAGACCTGCACTCATCTGAACATGGTCTCCTCATCACTTCATTTTCCAGTCACTTCTCATTCCACTAAAAACATGCTCGTTTCCCATGTCATTTATATACCGAAATGATAAGCAACGAGTTGGTTGTTGATCACCATCCGGTTCACCCAAGTCTCAATTTTGAACAATCCATTCCCCAGTAAGGATCTCAACATTAGCACTAGGATTACCCAGTACCAGAGAGTCTGGGTGCCACGTATCTGGGAGAATTCAGGATCAAGTGTTGCGTTCCTGGTGTCGACATTGAGACTTGCGCAAGAGCTTCGTCGTCGTTCATCTAATCGTACTCCGGAAATTGAAGAGGTAAAAATTGTCCACACACATATTCAAAAAGGTCGTCGGGGATAGTTTCTGGGACTGGCCGTCCCAGGTAACGACCATAAATCATATTCACCGTCATTGGCTCAAAACTAATATATTCGAGGACTTTAGTGCTCTCTTCACGCATTGGGATATCAAACGTTTGAGCGGCATCTGATGTAAAGCCTTGGGTCTCTATGGACGCTGACGAGGTGGATAGGCCACTTGATACTGACCTCGGCGGCGGTCTAAATAGAGCCGAGACCCGCCGTTCAACGATAAGGAGGAGGGGTGTAGAGACGAGCGGCTCTGCTGTTTGATGATAGGGTGCAGTGTTTCTAAATTAGGCCTGGAGAGTAAAAGTGCCCCTTCTTCTAAGTAGCTGATCTACTCCTCCGTGCAAGCCCCCAGCCCCGAGGGCAGTGATTGCGAGGATATATGATCTAGGGCTTCAAGAGACATTGTTTGGGAGCAAGAAATTTCCGATCAAAGGGCTTGAAGATATTAAAATCAGAGATATAAAGAGTTCTCGCATTCGTCTTCTTTGCTGCCGCAAGTCCGGTCCCAGAAATACGCTAGAATTGTTGGTATAGATCAAGATGGCCGGTGGTTTTGTCATAAGTGCTGAAAAGGACCAGATGATGCAGGTATACAGATCAATAAAAGATTTTGTTAACTGATAGAAACAAAAGGGTGGGTTGACAGGTGGGGAAGAGAAAGTGGGAAGGAAGGTGGGAGGGATGGTGAGGTCAAGGTGACGTGAAATGGAAGGAGCCTGCTGTAATACCCGATAACCCTAATGAGAATGACCTTCAGAGTCCGGGCCGGTTCCAGGTGTGACGAACACCGAAATGAGGACGGTTTTATCTCTAAAGACCAAACTGCTGAGACTCGGGGCAAGATCCAACCTTTTCCCTACAAAAGCACGGCTCTTAGTTCGCTTCATGGCGACCTGGGGGGAGGTATCTATAACACAGGAAACATCCCATTAGGCCAAAGTCCACCAATCACCAATTCACAGGCCGATATGACCATGACCCCTGGTGTAATTGCGGTCACACCGGAAGACCGGTCTCCACTGCCTTCAGCGCGGGCGGTGGGTACCAATCGCATTGATAAACGCAATGGCCGCTGCTCGACATTACGAAACAGCGCAAAAGACACCTGCGCCTAGACTAGCAGACACGATTGTCAATGCCTGTGCCATAATAGCCTCGGTTAAGGAAGACATTATGGACCGAGCAAGGGTATCTCATCATGTCTCAGCACTTGTCTCGTTTGATAGACTTGGAGAGCTGGGTCAAATCTCTTCCATCAGACTTTGCATACAGAGTTTTAGTTGACCCCGACGAACTGAAAGAACAAGACGTGTGCATGAGGCGATACGATATATACTCCAGCGTCGAGATCGCCCAGATGTGAAATTTGCAGAGCTGCGCGTGCATTACTCTCCACCGGGCACTTGTCGAGGTACTATCGAAACCCTCCCCCAAACCGTCCTCCACCTTTTTCTTACCTATATCTTACGGGCACCTCCTTACGTCCAACACGGTGATACAGGAGATGTCCCACGATATATGATACAGTGTCCCATATATCATACATGCGGGAGACAAGGCAAGCAATCAGGTTACCTGAAAGCTGCTTGTACTATGCATTTGCTGTGGCCAGTTTACATTGTAGGAACAGCACATACTGCAAGCAATTCTTTGCGTGATTGGATTGTATCAAATATGGGTAAGTTCAGACTGGTCACTGGGATTCAAAACGCGAAGCTAATGGCATTTGATATACAACGGCGGTAATTATCTCGGTATTTGACTTCCTATCCATCTCTCACGATCTAGAATGGGTGGAGCTATAACGGAATCAGGCAGTTTAGGTGAGCTGCAAATAGGGGCGAGTGATCGTTGGGGTCAATACTACCGGGCTATACTTTCAATTTTAGGTAATTTGATTGGCCGATTTCTATGGCTAGTAGTAGATAGTTTCCAGGGCATGGGTTCGACCCACTTGGAGAGTGTGACACTGTTAGACAGAAAACAAAAGCCAACCGACCCCATATATAAAACCCATTAAAATAATATACCCTGAATGTGAACCATTTTGTATACATATACATTGAAGGCGCTGCCATCCAAGACCTGAAGCCTAATTTTAGATATCATACATTCTACAAATGGGATGTTTTCTAGCATGAAACATAATATGTTAGTATGTTCTTTCAATAAAGTCTTTACTTGAATATCTGAAGTAAATGACCCTATGAGAGATACAACCCTTATATACTTTTCTTCGGTGTAATAATGTCGAAAGGATGATGTCATCATAGGGTTTTGATTAGAATAGCCAGTATATCTACCGAGGACATAATCAGATTCAACATCCTATTAATATTTTCCAAATCTAGAGAACACAAATCGTTGTCTTTAAGCCAATATGACTGCCAATACCGACCCCGAGAGCATCGTAAATGAACCTGGTCGCGGCTTCTTGGGTCATCTTGCGTTCCTTCCAGTTGGCTCGGAGGAACATGCGTCTTCTATCCAACACTATCCGTACCGGGGGAGGAAGCAGTTTCTCATTGATTTTGAGACGGAACGACACCACCATCGAACTGATACCAGCGGAGATTACAGTGAATGGTTTCTCCTCACTGGAGTCAATAGTCATATCTTTGAGAACGAATTCCTTGAACCTGTCGACCAAACCACCCCCTGGACATCCTGGAGTTCGTACGACGCTCATATGCAGTTGTTACTCGTCAGAATGACCAAATCACCTGCTCACGAAATCGCCTCCATGACCTTCAATGCTGTGTTTCTGGAAGCCGTGGAGCCCACCGGGCTAAAGCGCTCCCTCACACAATTCGGTAGTACTACTCACTTTGCTTCCCTGGGTGCTAAAGAGCCCGATCAAGCCTGGCGGCCCCGTCGACTTCCCCCCAGCCGCTCGCAAGACTGGCCCAGCGCTGTGATAGAGATCGCCTATTCTGAAACCGAAGCGAAGCTGGGATCTGACGTACGTTTCTGGATGCGAGCGTCGGGGGGTGATGTCAAAGTTGTACTCACCTTGCGCATCGACCGCCATCAGCCCAGAATCAGGATTGAAAAGTGGGTGAGCGGCAGTAAGACCAACACTCGCCATCACCTCGACCAGAGCATCATTATCTCAAAATCAAAGAACAACCAGATCATACCAACCAATGCGCCGCTTACCATTGGCTTTGAGGAGCTGTTTCTGCGACCAGCTAGCATACCAAGGGAGAGGGATATCGAGGTGGATGCGGAGAAGCTGCAGTACCTGGCAACGGAGATATGGGATAAGCAGGGATTCTAAGGTTCTAAAGGGCGGGGGACAGAAAGTAAGGCAGCAATTGTTGATAAAGCAAATTGATGGAAATTAACAAATTGAAAGTGCATAGGCACTAAACCCAAAGATAGATGCCTGTCGTGACAGAAAATTGTGAGGATAAGTACTTGATTCTAGGCACTGCTTGTCTTGATTCGACCTTCAAGTTGGACCTTGAGTTTGAATCATAATAGAACACAAGCATATTCAGCAAGAGTTAAATATTCAAGCAATGCCAGGGGCTTCACCAACCTAGCTGTTCTCTACTAGCAATGGTGCTTCCCACTCCTTCAATCTTCTCTCATCCCAAAGAGCGTAACTCCATTCCCAGTCCGTCTCAGACTCCCGATTGAAATCCATGGAATCCTCAAGTATGTCTTCCTCATTATGGGGCAGCAGCCATGCTTTCTTCCAACCCACAGTAGGCTGTTCAAGAGGGGACAGGGTAGACCAGAGCTGTTCAAAATTTTGGGACTCATACCGATCCGCTGGATCAATAAATGGGAACTTATGATCCCACGACAGCCCGATCCTGAGTCCGATGAATGGGCCCGGCCAGAAGCCCCTGGTATTAATGCAAACGAGATTACGTCGAGAAAGCTGATCCATATGTAGAACGCGATATAGAAATTCAGGCCCTAGTCCAGCCAATCCCTCGAAATGTTGGTGGAAGTGAACAAGGTCACGTTCACTCTCAATCTCACAACCTGAAGGTGGCCGTTGTTCTATAGGAAGAATATCCCAAAAAAACTCGCATGGTGTACTCTTGCTGAGCTGTTGTAAGTCGTCTGTAACCTCCTTGGAAATAGCCTTGGTCTTTGTAATAAGATAACTGAACACGCTGCCCATTTCTTCGTGTTCCCAAGGGGGCATGGTGCCATAGAATAACTGATATGCCTTCTCGTGAATAAACCAAGCACCGTGTGCTCTTTTGAGATCTCTTAATTCGTGTGTTTCCCCTAACTGCCAGACTTTCCTGCGCCCGCACGAATCACAACTTTCGTGCCCGAAACAATGGACTGGGTCCCCGAAGATATTTTTCAGGATTTGGAATCGACACATCGCCCTTAGGAAACGGTGCTTTTCGGAATGCAACAATTGTAAAGGCAGGCATTCGTTTTCCCATTGAATAGACTGGATCCATGGGGGCCTTGGTGCATTGATTGAAAAGTCCTCAAGGAAAAAGCACAGCATTTTGTGAAAATGGAGTAGTTTTATAATTTCCCCTAGGCCGTTGGGCTCGTCCAGTCGATTCGATGAGGATTGACTAAGCCCACGAATCTCATTTCTGCGGCGCCAATTATCCAGCAAAAAAATTGCGTTTTTCATCTGGAGGCTAAAATGCACGCATTGTGACCGCACAGCAGTGAGCGCTTCTGCCAGGTCAAGAAATCCACTATATTGCCGTTTTACAAGACATCCAAGTAGTTCGCTTCTCACTGCAAGATATGCCTGGTGGTATCCGGGTGATGCAAGCACGAGTGATTTGAGGGTATCGCCGTCCTGCACTCGGAATAAGATGAGAATCTTAAGCTCGATGGGAAGACCCTCGAGGGTTGATTCAGCCTGGACTAAATTTTAGCTTAATTTTATTCGAATTGGTGCTTCGGACTCACCATGTTTCATGAAGCTACCAACTGCTGTGTTGGATGGGGAAATGAGGGGTTGACAAAAGAGAGATGTTCTTTCCAAGGCTTCAAGCGCCTGGTCACCCTTACATAAGGGTTTCAACAGTCTATCTAGTCTTTAAACCTGTCTATGTGAGCCGTGTGATGAAAAGCCGCGCGGGTGCAAGCAGGATAATATCATCCAATCAATTCGGCGGTAAACGGCGCTGTGGCGATGTTCCTCCCCCCCAATAACACCAAGCTGGGCCTTTGGCGATCGGTGGGGACGCACCCTCGTCCGGCACCCTCGGCCTGCGGCGTGTTTTCGCGTAGGTCATTCGAGAATCTGATTGAACCGATTATCCACCGCTTTCATTTATTACATTACTTAAAGGTACGGATTCTGATGCTTATTTTTAGAGTTGGGTTGGGTGTGGTTGGTGCAGTTTTGAACCGAAAAACCGCATCTTTGCAGAACATCACAAAAAAATGTTGAGATTGATCATCAACTAATCTAACTATTGTCCAGACGTGGTTTCGTTTTTGTTCCAAACTATGAATCCAAAGCAGCACATACCAGATTTAATATTGTACTCTGGTCTACCTAAAGTGGGCAATGAGCGGGGTAGGTTGGTGTGATAACAAATCCTACATGGATTACTTGGTATACATAGAGTATTTCCGAGGAACAAACTTGATTAGTTTACTAGTGTCACGGTCACAAAGAATCTTGAAACCCACCGTCCACCAGACACTCGACTAAACAGACAGGATGCAAATGTAAGATAGCAGCCTGAGACATTATTTGCAAGACAGCGATTGCTGAGTTAGGGGCTTTGATTGATTCATGCACCTTTACAATAGGCAATCCCGTGAACTAAAGCTTCCTATTGATACCTAGACGTTATTCTAGCAACTCTTTTGAACTATCATCTTGTAGTATATCGCGAGACACACTAATGCCAGCTATGTGTGTTGGGAGCTTGGGATTATTATTGTAGCAACAATTGTTAGTGTCATTGTTTGAAAAAGCTAAGAGAACTAACAGAGGTAAGGATAGATTATAGACCCTGATGCCTCCAGACGTCGCTTGAGATGTCTCTCAACTGATCAGATGAGATTTCAATATTATGCTCGGGCTGGACTGGTTGGCGACAAAACAATTCCTCAAACTCGATTATCAAGGGTACTTCTGGGCTGGTGGTAATCTGTGCCCCGCAGCGGGATGTCGTGATGGACTGCCGTATAGTTGGGACGTAGCGAAGCCGCTGATGTCGTGCAGAGCTGACCACGTGGGAAAAGACAGTCTGAAACTTGATGCTGGGTGCGTCTTGATTGATGGACACGATGATCACAAGCTTCACATCTCCCCTTGAATTCGTGAGCCACCATTCTGCATCTGCCTTCAACTTTTGATAGGACTGAGAGACTCCAACTTCGACCGCAACGGTCGGCCATTTTGCATCGCGACCTGGAACTGATTGCACAGGGGCCCACGACTCATCAGCCTGCTTTGAAGAAGACGCACCTCGGATGCGTGTAGACCCTAACGCATCAATCGACCGATGCAGGCTCATATCGTATACCGCTTTTTGCACTCCAAAAAACAGGCCGCGTGAAGCTATCTCATGGACACTTGTCAAGAGCTTGATAATCATAGATTGAGTGTCATAACTGAACATTTGTCGAGTGGCGCTCGAAGACAGTCTTTCCGCAATTGTTGGCGGGACGTTTGTGAAAAGCAGGTATTTTATCACCTTGATGGGAAGGTCCTGCTGCTGCCTTATGATCTTCCGGATAGTGCTGACCTCCGATCCGATGGCTTCATATGTGTCATCAGGTAGTTCTTGAAAGCACTTGACGTCGGAGGAGCCCGATTCATCGGACATATCTGAATGCAACATTATGGCCGGCTCGGGCGTTTTGCAAGTGGTATCGATGTAAACAGAAAATGGTGACATTTTGGCGTCCAAAACTAACTATAAATATAGTCCTAGTCAGTACTGGATAAGGTTTAGTTAGAATCACTATTGAGTCATTCTTACCTCATCAATCAGATGAAGGTTGGACGTGGTTGGCACTCGTGCCAGGGCCGAGGGCAACGGTGAATGTTATCGTTGAATCAAGAGAAGAACCTTCTTCAACAAGGATGATCAAGCAGATGGTGCTAGAGAACGAGTAAAAGTGAAAGAAGAAGATATGGAGAGAAGAAGGATAACGAGGGAAGAGAGAGGGATGGCCGAGGGGAAATAATAAAGAGGTCAGAGGAAGGTGCCAAAGTGACATCTCCTAGCTAGTGAAATAAGGAAAATGGGGGCCCTTTAGGAGAAGCTTTCTTGAGAGATACCACGCCTTAGGTAGTATCGTCTGATTCATGAAGCTGAAGATAGTATAAGTGCACGACACTACCTCACCCTCGTTTTCCTCGTATTGGAAAACCTCCCTTAGGCAAACCAGAAGTAAAAGGTGATCAAGTTCTGAGAGAACCAGAAGCAAAAAAAAAAAAACCAGGCTAATCAACCCAAGATGAAGATGCGCAGGAGGCACTCTTTGACGAGCCAGAAGAGAAGACCTACAGGTTTCAACAGGGATTTTTGACAGCGAAGAAATTTCCAGTGGTTGTGCTCTCCTTTGTAGGCCTGGAACATGCACGCTTTCTTTTATGCCTGCATAGATGGACAGCAAATGGTGAAACTAATCAAAGTAGTAAAACGTATTTGAGAATGAAAAAATAAAAATAAGAATAAGAATAAAAATTAGTCAAAAGCCTACCAGCCGTTAAACGCATATCAATGCGAAATTCAATGAGGAAATGTTGTCAAATGATAGGGAAAGCTCCAAAGAATGCAATGAAACGCCTTCAAGAACAAAGAAACGCCTGTAAGCCGCTAATTGAGTATCGATGTTGAGATTAAGTTAGGGAAAGTTGTCGAATGATAGGAAAACCTCATCAAAATACATTCAGAAGGCTTCGTGTTTCGGTATCCAATGGCCATCTATCCAATGATACCATCTCTATCGTGGCAGGTGATTCTCTAGAGAAATAAACCGTCTCCAAGGCCGCCAGGACTTGCCTTCCGGCATCGGAATATAGTAGTTCTTTAGAACCACCGGCTTTCTGGAGCAATTTTTCATAAGGTACTCCTTAGGGGTACAGAGATAGCGGTTCGTTCTTGAGAGTCGGTTTCAGGTTCTCCCTTTCCAGCTTGAAGTATCCGTCCGGAATCATTGACACGTCACACTGCTCGAGCTCTCTCGCAGTCGCAAATAGACGATACTGCTTTATCCTAGCGCGACTCCGCCTGCCTGGCACAGACCAATTGATATGGCGTTTCAGCGCCCATTCATGGAAAGCCCCGACATCTACCGGCCGAGGGTCACCATCAAAGTGGCCGCCAAGGGAATCGTCCTCGTCTTCAGCGACGAACAGCTTTCGCTTAGTTGTACTTTCTTTTACTGCACGTTTCGTATCAATTATCGATTCAAGAGCTTTAATCGCATTGTCGATAGCGTTGCCGTGCTTAGCAACGTAAGCGGGAGCAAACCCCTTGGCTGGTAAGTGCCACATAGAGCACTCCGAGGGGCGATTATCAGGGCTCACATGGCGGCCATAGTTCCATAAGTCGCTTTGCCCCATTTCGTCTTGATGATTTTCGTGATCAACCCAATGCTTAAGGTCTTCCATATCTTGCTTTGACCACGGTTGCGCACGTGGATTTATCAAAAATTTGGCGTAAGACGTAAACTGAGTGTTCAACTGCTGGATCAGCTCATATTCTCCTGTACGTCGTAATATGCGGAATTTCTTCAGGTTCTCCCTCATTTCGGCATCCTGGTTTAGTTGTTTTTCCTTCATTGTTTTCAACAAGCCTAAAGCCGCGATTTCGCACTTCAATTCGCCCTTAAACTCCTCTGCTATGATGAACTGCCCCACGTCGTTTTCCGTCTTGCCATTAGCACCCATAAACCTGAAATAGGGCTTTTGTGTGATAGCGATTAGTTTCACCGGATCGTACGCGTGGTGCACTCACGCAGAGCGATCTTTCTTCATCACTGAAGGAAACTGCCATGCGTGCCCAACATCAATCGAATCTGACTTGATGTCTTTCCACTTTGGGATTGACGGCAAAGGCTTTTTCAAGGGACAAGGCTGGTCGTGATATAGGTCGGGTTTAAGGTAATTATGGAGTATTTGGTTTTATGAGCTGTTGTCTCGTCATATTTTTGCTCTTCTGAAGATATGGATTCTAGCTCTTCATTGCCCATTTTGCCGCTCGCTTGCTCTGGAAAACGGAACCCTTTGGGGACCGCACCTGCTATCCTCACTGCCTCTATTGAGGAATAGGTAAACGTTCCGATAGTGATAGAACCGGTCTTCTGATTGATTGTGTAGTGAAAAGGAGTCTGCGAGTTCATATCCTGTGTGTTTTCGCCGGAGGTATTCTCGCCCTTGATACTTTGTGGCTGGTCGAGGTATTTCTCAATAACTTCTTTGTCCTTTTCAGAGAGCGTTTGCCTTTCTTTCCTGGAAGTCAAAAGCAGCGAAGGTGCGATATCTGGCAGATCGATTATTTCTCTTTTCTTTTTTTTTCGGTTACTCCGTCCTTAAATATCCAGAAGCCAACCGGAAATCGTTCTTCGTAGTCTTTCGTCTCTTCAGCCGTGAGTGAAGCAATGTAATCAAACTCTTCTGTGTCCCAATAAAAGTCATCAATTGCTCGGCGGTCGGGGTTTTCCTTGTGATCTTCTATCACATTTCGTATTCCACCGAAGAGGTTGAGGTCTTTCTGTAGACTTCTCAAAGCGTCAATTCCACCGTTCCATCTTCTCGGTATTACCGGAAAAAAGGGGTGCAGAGCAGTAAGGTAAGAGATAAGATGTCTGCTAGAATGCACTTGATCAGACAAGGTATGGCGACGACCAGTACATGGGTTGATAGTAGGAGAGGTGAAAGAGGTGAGGAGCCAGTGATGGGGGTAATGACAGGTGAAAGACGTGAGGAGCCAGTGATGCGGGGAAGAAGATGAGAGACGACAGGATCAAACTGATGGGCTAGCGTGGAGAAAAAGAGTCGTGCTCAGGAAAGAAGTTAATCCCACTTGTCGTCTTGTTTTCGACGTTTCCTCTCAAGCTCTCTCTCAAGCTCCAGTAATTGAGCTCAATCCTCTCTAGCGTATTGTCCAGCCCCTCCAACTTCTTGCCTATTTAAAGGATCGTCTTCTTGTAGCGCCTGTCATTGGATCTTGATTTGAATCTCAGTCGCACGCCGGCGTCGCCTTCTCAGCAGGATTTACACTTCAATTGGATGAGCGGAGAAAGGATAAGAAAGTGAAGTTAGGAACACCGGTAAAAAAGAGAGGAAGATATGGTTGTGAGAATCCTGACATTCCTCATGGACAGATCTATAAATATATATTCATTCGTAACATTAGCTTAATGCAACTGAGTAGACGGGGAGCCCTGTTCTCCACACCCTATGGTCGTATGTACTAGATATCTCAATGAATCGCTATATAATAACCATCGCTAAAGTTAGAGTCAGATCAAGAGGCCCTTGCCTAGAGAGTTCACATTGAAGTACAGAGTGAATAAAATTGAACTCAGATATCACAACGATGCCTTATAGTCCTAAATTGTGACAGTATTAAAAGTGGAGATCTCGTATATCTTGGGTTTCTGTGACTGTTATATACTTTAATCAGTGTACGCAGACACATGCTGTATATTATGCGATTGAGAATTGTGCTAAGAGAACTATACAACAGACGAGTCTCTGTTCTATAAGTGTTTATTCACTACAGGTCGAGCTGTCTTATCATCTTGCACCCTTCAGTAAACAATAAAAATAACAATCCTTAACAATGCCACCCTGATCTACATACTACCAGACACCCCAACCACCACAATACAGGCAACAATGGGGCAGTGCAACACCGACATGTATATAACCCAAACTACCAACCCTACGCATCCAAACGACAATCAATCCGCAAAATGCCTCCCACTACATTCCCACAATTTCCCTTTCTACCCCCCGAGCTCCGCCGCCAAGTCTGGTCTCTCGCCCTAGGCAAGCTCCGACCCGCACTATACCCCTTCCGCAAAGACTGCTGGTGTCCGCGCCAACTCCGCGAAGGAGACGCCAACTACGACGCAAACGCATCCTACAACATTGATATCGATCTGCGCCACGAGCTCCTCGACCACGTCCCACTACCACCACGTGCCCCCCGCGCCGTCAACCGCGAGACGCGGGTAATCGCTAACGAGTGGCTCCGCGCGGAGATGAAAACGGTGGAAATCAAGCAGAGACAACTGCCGCCATGGACGTTCAGCTCTACGGGGAATGTAATGTATATTGCGTCGGACCGGTTGTACGACTTTTGCATGGGTCCCTGGGATCGTCTGAATGAGGCGGACGTTGAGGGGCAGATTGTGTGCTTTCAGTATCGGCTTGGGGCGGTGGCTGTGTCGGAGGTGATGGTTCGTGAGATGCCTGAGGATTTGGTTGAGATTCTGGACTGGATGAATTTGGTGGAGGTGCTGTATGTTGTTGTTGGGGAGGAGCCGGATCTGACTACTGTTGGGGTGAGGGTGAGGTGGAGGTGGGAGGTGGATGGTGATGGGAGAACGGGATATATCTGGGATAGTGATGATGATGGGGGTGAGTTTCGGTGGGGAGATGGGGAGAGAGCTGGGGGAGAGGAGCTGTGGGGGGAAATTGAGAGGTTTGGGTGGGAGATTGCAAAGTGGTGTAGGAGTAATGGGGTTAAGCGATTTCAGATTAAGCCGGTTTATGCTGTGCGGTGTGAGTGATATTGGACTTGTAAATTGTAGGGGGTGTATATAATAGTGTTATTAGACCCTCATTACTCTCTATGCAATTCGAATATATCAAAATAGAAATATTATGTGCCTCTAATGCACATCGAGGACTTCAAAAAGATTAGACACTACCATTAACATACTTAGAAGAAACCCGGGCATGACCACAAATCCACCACATTAGCCCAAAATGGAATCATGCACACTGCTTTCTGAACCTGAACTGGCAACTATATCGCCCCAAAAACTGACCACGGTGTAGTTTCATCTCAACCAGCTGAGGCATTCACGGGTATGTCTTGCCCTCTTCGCATACCTGCTTGAACACCTCCTCTGTGTGCTGCACCACTTTCTCAACCGCACTCTCGGCCCTCGTCTTTTCTATCTTCTTTTGTGGCGGAAACGTTTCACCGTCCCAACTCACCCAGTAACACCCACTCCCCTTGGTCCCATCGCTACCAACAGCAACATCTCCTTCCACATCCCCTCCCTCAGCCTTCGGAGGATATCTCCCACTCATCGCTGCAAACAGATGCCTCTCCCCACTCTCCTCAAGGGGCACCATGAACGGTCTCAATAGCGGCATCAGCACGGCTGACAGCACGCGTCCAGCTGGTAGTTCCCGTAACACGCCCGTGGCCACGCCAGAGGGGTACGCGTGGACGAACGAGGTCTGCGGGTTGTGCTGGGCCATGCTCTCCAGAAAGAAATTACCCATCAGACTGGCATGCCAGCCGCACTTTTGGAGGCTAAAGCTGTGCTTCAGACTGAGGTCCGAGAAGTCGAGCGTGCCGGGGCCACCTGTACGGACGGAGACCATCGGGTCGAGTACAGACACAACGCGGGATATTCTGGCGTTGTTGTTGACAGAAGAGTCTTGAGCGGCTACGTTTAAGAGGGGAAGCAGGTTGTTGATGAACCGCATTCGCGCGTAATAATGCAGCACAAATTTGCGGTCCAGGCCTTCGATTGTCTCGTCTCGCCCTTTCAGCGTCAGATATCCCGGTGTCATAAAAAGCAGGTTGACCTTTTTCTCTCGTGCCGCGATCTGGGCGCAGACGCTGTCGACATTCTTGAGGAGGGATATGTCGGTTTGGAGAAATGTTGGCTGGGCGGAAGGATTGATGGTTTTCATAGAAGCGATGGCTGTATCGGCCGCGGACTGGTTGCGGCCAATGAGATAGATCTTGGGTGAAGGGGTGTGACGGGTCAAGGCGAGGGCGGTTGACAGGGCGATGCCCGAGGTGCCACCGACTGAAGGAATCAGTGAGATGTAGGGGCTTGAAGAGAGGAGATTTTGCAGCCTCTTGCTTTATAATAGCGGGTTGGCATGCTGGAGAGATTAAACGTACCAAAAACCGCGACGAGATCTGAGCTCAGGGATTTGAGGGCCGCATTGTGCGCCTGGACGGCCTGGAGGTTCACCATTGTTGCTTTGACCTCTGTTGACTGGGTAGATGGATCTTGAATTGTCTTGCTGGGAATATCAATCAGGTTAAGCCCTTCTGGAATACTGTTCAGTAGTTTAGTGTAGTGGTTGATAGATTATGAGCCCGGCTGTAAGATCATGAGTTTAATCCTTCCCTGAACTCCCTGTAAAAGAGCCACTGTAATCCAGAGAGTTACTCAGAGTCGGTGCCTAAAAGGAGTCGGAGTCAGCCTGTGCCTAACAAAGACCAGTCCGGAAAAGGCTAGAGCCAGTATCAGAGCTAAGGATAGCCAGAGTCTGGGTCTTCAAGTACACTTTAGGGTTCGAGGCATGTGTGTTGGAATCAATCAGGTCAAGCCCTCTCAGCTTACTGGGAGATTAACAGCGAGCATCCGACAGCACGAACTATTGTAACTGGTTACTCGCAGCTGTCGGGGAGGAGAAATAAGGTCCAACAAGAAAGTGGGTGGGTCGCTGTACTACTTATACGGGTCGCCATGGATCGCCCCACACCAAGATCGTATGGGTCAGCTCGAATCGCTTCATCACAACATCAAAAAACGGAAACCTCTTCCTACGCTTCTGATTCCACTGGTGGAGGTATCCTTTGATCACCCGTTGAACACATTCTACAGGGGCGATCGACTGCCTGCTTTTCGCGCCAGAAACGGTAGTCTTTCAGCACGATAAGAATCACTATAAATTAATCGTAGTTTGAGAGAAATAGATGTAAAAGTATAATAGTATTTTTATCCAGAGTTTATTTTGTACATATATTATTGCAAATATTGAAATAAAGTCAAGTTGTTTGGTGTCACCGGTTTCTTGCAGATCCGCGCGGATTCAGACACCCCGGCCCCACCCCCGTTCGGGTTCCCGACCACCCGTCCCGGAGCCTTATCCCGAGCGGATTGGGGCGGCCCCGGGGCCGAGGTACGGGGGAATCCAGCTACTCTATCTTTAATCGTAAATAAAACCATCTCTTTGTCCTATTTTGATATTGTTTATTCAATTTCTTTATGTCTATTTTTTTTTTGACCCAACAGACCAATAGACCATGCACTGATAGCCCCATTCATTACTCCGTACTTCCTTCGCGTTGGCGTAAACCTGTAGATGCGCCCATCACCTTAGTATGACACCTGGATCTTCCGCACGTGCTCCCTGACCCTCCTTAATCAATTAAGTTATCTTCTAAAAATCTGAATTTTACCCCATAAAGCAGTGGGCTCTGTTTCGTGGTAGCTTTGCAACCTCCTGGAAGTGAATTGACGCGTTTCTGATACTTTGCGAATCACTTAGCAAGGATGATAAACCACACCATTGTTACTAACACTGAGATCCTATCTGAGTTTACCGTAAATAACAGCCAATTATTTATTTGTAGCTTACTGTGTAGTGAAATGTTCAACTGTCAATGGTGCTGCCTGGGGTGGGTCGGCCGTGTTGTTCGGAATCCAGGCCAGGCCATCGACAGTTGGTATTCATCGCGGCGACACGAGGCTTGATATAGCCGATCCATTCTATCTTGAGTTAGAGCGAATCATGACAATAATGGCGTTTTGGATCTACATGATTGACAGGGATCAGCCCATTTCCATACTGAGTATTTGGCCGACAATCTAACCCAATACAGCCGAAACCCGCCTGTGCATGATTCACCTTGAGTATAGCAAGGTAGGCAAACAAAGACACTCTCACTTTCACGGCCAATAATTGAAAGCGGTAGACTGGTTGCTGATTATGGATGTGAAGTATCGAAAGGGACGATGGACAAAACGTCCACGGCATATATGAGGTCCCCGAGGTGTGGGATATTTGGGTGACACCAACCAACAGTGGGTTGTGAAAAAGCAACAGCTTTGGTTAGTCAAAACTGAAAGTATATAAAACCAGGGGCCACGCTCGAAGCAATGTGCTGCTTTATATAGCAGTGAAGTCCCCATGCTGTCGTCTGCTAACGGTAGTCGACAGTGATACCACAAACCGACAACCCACGGTGTACCGTTCCAGCTTCGCTGCTACCTTCTTTACAATAGTTCATACTTTCTAGTCCATGCGCACTGGCGAGATTGGACAAGAGCAACCCCGAAGATGAGTGCTCCGAGCACGTGCGGGCCCAATGGCAACCGAGAGCTTAAATGTGCAGAGGACAGCATCTCCAGCTTCGATGTGAGGGAGGCAGAGATTCTCAAACTGACCAGACGATTTACGGAGCAGAGTCATGGATCAAGCGCGGCACAGAATCCCTTCGCTGCAGAGCCTGGATCTACCCTAGACCCAAATGGTGCCAACTTCAATGCCCGTGCATGGTGCAAGGCCATGCTCCAGGTGAGCACCGAAGATGGTCAAGCACATCTACCTAGATCTCTGGGTGTAGCCTTCAGCAACCTAAATGTGCACGGGTTCGGTTCAGATACCTATTTCAAGAAGAGCGTGGGGAACGTCTGGCTAGAAGCTGTCGGTCTGGCAAGGAGGCTCATGGGTCGACGAAAGCGCAAGATCAATATTCTGCAGAACTTGGATGGATTGGTGGAAGCTGGGGAGATGCTTGTCGTCCTTGGACCACCTGGCTCAGGATGCACGACGTTCTTGAAGACCATCGCTGAGAGACGTACGGCTTTTACGTCGATAAGGATTCAGACCTTAATTACCAAGGTACGACCGTTGTCATCCACGTGCTGGCTTGATACTAATCATCAATAGGTGTGAGCGCAAAGCAAATAGCCAACGCGTTCAGATGAGAAGCCATATATGCCGCCGAGGTCGACGTTCATTTCCCCAAGCTCACGGTAGGGGATACGCTCTTCTTCGCTGCCCGGGCCCGAGCACCGCGACATCCTCCTGGAGGAGCAACAGTGACTCAGTACGCCACACATATGCGCGACGTTATCATGGCTTTGCAACCCCCAAGCAGTACATGCTAGGATGGGCTCGCTGGATTTCCCGGATTAACCTCATCAACTACGACTTTGAGTCTCTGATGATCAATAAGTTCTATTACCGCGAGTTCAAGTGCGTCAACTACGTCCCGTCGGGTCCTGGATACGCGGGGCTCGACCCGAGCAACCATGTTTGCTCCACAGTCGGGTCTGTATCGGGACAGCCCTATGTGAATGGCGACAGCTACATAGAGTCGGCTTATGGTTATAACCACTCGCACAAGTGGAGGAATGTTGGGATTATATTTGCCTTCATGCTTATCTTCATGGTGATTTATCTGGCTGCTACCGAGGTGATCACCGAGAAGAAGTCAAAGGGCGAGATTCTGGTCTTCCGTCGCGGACATAAAGCCCTGAATAAGGACAAGTCAGGGAAGGATGTCGAAGGCGGTAGTGGCCGCAGCATTGCTGTGGAGAAGAAGGCCCCATCAGATAGCCTTGCCATGATTGAGCGCCAGACTGCTATTTTCCAGTGGAAAGATGTCTGCTATGATATCAAGGTTGGGAAAGAGGATCGCAGGATTCTTGATCGCGTTGAGAGGTGAGTCAAACTAGGTACCTTGACCGCGCTTATGGGAGTCTCTGGTGCCGGGAAAACTACGCTGTTAGATGCCTCCACCACTCGCACCATCATGGGTGTTATTTCGGGGGAGGTTCTTGTTGATGGCAAGCCTCGGGATGAGTCCTTCCAGCGCAAGACCGGGTATGCGCAACAACAAGATTTGCACTCGAGCACCTCCACAGTGCGCGAAGCCCAAACCTTCTCGACCCTTCGAAGTCATTAAACTCCTAGAGATGACTGGGCTCAATGTTGAGCAACGCAGACGTCTTACCATTGGTGTGGAGCTTGCTGCAAAACCAGCTCTACTGCTCTTCTTGGATGAGTCTACCTCTGGGCTTGACTCTCAGACATCGTGGGCTATCCTTGATCTTCTCGACAAGTTGAAGAAGAACGAACAGGCTATTCTGTGCACTATCCATCAACCTTCCGCGATGCTGTTCCAGCGCTTCGATCGTCTCCTCTTTCTTCAGACTGGGGGTCGCACAGTCTACTTTGGTGAAGTCGGTGAAAACTCACACATCCTGATTGACCAATCTGTCCGCAATGGTGGGCCTCCATGCCCTCCAGATGCTAATCCCGCCGAATGGATGCTCGATGTCATTGGCGCCGCTCCCGGATCCCATACCGACATTGACTGGTTCGACACATGGCGCAACTCAATCGAGTATGCTCGCGTCCAAGAGCATCTCGCCGAACTGAAGCGCGAACGCTCTCAACAGACCGACCTTTCCTGCGTCGACTCGGGCCAGAACCACGGGGATAATGCCAGCTACCGCGAGTTCGCCGCTCCCTTCTCTGTGCAGCTCTGCGAAGTCCAGCTTCGTGTGTTCCAGCAGATCTGGCGCTACCCCACACACATCTATTACAAGGCCTTACTGTGTGTCAGCTCAGCTCTCTTCGCTGGCATCTCCCTTTTTCGTACACCCAATACGATGCAGGGGCTTCAGAACCAGATGTTTGCCATCTTCTTGTTGTTGACTCTGTTTGGTCATCTCATTCAACAAATCATGCCGCATTGCCGAAGTTGGAGTCGAAGGGGGTCCGGATTATATTTCACTAATAATTGTAGAATTTTGTAGGTTTTTGGGGGGTTGAGAGGTTTGGGGGGAAATGCGACGTTTTTGGTCCAGAGACAATGTTAAAAGATTGGATATGGAATCTCTTGCAAACCACGACTCTACTACCACATGCCAATTCGTGGTTTGGTCGCATGGTCAATGTAAGAGAAGCTAACAATAATCGAGTAGATGTGACTAAGAAGCTACTGATCTATATAAATAAATTGTGTGCGAAAAAGTAAAGCACACAACGTGTAGAACACACTGACGAATTCTTGTGTTTAGTCCATTCGCCATCATACAGGAAAATATAAGATTCATTGCTAGACAGTGAATATGAGATACTGGAGTTATATCATAGTTCAAACCTAGAGTAGCATGGAATTCACTTGTTATATCTATATAACATCGAAGTATTTAAATCCAATCAAACCATCTAATTTACTCCCCAGTAGATAGATATCCATATACCTTCTATTAGACATGTCATCGTCAAGTATTAAAAAAGAATTCGATCATTTGATTGGTTGTTTGTTCCATGATGACGATCTCTAGTGCACAAGCACGCCATATATCAGTGTGTTTGACGTGATCAGTACTCGTACCTGTATACTCGGGACATAGTGAACATTTCTTCGCATGAAACTGTTTGATGTACGTAGTTATATCTGTAAACAATATCTAAGAAAGATAGAATATGGGTGTCCTGTCACTCTAATTCAAACGCAATTATCATTCCGTGGAATGGTCAGAGCTAGCTGTTGGATGGCATCATCCCCGGTGACATGCAAGTGACTCTTCAGACTTCTCTCCATCGGCCCATGCGGGGTAAATCCATCGAGTCGAAGGATTCTTGTAGGTCGCTGTATTTAAGAGAGAGAGCAGGCTTGCCACTCTTGTAAACCATCTTGTCCAGAGACCAGAATACAGTACCAGCATCATACCTGCAACATGGCCACCCAGACAATTACCCAAGCCGAGCCTCCTTTAGAGAAATATGTCCATCTCCCTGAAAGCCAGCAACCGCGTAAGTATTTTAAGCCCCTCCATTCAATCACTGTTACTAACTCTCATGATATATGCAGTGGACTACGTGGACCTCACCACAATCGACCTCTCCCTCTATGACACCCCAGGCGGCAAACAAAAGCTAGCCACACAACTCAAACAAGCCGCGCACGAAGTCGGCTTCTTCTACGTAACCAACTTCGGCCTCACCCAAACCCAACTCAACCGCCAATACGCCATCGGCCGCGACCTCTACGCCCTCCCCATCGAAGAGCGGCTCGCGCACCGCGCCCCCCTCGAAGAAGGCAACTACAACGGCTACCGACCGCTCGGCGCCGTCGAGATCGCGCCCGGCATGCGCGACAATGTCGAAATGTACAACCTCTTCAAGTTCATTCCGCAAACGCAGCGCTCCCAGCCCGACGTCCTCAAGCGCCACTGGGCCGAGATCGAGTCCGTCCACCGCCACATCCACGAGCACATGGCGCACAGACTCCTCCGGCTACTGGCTATCGCACTCGAGCTGTCCGACGAGGACGCCCTCGTCCGTGGACACCGCTACGATGCAAACTGTGACAGTGCGCTGCGGTATATGATGTCGCGCGCGCGCTCGGCGGAGGAGAATGCCCGCTGTGCGGGCTTGTATACGCGTGGACATACGGACTTCGGGACCCTGACGTTTGTGTTTCAGCAGCCTGTGGCGGCGCTGCAGGTGAAGAGGGCTCCTGAGGCTGAGTGGCAGTGGTTGCGGATTCCGGAGGGCCATGTGGCGGTTAATATTGCGGATATGGTTGAGTTGATGTCGAATGGGTATTTCAAGAGTGGTGTGCATAGGGTGGTTGCGCCGCCGGAGGATCAGGCGGGATCGGATAGGTTGGGTTTGCTGTATTTTGTGCGTCCAAGTGAGGAGCTGAGTTTGAGGGGTTTGGGTGCGCTTGATAGTCCGCTTTTGAAGCGGTTGGGGTATTGTCGCGATGCGGGTCAAGAGGCTGTTGTGACGGATGATGAGGGTAAGGCGGATATTCCGGCGACGGAGTGGGTTCGTGCTAGGGTGAGGAAGAATTGGGTCCGGTCGGATACGAAGGATGTGTTGAGTATGGGGAATTTTCGGACTCAGCTTGTGTATGATTGATTTGCTACTTTACAAGTGTATATGGTTGGTTTTTGATGTTGATTGATTTGATAACACACCGGTGTATACCATGGCAGTAGAGGAGTGGATAAACGACGTCAGAAGGTGGGGTCCAATAGAGCGGCACCTTTCCCCTCCTGTCTACTCATGGTTCAAAATTTTCAATCTCTATACAACTCTTCCCCTTCAACACAGTAGACTGTATTAATCGCGAATATGCCACGCCCATCGACCAGACAGGAAGTCCTTGCCCGCCTGCGCAAGACCATCGACTCCGGCGAGATCATCGTCGGAGCGGGGGCCGGTACGTCTATCCACTTCCCAGTCACCCGATTTTATACCACCACGAATCTAACAAAGAGGAAGGAATCGGACTGTCCGCAAAATTCATGGAAAAAGGCGGCGCCGACATCTTGATCGTGTACAATTCAGGCCGCTTCCGCATGGCCGGCCGAGGCTCGTTGGCGGGGATGATGCCCTATTCCGACGCCAACCAGGTGGTAGTTGATATGGTACTTACACCTTGGCAAACAACATATAATACAAACCAAATAAAGTGAAATTCAGATAAGTTAACAAAGTACAGGCCAACGAAATCCTTCCCATCGTGCAAAACACGCCCGTTCTGGCCGGCGTGTGCGGCACCGACCCCTTCCGCAGCATGCCGGAGTTTCTCGACGAGCTGCGCCGCATAGGGTACATCGGGGTGCAGAACTTCCCGACAGTGGGTCTCATTGACGGCGTGTTCCGCCAGAACCTCGAAGAGACGGGGATGGGCTACGACCAGGAAGTGGAGATGATTCGGCTTGCGCACGAGAAGGACCTCGTGACTACGCCGTATGCGTTCAATGTCGATGAGGGGGAGAGGATGGCGCGCGCGGGCGCGGATGTGATTGTTGTGCATTTGGGGCTGACGACCAGTGGGACGATTGGTGCGCAGACGGCGAAGACGTTGGATGATTCGGTGCGAATTGTTCAGGAGGTGAGGGATGCGGTTGTTGCGGTTAATCCGGAGGTTATTGTGCTGTGTCATGGGGGTCCGTTGGCGGGGCCGGAGGATGCGCAGTATGTGTTGGAGAGGACGAAGGGTGTCCATGGTTTCTATGGGGCCAGTAGCATGGAGCGGTTGCCGGTTGAAACGGCTATTCTGGAGAATGCAAGGGCTTTTAAGGGATTGAAGGTGGGGAGACAGTCATGATATATATGATTGGGTAGTCTAATAGTATGAACTTGATCCGTGAGGATAGTGGTGGCCGTTATGAAAGCAATTTCCAAAGTAACCCTCATGTCTAAGGGGTCATACGTAACCCTCCATTCGCGCACACCACACTTCCCGTACACCATGCTCCGTCCGGCGTGCACAGCATCCCGACCACACCTGCAATCTCCGCCGTGAACGCGGGTCGGCGACCACCCATCTTTTCCATGATCAACCGCTTCTGCTCGTCGGTCAACTGGTCCAGCTGCGCGTCCTTCCCCAGCATCATCTTGCTGAGCGGAGTATTATCTTGGAACCCTTGCATCTGCTTCCAGAAGTCCTCGCCCGTGGCAAAGTACATATCCCCAATAACAGGGCCCGGGTTCACAGCGTTCACAGTGGCGCGGTCGGACAATTCGCGCGCCCAGGTTCGAGTCATCGCCTCCAGGGCCGCCTTAGTGCCGCCGTAGACGGACTGTCCGGTGAAGCCCAAGCTCGACGACACGGACGAGATGTTGACGATGCGACCCGTACGATCATCCGGCAGGAAGGGCATGCAGGCCTGTGTCAAGAGGAGCGGGGCGAGCACGTTGATCGTGTAGTGCCAGTTGAAGTACTCGGCGTCCATGGGGCCCTTGGTCTCATCGTTGAGGAAACGGTCTGCGGAGACGCCAGCGTTGTTGACCAGAATATCGACCTGAAATTTCCCAGACGAGGAAGTGAAATGCTCCTTTGCGGACGAGAGGATCGTAGCGACAGCCTCCTCGGGCTTAGCAAGATCGGCCTGCACAGAGACGCAGCGGATGGAGTGTTCAGACGACAGAGTACTGCAGAGCGATTCGGTCCGAGCACGGGAGGATTCAGATGTGAAGTTGAGAAGGAGATTGCAGCCTTTGGAGGCGAGGTTCCTGGCGATAGCTTCACCAATTCCTAGGGGGGAGTTAGCCACAATAGTGGGGTATGCGATAAGGTGAGGGGTGTTTTACCCCGCGATCCACCGGTAACAATGCCAAATCGGCCTTCCAATACTCGAGACATGATGAAAAATAATCACTCTGACGAGAGGGTTCAAATGGGAGAAGGGAATAGGAAAAAAACGTAAATAATAAGTGGTAATGGGGTTCTTATACAAATGTTGACACTGGGGGTATCGCGAGTGTTTGGGACGGTGGATCCCCTGGGGAAACCTCCTCCACCTCAGCGGGAAATTGCCTATTTTGGACTCCCGGGGATTTAGCCGGATATGCGCATAATTAATCAGCTGCATACTTCCCTGTCTTATGCTCTCATTTTCCCTCTATTTTTTTTTCTTTTTCAGATTCCTGCCTGATACCAGGGCGTTGTTGCCTGAGCCCGCGGCCAACCCGATTCAGTGAACAATCTCCACCTCGGTATCAGTCAGGAACATTAGAAGCAAATCGACCAGATAGCTTAATTTTTTCTCAATATTCTACCCCACCGATGGCTGTTGTTTCTTAATGCTCCCTGCAATATCCGCCCTGCACGTCCAACAGGGTTCATCCAACCGAATTGGGACGAAATCTCAGCCACAGGCCTCAGGATCGTGAGGCCAAAATGAATGATGATTCCCTCGGCAGCGACCCGGTAGGTCAACTGGACCCAAACACCTACGCAGCTCCCTGAACCTGTCTGACCGGGCTTAGTCCACCAAGTTGGATTTTATCAACTACCTCTGCCGCGTACTCTCGTCGGATGTCGACGTCTGCTTTGCTCCCTCTATAAGACACGAGCCTCCCCCCATTGTCACATTAAATGAGATCCGGAATGCGAAGGACATATGTCCCTCGAGCATGGGCGGCTCCAAGATCCTAGAGATTAATGTATCAACTATATTAAAGGTTGGACCGATGGTGCGCATGGGGGAGGCCGAAACCCTCTATCTGCTCAAGGAGAGGACATCCGTCCCCGTCCCCCGCGTCCTCAATGCCTATGTGATCGGTGATATCGGGTTTATCCTGATGGAGAAGATTCCTGGAAAATCTCTGGAAGACTGCTGGGAAGACATGGCGGAAGACTCGCAACGGTCCATTGTCCGGCAATTGGCCAGTTTTATACAGGAGTGGCGCCGGATCGAAGGGCCCGTCTTCGGGTCGGTCGATGGTGGGCCGTGCGAGGACATCCTGTTTAAGCATTCGTGGGATGCACAACCCCGTCAGTACGGGCCCTTTCAGACTCGGAAGGAATTCAATGAAGGGGTTGTACAGGCCCTTCGCTACTCGAGACCGCAAGCGAAATTAACAGCGAAAGATGAGCCCCTGGCGGAGAAGGTTTTGGCCTCGGGCGCTCAAGATGAGAGGAAGGTGCTGACGCATGGCGATCTGCACCAGAGCAATATTATTGTGGACGACGACGTCGTCACGGGGGTTATCGACTGGGGTGCCGCGGGATACAGCATCTGGGCAAGGGAGTATTTTGGCATACGATGGCAAGCGTTGGATTTAGAATGGAGGGAGCTTACATCGACCCTCGTCGGAGTCGATGAGTACGAATTCTGGGCCGAAGTGAATCAATCCATGCTGGATTACACGGGTATCTGAGGCTCAATATACAGGGAGGAGTTTGTTTGCTTGTTTCATTTTTTCAGACCCATCCACTTGTCCCCCACCGCGCCTCGAACCGACCTTGCTGGCTTTCCGACCATCCCCTTCCAGAACTGACAGGTGCCGGGTGGGACGAGCTCGTTCACCTCCAGGGACAGCAAGGTGTCAAACACCCAATCTTGGCATTTCTTCTTTCCATCCCTTGGTGCCCGCTCCGAACTGATCACCCTGATCGCCTCCTGTCGTTGCAGATCGGTGAGCTCGCCCAGTTTGACCTTCCCAACCGCCTGCATGGTGACCAACGGGGTGCTCATCCGCGGCTCGAACTCGTACCAAAGCCTGTCGAGGTCGAGTAACTTGACGTGGAGCAGATCGCCGACAAGCTGGGATGGTCGGTTGATCACGAACCCCCAGTGGGACCGGTGTCTCGGGTCTTCCCCTAGCCCAAATATTTCGATAGAGAGCTCATAAGCCATGACTATCTGCTTTGATATCTAATTAGTTTTGAATAATGAGAAGCTTGACCGCCGTCACACAGCAGCGTGATACGAAGAGTGAGACACGAGATGTAGTACCTAAAGTCGTTGGTTGGCTTTTGGTGTCAACAGACACCTAGCCCTTGTGGAGACAACACTTCACTGTATATGCCAATGCGAGGCAATAAGCTTGGATCATGAATTTCTCAACAAAGACATCTTCTTTGTTCCTGCCTTGAAGAAAACCGAGCATAACCTTCCGCAGTCACGTGGTGTGTGCCCTTTATTGGTTGCCAAGTAAATCAACCAAACTTTGCTTGCTGGTCCAGACCTTCTCCATCTCAGGCGCATCATCCTGCCAACTCACGCATCCCACCGGAGCTCACCTACACTTATCAGCACCAGCTGCAAGCGTCCTACTATGCGGTGGATAGTGACCAATGGATGGAGGTGTATTCACCGCTAAAGGCTGCGCGACGCTGGTCGTGTCTATCAGAACATCCGCTGATCATCCGATTCCATGCAAGCTCAGCTTGATATGTAAGATTCGAGCTTTGTCTTCCCTTTCACTGAGATATCATCATATATTACGAATGATAGCCTACTTCGACAAACAACCCTAGTACAAACCAATTGAGCCCATCTCGCACGCCCCTCGATCCGCAAACCCAGATCAACCGCTCCGCAATCTCTCTGCAGGTGGCAAAATTCCTTCTCTCTCTAGCGTCTCGAACGTCCTCTCAAAGGCCTCCCACGTATCCTCATACCCCGACCACCCCAGTGCTCTAGCCTTGCTCATGTTCCCCACACACCCCCATTCGCGTCCCAGCACAAACGTCAAGAAGTCCCACGTCGCGCCGTCCCATGCCTTCTGATCCAGGTTATACTTGTCACGCAGCTGTGTCCATGCCTCCTGGACGTCCTGGCGTTGGGCCCACTTCTGCGGGTCAACCGGCAGTCGCAGCACCGGTCGCTGCGTGCTCAATGCGTCGTCCTCGGGGATCCCCAGTTCGCGCGCGTGCACGCAGATCGGATGACTGTTTGGCAACTGCGTCTCCGTCGCGCACGAGCTATCTGCCTGCTGGCCCCCAGGGCCGAACATATTCTCCGGAACTGTGCAGCCAAACCGCGCAGCGAGACGCGGCCACAGCCTTTGGAACGACTCGGTATCACCGTTAGTGACGTTGAAGATATTGTTCCCAGCCCCCGGCGCCGTAGCAGCCCACAGGCAAAACCGCGCGTGCGTCTCAGCCGACGTCCAGCAGTTGTAAGCGAAGTAGTTGGTTCGGTTCCCCGGGTAGATCAGCTTGGAGCCCGGCAGGGCCTTGCTAGCGGCGCAGTACAGGCCCAGCGCAGTCGCCTCGTTCATGAAGTTGTTCTTCGCGTAGCCGATCACGTCATTCGGCAGCGTGCAGATCCACTCCCAGCCTCCGCGCCGGGATGCCTTTTCGAGGATGTCTTGCTGCGCGTAGTAGAAGTTAGGCGGCCAGGCGCGGCCGCCTGCTCCGTTCTCCAACCGCGGGTCGGACTCCAGCAGCGGCTGCTTCGGCAGACCCAGATGGACGCCGTAGTGCTTGAAGCCGCAGGTCAGGATCAGCCGTTTGAGCTCCTTGATTGCACCCGTGGTTTCGAGGGCCTCGATGAAGTTAGACAGCAGAGTGCTGTTGACACGCGCGGCTTCACCTTCGTCGGAACGCGCGAGGTACGCGCTGAAAAAGACGTAATCCGCTGATATGCCCTGCAGGGCCTGGGCCATGTCCGTGGCGGATGCTTGCAGGTCGAGCTGGGCGTGCTGGATGCGCGGATCTTGGAGGCCTGGCTGACGCCGGGAGAGCGTGTAGATCTTTGTGTAGGAGGGGTCTTGGAGCAGATGCTGCACGATGGCGTTGCCGGTGATGCCGGTGGCGCCGGTGACTATGGCTGTTGGCATTTTAATTATTTTAAAGAATATTAAGGTATGTGCATTGAGTTGTCAATATGTGGTGCAGTATATTTATTGTTTGAGAGAAACAGGACCACTACATATGCTTCTATGGCGGTTGAGTTTAATCATAAAAACGTCATCGTTTCGATTGAGTTTGCGAAGCATCATATCTCAGCGCAGGTTCCACAAATAGGTTCTTAATAATTCTAGGGAGTTACCAAATAAGATATAATCAGATAATGTTAACAGGATTTGGTTTATGCTGGGTCTATCTGTGCTTAAACTCAACAGCTTCTTACAATCATCTTCTGGTCTTGGGGTTAGGAAGTATAACATGCTTCCTGACCACTATTTATCAATTGATCAGATCCAAAAGTATAGTTTAAGTCACTCCCCGCTTAGAGATGCAATCTCACTACTTGATCTTCGCATTGTTAGCCTGTAATTGGTGGCCAACGCGCGAGCAAGGAATGCCCCTCGCCTGGTCTGCATGACAAAACCGCCGTGAATTATACTCATCCTCGATCCTTTTCTCGTCTATTTGGCTCGGATGGTTTTCACAAGATGTCCGACACTTCAGAAGCACAGGAAAAGCGCACAATCTACCGTTCTGCGCTCCGCAGCATCAAAGAAGAATCACTAAATTGGAAAACCCTCAGATCAGCGCACAGGAAGCGAGCGACGCGGGGATTCAACAGGAATCACTGTCTCTCGAAGACGAGTCGAACTATCCATACTTCCTTTCTCCGCTCAAGGAGGCTCTCACGCCCGCAAAGAGGCCAGAGTATCCAACCTATAATGACACTTTCGAAGACTATATGAACGTCAAGGGTCTGTCGATATACATGCAAAACTACACGGCGCAAGAACTAAAAAAAGACCACTCCACCCCCCAGGTATCTGTTATAGAGCGTATGATTAGCTTAAACTTGCTGGCAAGATCTCAGCTTACACTTTTCCAGACGGGGTGACTTCAATTTCGAGGCTCTCTTCGAGGATCTCTATTTCTGGAGCGTGTCCGTGACGTGTCCGACACCAGCGGACACCAGGCTGCTTCATATGAAATGCTAACTGGACGACGACGTCACTGGAGACGATCGGTTGACTCGAGGAAAGCTTATCAGTATTATCAATATCATGGTAGGCCGGCTCAATACCAGGTCTCTTCGTTCCCGTTTGATAGCTCCAGTACGCTTTTATTTTCTGCTTGCTTTCCAAAGATCTGGAGTTTTATCTCGTTGCTAACGCTTTCCTGCGAAATAGGTTATGGTGTACTCTATCATGGGCCCGGAGCTCCTTTGCGTTGTAGAGGCATATTACAATGGGCAGAGTCTCATCGTGCGCAAGTCAAGACTGTATGGCATGAGGGAATATAATCCAGGACAATTGGATTTACTCACCAGGTGGTGGTTGGGATTTGCAATTGGAGAAACTACGGAAGCTGCCAATGATTTTGACTGCTGATTATGTCTACAGAAAGCTGGGTGACATTTCTAATGACTGGATGGTTGCTTTAGTTATCGCGGTGCTGAGTGTGTACTTTTCAATGTCGATTTTCATGTCTATACGGCCAACGGTGGTGTTGCTTCGCGCTTAAGGAGTTTGGTGGTTATGGTTACTATCTTGGAAATTCAGTCTTGTATATAGTATACCCCTCAAATCTATGTTGGGGGGTTTATATGTGACTGAAGCTTGTCACTCTGATGTGTTTACACTAGTTATATATTACTGATTAATCCCAAACTAGTGAGAACCCAGGTGCCTATGCTTGGTCTACCTAGTAGCTTGCATAATGGAAAGCATTTACACAGAAGAGATTCAAGGAATTGATAAAAACTGGTATATACAAATATATCTACAATGTACAGCGTACAGGGTAAATATAAATATAGCAGTGATAACCGTTGGTTGCTTATGCGGGGATCCACCGGATCGGACCTTCAACTGTCGCCAGTTAGCAGTAGGCCCCCATCATTCTCGACACCAACCTTCCTCTCCATTCAACATCGACCTACGATTGACGATATATTTCAATTCCTACGCCCCTCAACGTGAAAACAGACTACAATCTCTACTAATAATCACCGTCGACTCCGTCTCAAAACTTACACTGAACACAGAGAGAAAGAGCACGAAAACAACAGTGATATCATACCCTCACCCAACTCAACACCTCCCTTCCTCCAACACCCACCAACAACCAAACAACCAAACGAACACAACCGAAAGAAAAAAGACATAATAAAAATGGGCAGCATCTGCTCCAAATCTAGCAACCAGTCCACCGAAGCCTTCTCCCGCCCCGGTCGGCCCCTCGGCTCCAGCGCAACAGGTCCCAAATCATCCGCGCCGCGCGCCCCGCTCCCCAAGTCCGCCTCCAATTTCGCCTCACCCGGTCGCACACTCGGTGGGGAGTCTAGCACGAAAACATCAAATTCTCGGGTAGGGACACAGACGCAGACACAAGCACAACCGCAGACACAGCAGGGAGCGGGAGTGGGTGATGCGACGGCTGCGGCGCCTGTAGCGGATCCGCGCGCGAATGCCGCCATTGCAGCGCAGGTTGGCTTTCCTTTCTTTTCTCTCTCACCTCTTCCCTCTTATTCTACTTCTCTTTTACTGTTACAAGATTGCGAAAGGTTGGACGAGTGTACTGACTATCCTAGAAACGAGCTGAATCCGCCTCCGCAGCGGGTGGAAAAGGCAAACTGGGGACGAAGCTAGCGGCCCAGAAGGCGCAGACACAATCACAGACGTTGAATGAGGTTAGTCGGGATGAGAGGGCTGCTAGGGATGCGGATGATGCGGCTGCTGCGAGGGCTTGGTCTTGATCTGCTCTTGTTTTTACTATACTAGGTGTGGTCATGATTGTTACGTTTTCTTGGGGGGAGGGGTGTATGCTGTATGAGGGTGGTTCATTGTTGTTATTGTTGTTGTTGTTTGAAGCGATTAATACCTTTTGTTTGTTGTACACGTTTATATGTCGGCGGTGGGAAGGCGAGCTGCTACTATACCCTACTTTATCCAATCATCTCCTACTTGGGTATTGTATTTGGCAACTGAGTCCAATGTATCCATGATATAAACCTGCCGTATCTAAACAACGTTGTATCGTCCACCCACCGGCGCCCGCGACTCGCTATCCGCCGCCGCGATCGTCCCCTCCTTTAGCAAGCGCATCAACTCGCGCATCGCATTCGTCACCGACAGCTCCGTCTCGCCTTCAACCAGAATGTACAGCTTGGGGTTCTCGTTCGGTCCCGGTTCCTTGCCTGTCGCGTAGAAACTACCCTTGGTCGTGATCGACGTCCCTGTCGCTTCAAGGATCTTGGCCACGTTGGTCCGGTTGGTGACAGCCCAGCGTGCTTTCTCTGTAATAGGAGGATGGTTAGTCTCGGATTCAAAAAAAGGTCCATCCAGTAGGAAGGGAGTAGCTTACGGGGAAAGTCGTTGATCTCCATCGTTGCGTGGAATGCGCCCGCGTCGGGTCCGCGGTTGTCAATGGGCACCCCGGATCTCATCACACCCGCGCGGCTCAGACGCGCGTGGATATCCGCCACGGCCGATCCCACCTTGTCCAGTGGGTTCTTCGATGCATTGGCGGGATCCTTTTCGGTCCGGTGCACGGTGATCTTGCCATCAAGGTCAATGCCCTTGGGAATGCCCGATGGCGCCGGCGTAGAGGCCGCTTGGATGCCAGACACGACCTTGTTGAATTTCTCTTCGGCCTTCTCATCCTTCTTCTCGTCCTTCTCCTCTTCATCCTCGCCTTCTTCTCCGGTCTTGTAGGTCTTGCGCTCCCGCATCCGAGCGCTTTCTCGCTCCTGATCCAGTCGTTCCAGACCTTTGCCACCGAATCCTGACGCGCTGGCTTTCTCCTTCCCGTCTTTCACCTTTTGTAGGAACGAGTCGACCAGCTTCTGGATTGGCTCCGGCACCTGCTGGCCACTCTGCTTCAATGCTTTGGCGATATCTACCGCGTACCGCTCCTGCGTGTCCGTCACGAAGGTGACGGCCGTTCCGGTGTTTCCTGCCCGCCCGGTTCGACCCGCTCGGTGGACATAGTCTTCGAGATGATTCGGTGCGTCGTAGTTCACCACGAGCTTCAGTTGCTTGACATCCAGACCGCGTGCAGCGACCGACGTGGCGATCAAAACGGGGAAGATACCCGCCTTGTAATCTTCGATGGTGGAATCACGGTCGATCTGATCTTTGCCACCATGGATGGACATGCAGGGGTAGCCCTTCCGCATCAACTCCTTCAGAAGCGTATCGGCAGCTTCTTGACGGTCCACAAAGATCAGGGTCCGTGCATCTTCATTCTCGTCGGTTGAGTACAGATTGCCCAGCAACTCCAGAAGTCGCACAAACTTTTGGTCGTCGTTTCGCACTTCCACGATCTGCGTGATTTCGGGTGCAACGACACTCCGACCACCGACCACAATCTCCACGGGTTTGGTCAGCGTCTTACGCGCCAAAGCTTCCATGTTGCGCGGGAAAGTGGCCGAGAAAAGCACCGTTTGCCGATCAGGACGGACGTTTGCCAAGATCTTCATGACCTGGGGTTCGAAACCCATGTCAAACATCCGGTCAGCTTCATCCAGGACCATATAGGTGACACGCCGCAAATTGGTGACTCGCCCGGTGTTGGCTGCTAAAAGATCGATCATCCGACCCGGAGTACAGACGACGATCTCCGCGCCACGCTTGAGGTCGGCAATCTGATCCTTGATCGGGGCACCGCCGTACGCGCAGACAGCTCGTAAACCCAGCGCCTTCAAGAAAGGTTTGCAGTCCTTGTGGATCTGAGTGGCTAACTCTCGGGTCGGCGTCATGATCAGACCGATAGGGCCTTCCATATTGTCCAGCGGTCTCTGGTCTTTTATATGCCGGAACATGGGAATCAAAAATGCAACCGTCTTACCAGACCCAGTCTTGGCAACACCGATCACATCCCGCCCAGACATGATGGCGGGAATCGCCTGTGACTGAATCGACGTGGGATTCTCATAGCCCAGTCGGTCGATCACATCCTGAGTCTGCACTCCCAACCCACACTGAGACCATTTTTGCACCGGTTTGGGTACATCCAAGCCTCGGACTTTGATCCCATCCAGCTCCAAGCGCAAGTTGGCGACTTCCTCTTCAGACATTTCAGCAACATCGCTGGGTTCGGTGTAGAACTTCTTGCGGATGGACTCATATTCCATCTTCTTGTGGTCGACTGTGGGTATATCCTTCTTCTTTTTAGCCTTGTTGGCAATGGCGAGGAAATCGTCGGCATCGCCATCGCCGACGGCGGTTAGATCAATATCGTGCTCGTCACCAAACAGGGCCTCTGGCTGTTGTTCCTTGGCTTTGGAAAACTTGGCACCAGTAGCTTTCTTTGGGGGGGCGGTATCCGCCAATTCAGACATGAAAGCATCCAAAGGATCAACTTCTTCTTCTTCTTCTTCTTCTTCTTCTTGTACATCAACATCCATCTGATCCGCCTGCTGGTTCGAATCACCATTTGCTTCAACACCATTGGTGTGAGGTGTCTCGCTGTTCGACTGTGACGTGCGAGCTTCGTTCTGCAGCCGCTCTTCCCGCCTCTCGGCGGCAGCCCGCGCCGCGGCAGCAATCTCCTCCTCAGTTCCGCCGTCTTGCATGTCGACATCGTCGTCCTCGTCTGCAACCACGTCCGCAGGTTTATCAGGGTCGGTGGATTCCTCTAACGGAGGGGTTGGTAATTTCTCCAGTTTTCTCCGCGTAGACTCCTCTTCACCGAAGCCCAAGGTTTTAGTTGCAGTCGACTTTTCGTTGTCACCCGTTTGCTTGGCGCCTAAACCAAATCCACCAACATTGGCTTTTCCTTTCAAGGTAGCTGTTCCAGGGATGTCAGTACAGATATCAGTGTACGTAAGGATATACGGGAAGAACGCACATGAAGGTTTGCTGGTGGTGGTGGTGGGCTTGTTTGCTTGTACTTTAACATTGGTGGGTGTAGAGTTTGCAGACGCTTTGGCGGTGGGCGGTACAGTGACATCGGTACCCAACACGGAGGAAGTGGCTGGCGCCGGAGAAGGTGCTGCATTCTTTGCAATGGCCTTGGGGTCAAATTTTCCAGCATAGCCAGTGGATGGAGAATCGCCGGCGGGCGACGCAGTGGGCTGGGGAGAACCAGTAGACGGAGCTACACCGGATTTCCGGTCAATTTCCTCCAATATGTTCTTCGGTCCCGACGCAGCTGCTTCCCGTTGTTTGCGCTCCTTCTCGGCGGCTTGTTTTTGCTTCCAAGCTTCCAGTTTAGCTAATCGTTCGGCTCTCTTCTCTTCATCTGTAGGACCAGCGGGGGCCGCCGGTGTGGATGGTTTCGAGGGCTGTTTAGATGTGTTAGCTAGTTCTGAGAACCAAGATGAGAGTGTTCAACGCACCTCGCGAGATTTCGAATCTCGAGCACGATCCCGGCTGTCGTCCCGCCTAGACTTGTGCTTCAAGTCAGCAGAATCGTCTCTCCGTCTGCGAGCCCTATCGCGGGAATCATCTCGCCTGCTCCGATAATCCCTATCGCGGCTTCGTCGACGGAACCCCCGATCGTCATCTCTGTCTTTCGATCGACGTCGGTCGCGCGAACGATCGCGTCGACCCGGGCGGTAACTGCTATCATCGTCGCGTCTGTCTAACGAACGGTCACGTTTCCGGTACGCTTCACGGTCTCGATTATGGTCACGGTGGCGTCTCTGCATAGCAAAAAGAGCGGTTAGCTGCGCACAATCGATAGGGGAAATGTCGACCGAAGCGGAAGACATACCTCAGGACTACGGGATCTCCGATAGCTCCTGCCATCATCCCGTCTACTCCTCTCGTAGCGATCATCATCTCTGCGACTGCGTCGGGAAGAAGAATATGTGCTGCCTACAGGTGATGGTGAGCGAGTATCCCCGTGGCGAGCCATTGTTGTAGGCCAACGATGAGTGAGTATTACTGGGACCCAAGACAGCTCGAGCACGCAGGGAGGATAGCCGGATAGATATTACCCTTCCAAAAACCAGGTATATTATGGGATAGTACGCGATTGTAACCGTACAGATCCAGTGAGAGATTGAACGGATTGATGCGATGAACCTGGGGTTGGTAGTGGACTTCGACGTTGGCTTTGAGCGACCCGACTGGGGAAAATGGGCTCCGAAGGCAAAAGGTTTATCGCGGGTGATATCACACACGTGACAGGCGCTATCATCCCATGTCACGTGGTGTTACCTGCCTGATTCGGCCGGCGCCAAACAGACCCCAGTCTGGGTGACGGCCTGAGGCTCCTACCCGTACCTGTGACGCGACATCTTCCCGCTTTCATCTGGAGCTTCCCTGCGGCTCCGTTCCTGCAGCTAATCACGCCCGTCTATTGTTCTCCTACTGCAGGGCCTCCCCTATTGATCAATTGATTTGATTAATCTTTCTCTAAGTATTTCTCTTTCCCCCATTGTCCTATTTGAACACCATGCCCTTGAATCTGGCCCGACGCGGCGTGGGTGCCTTGCGACACCTGAGCTTGAGCGACACTTTCTCCCGCCCTGTCTGCAACACGATTGCCCAAAGCCACGCCAGGCGCATCAGCTTGGCTGCGAATAGTCGCTCTCTACACGCGAGCGGTCGCCATGTGTCCGCTGCCGGCGTCCTGCCGAAAACACTAGCCAACGGCTACGCCACGAAGAGCACGTCCGACGGAGCTGCCAAATCCACCGAGGGCAAGAGAACGACCAAGGTCAAGACGACCACGACCAAGACAATCAAGGCCAAGAAAACCAAGAAGTCGGCGCCCAAGAAAGACTTGACCGAGGAGCAGAAGGAGGCGGCCGATGAGAAAAAGAAGATCCTGAAGTTGAAGCAGCTGATCAAGGAGTTGAAGGCGACGGCCCTGACGCCGCCCAAGCAACTTCCCTCGCAGCCTCATCTGCTGGCTATTGGCGAAAAGAGGAAGGCACTAGAAAGAGGGCCGGATGAAAGCATGCCGGACGTGTTCCGCAGGGCTGTCGCACTGTCCCGTTCGATCACTGCTGAAGAGCAGCAGGTATGTCCGGCAGGTCCCTTTTTTCACTGCGCGATTACTGATGTTGTTGTGTAGAAATTCGCAGCTCAAGCAGAGGCCAACAGAAAGACCAACGCGACTACGCGCGAGGAGTGGATCAAATCCCACACTCCGCTCCAGATCAAAGACGCCAACCACGCGCGCCGGAGACTGGCCCACCTCACGAACAAGAAGGCGGCTCTTCTTCACGACGACAGACTTGTCAAGAGGCCTAGCAGCGCGTACGCCCAGTTCCTCCAGGAGCGCATTCGGAATGGCGACTTTAAGTACATGAGCGTGGTCGAGATCGGCCAGCGAACTGGCGAGGAGTGGAATGGAATGACTGAGCCTGAGAAAGCGGTATGCTGCCCCCTCTGTCGCCTGCACTATTATCGACTTAGAAGCTAACTGGTCCATCTTCAATACAGAAATACCGCGAACTCGAAGTGGCCGACAAAAATCGGTATCATCAAGAATACTTGGAAGTATACGGCGAAGAGCCCGGCTTTGTCACCAGGGCCAATAAGGCTGAGGCGGAGGCCTAAGGGTGGTAAATGTGTTAGATGAGCTGTGCTGGATTGGTGTTCTTTCGGGTTATGAAGCCCTGGTGTTGTTGTGAATTGATTTATGCAGCGGGGACGACTGCTCAACCATTACGGCCCAGGCTAGTTCTTTCATTTTGATCTTTCCTTTCTTCTTATGCTTCCTTTTTGACGTCCTGTATTGTGTTTCTACGACTCACTGCTGTATCTTTTATCCGAGTATTACTGTTACGTTTGTTTCGAACAATGCGCAACTTGTTATATGAAGCAGTATATGGATATCGCTTATTGTAAACACATGGAAGTGGTATCACATTGATTATGATCAATATCTCCGTCTTGCCGACTGGTCACAACAAGCGCAGAAGGAATGCAAGTCACAAGTGGGAGGGTGAACCAGACAGAACACGTGAGCCGGACATGAAGAAACGACTCTGTACATCAAAATGCAACTCTCTCATGACTATTATATTCCCTGGCTGGAAATTATAGCGACGCGGTTCTCACACCCACCGTCTACTCCATCGCGATAAGACAGACCAATTTAGAACAAGTTTGACACATCGCCGAACAGCTTTATATCAAACTGTGGTTGTAGATCAAAGCGCGGGTAAATAGAGCTCGCTATGATCGTATACCGTGGCTATGTTCCTCTAGACTTGGGTTTCCAAATCCACGGATTGGACGTTCGGGTAGATTTGATATATCTTATGTAGAATTTCTGGTAGCAATGTGGGGAAATACCCGGGTCGGTTCCCTGGTTGTCGAGTAAACATGTTATACTCGGGCCCTGAGGCAAGATTCGATTCCCTTGGTCATGACGGGTTTCACTCTCAGAATCATTATCGTGAGTGGCACCACTTGACAACAAGCTGTAGAGCATCGCTGGCAAACTGGACCCAGCGCGAAGGGTTATCCTGGAACAGGCTAGCACAGGTGGATCTCGATGTTGGCAGCGATACCAGATAATACCGTATATTACATATACATAACCAACTAACAGTAATATTGAATAAAGATGGAGGCTGGGGTCATCACTCTTACATAGTTAGTCCCACCTGTTCAAAATCTACGAAAGCCTACCACAGAGGATACGGAGTACTATTGCATACTGTCAAATCTGCAAGGGCACTCCAAACAGGGCTGGCTGGCTGTCTGGCTGGCTGGAGAAACAGCCCGATCTGCAATTGCAGGAGTCACCGTGATGGATGGTCTTCCCCGGCTACGTGGCGACCAAGTTATCATTCAATTATGTATGTAGCTCGCCGGGGCTCGCGCCGGGTGCCTGGCATTATTTGATGCATAGTATGGCACTTGATGCGTCTGTCGTTACACCACTGATGATGATGGTTTATCGCTGGTCCTATCCTGGGATTTGAAGGGTGTATCAAGGAGGATGGATGTGTTTTAAGGAGGTGCCCCGTCTTTCTCCCTTTTCACACCTGCTTCCCCCTTGTGACTCCTGTGATAATTGAGGGGTGAGGGGAGAAGGAGAGATAGAAGATGCAACCCCTATTGAGGTTGATGGTTCTTTTACAATCGGCGTCATAGAGATTGAATAAGTCCAATAGTAGATTTCTCCACATGGAATCCCTAAAACCCCCAGAGTAAGTATTCTGATCCCAAAGTAACCAGGAGCTCTATATACCAATACTCATGGCAGCAGCGTGGCATCGATCGTAGCACACATGTCACGGTGACTAGTCTGGTATCTGCCAATGGCATGCAGTGTATGATTTCAACGCCGACGGGATGGATAGAATTTGCAACCCTACTGGCTACCGGACGTCAGGCGACATGGACCCTGCGATTGATGGCTTTTGATCGGGGGCACAGTGTTCAACGTCGGTGTATATGGAGGCCGTTGCGACGAGCTTATGTGTCTGTGTCTCTGTGCTTGGTGAGCGACTAGAGTATTGATGAAGAGTAATGACGATGCTAGAATTATAGCAAGTCATTGCAGTACAGGAATACTTCATGGTAATACTAGATAGAAGGTCAGAGAACAGGTCCTAGTTGTAGGCTTTCAAAACTCATACATACTAAAATATTATACCTAGAATAGATATCTGACTATACCCACTCTATCTACTTCTTCATTGAGACTAACACATGGGATACCCTAGCCCAGCCCCCTCAATCCGGCATCGGCATCTCCTTGAGGATTCCTCGGGCACGAACGAGGTTCGAGCGTAATACATGATCTAATAGTACTCTGTACCCCTCGACTTCAGATGATCTGCACTTGGCACGTTCATGGCGTCTTGAAGAGTAACAGTATAAGGGACGGATGGTATTGAGCGTTACCCGAAGAGATCCAAATCCCGGAGGTTGGGGATGATCATATCAGTATATAGTCTGAGTATTTTCGTGAAAGATCTTCTGACAACCTGAAATCACTTCCATTACTAACTGCTTTGCCATTACATGCCATCCTAGTTTCATCAGGCGGTTGTGCAGGGTCGAGGCTTCACCGCAGAAAGTGAGTCATCGGTGGATGTTGCTGTTGAGTACTCCACTTCTACAGGTTATCGATATGTAAATAAATAAACAAATACATAATAAACAACGAGTATCAATGGTTACATCTAGAAGTAAACACTGTTAATTAGTGAGATATCCACTGCTGTTCAATGACGGCTCGGGTCATGATGCTTAATTCAGGGAGGTAAAAGCGGCTATCAGGATAAACACCATTCAAGGGCCACTGTATTGACATACTGATCGACTCAGAGGTATCCTTGGACGGATAAGATAACGAGGGGTAACAAGACAGAAGAATGTCATTCAAGAATGGACAAGAATATCGGATACGTACGGAGGATGTACTGAATACCGCACTAGCCTGCATTGCATCCATTCCATCTGATCCAATCCCATCTGTTCTTCGTCCACCGATCTTCATCAGATCCGCGTCCCCTTCATCCTCTCACCGCCCCTCAATGGTCATGAGCTTCTTTGGATTCCCTTTTCCCTCCTTCGACCCTTGCTTCAATCCTCCGAAGGCTCTCGCCTCGCTATTCTAGTCTCCTGCATTCACGATAGTTATTCTCCTCCCGCTGTTGTCTCACCCTGTTTGCTTTTTTCTCCCCTTTGCAAGTTCCGAGTTTCGTCACTCCGGGTGGTGTCAAGTAGCCTCCAGCGTCTTGCTCCACATCTGAGCATTGTCCACCCTCGAATCGCTGCTTCGATTCTATTTTTATTATTACTTTTCATTTTGATCTTATTTTTATCTTTCCAGTGAAAACTTTTCTTTCCCTTGACTCTCCATCACAATCATCTCTCACTCACTTGTTGGATCCCACTGATATCGTCAAATCCCCCCCATCGCCTCCAGTCAGAGGCCGAGACCGCCAGATCAATGCGCCTGCGCTATTGACCCGCCGGCCCACGTACGAATCTCACAGTTCCTTTCCCAGCATGGAGGCGACGCCGCGCCCCGTTCACCAGGATGGATTCTGCGCATTCGCCAACGAGGTTCCGTCCCCCGGACCGACGCCGTTTGTTGACCACGAGGCTATAGTAGGACAATGCATAAAGAAGAATATGGGCAATGGAGTAGTAGTATGCTTCACGTTTTCTGACCTCATTATGCGGGACACATAACCCGCGCTAATCAATGCACTGTAATAACCGGACAGACTTCTACTTCTGCGCGCCTTTCGTACAAGGCCCTCCTGCATGTTCTCGCTGCTGAACTCGAACTCGAACTCGAACGCGAACGCGGACTTCGTACTTGCGACTCGCCGCCTAGCTATGGGACCCCTCCGCCGTCCTATGCGGATGCCGTTAGTGATCTCCCGCCGGACTATTATTCTACGATTGCGCCGCTGGCTCAGAGGAAAGACCTGCGGCAGGATACCGCCCCGCAATGTACGACGAGGGATGCTAAGGGTGCGTCTTCGTCGTCGCCGATAGATTTCAACGACCCCGTCGGCATTCGAGAGCATGCGAAGAAGAAGAAACAACAGACCAAGAAGCAAGCGCCACCGCAACGGAAAGCTACACCGCCACCGGAAAACAATGGCGATAATAATGATGAAGGCGCGGACGATGGTCAAAACGGAGGCGATGCCCCAAACGATGCGGGCGGCGGTGGCGACGGGAACGGTGATGGCGATGGTGGAGACGGCGGCGGGGAAGACGATGACATGGACGCGTGGAATACACCCACCACCAGTAAAAAAAGCAAGAAGAAACAGAAAGAGGAGGAGGAAATGAAGAGGAAGGAAGAGGAAGAAAGACAGGCGCAGGAAGAGGAAAGCCGAAAAGCGAAAGAGGAAGAAGACAAACGCGCGGCTGATGAAGCTGCTGCGCAGAACGCACTTAGCTGGGCGGATGAAGCCGACGGCGGCGACGATTCATGGGGTGGGTTTGATACCAAGAAGAAGAAAAAGAAGGGCAAGGTATGTATCGCGAACTGACACTATCTGTCCGTTTGAAAGCCTAACCCACTGTAGACTGTCGATCTCCTCGAGCCAGACCCCCCGTCCAACTCGTTTCAAGACGTGAGTCTCAACGATGCCGCGCCCCAGTTAGACGTGGGTTTGGATCCGTCAAAGGCTGCAGGAACCGGTTTCAGTTTTGGTGGATGGGGCAAAGACTTGAACACTGGCAGCAAATGGGGTTTGGATTCTCTTGGGGGCGCGAAGGAAGAGAAACCGAAGGACACCAACCCTTGGTCATTTGGCGGCAAGAATGACCTGTCCACGGCGTCGGTTGGATTTGGCTTTGGCGGAGGATTTCAAGACCCTGCCCCCGTCAGTGCTGACAATGCGGCCGGTGATCAAAATGTCGACGACGACTGGGGCAGTTTTGCACCTGTCGGTAAAGACAAGAAAAAGAAGAACGGTGCCGTGGAGGAACTTGCACCAGAGCCCGAGCCTGCACCCGAACCCGAACCCGAACCTGAACCGGAGCCGAAAGCCCCCGCTGTGCCAGACGATCCTCTTTACGAGAATTGGCTTGATGTGTCAGCTAAAGAGCGAAAGCGACGAAAAACTGCACTGAGGATCAAGGGCCTTCCCATACCCGGTGAAGGAGGGTTTGAGCTCCCACTGCCTGGAGCCGAGACTGAGCCTGAGCCTACCCCCGAGCCTGAACCTGAACCTGAGCCAGAGCCAGAGCCAGAGCCCGAACCAGAACCAGAACCAGAGCCGGAGCCGGAGCCGGAGTCGAAAGCCCCTTCTGTGCCAGATGATCCTCTTTATGATAATTGGCATAACTTGACATCTAAGGTCCGAAAGCAACGTGAAAAATCATTGAAGAAGAAGGGCCTTCCCATACCTGGTCAAGGTTTTGAGCTCCCACTGCCTGGAGCCGAGCCTGAGCCTGAGCCTACCCCCGAGCCCGAACCTGAACCTGAACCAGAGCCAGAGCCAGAACCAGAACCAGAACCAGAGCCGGAGCCGGAGCCGGAGCCAGAGACGAAAGCCCCTTCTGTGCTAGATAATCCTCTTTATGACAATTGGCATAATTTGTCATCTAAAGATCGAAAACGACGAGAAAAATCACTGAAGAACAAGGGCCTTCCCATACCCGGTCAAGGTATTGAGATCCCAGTACCTGGAGCCGAGCCTGAGCCTGAGCCTACCCCCGAGCCCGAACCTGAACCTGAGCCAGAGCCCGAACCAGAACCAGAACCAGAACCAGAGCCGGAGCCGGAGCCGGAGCCAGAGACGAAAGCCCCTTCTGTGCTAGATAATCCTCTTTATGACAATTGGCATAATTTGTCATCTAAAGATCGAAAACGACGAGAAAAATCACTGAAGAACAAGGGCCTTCCCATACCCGGTCAAGGTATTGAGATCCCAGTACCTGGAGCCGAGCCTGAGCCCGAACCTGAACCCGAGCCTGAGCCTGAACCAGCGCGGGCTCCTGAACCCATATCCGATCCTATCGTCGAGCAGCCAGGCGAGGACAATTCCTGGGATTTCTGGGGCTCTTCGAAGGACAGGAAAAAGTCAAAGAAGAACAGGATCGCCGAAGATCCCCCACCCCCTGCGCCTACTCCCCCAGCGCTGGGTCTGGACCCTGAACCCGAGAGAACTACTCTAGCTATCGAAGATGTGCCGGCGGAGCCTGTTTTCGACGAAGTCGATGCCAAGCCTAAGAAAAAGACAGAGGAGTCCCCTAAGGCAGCAAAAGGGTTTTGGGCATCTTTCGGCGCAGCCACCATGGGTAAACCCAAAACCACCAAGAAAAAGTCCGAAGAAAAACCGCCCCCAGAGCCCGAGTCGCAGCCAGTCGAAGATTTACTTCTCGATGTAGAGGAAGAGCCAATAAAGGATGAGGCGCCGCCGCCCGCGCCTGACGCGCCTCTCGGGGATATAGAGCCGCCGCCAGCCGCGCCGCCAGCTAAGACACCTGCCACATCAAAGCCCAAGTCAGCAGCCAAACTTTCTGTCGCTGAACGCATCAAAACTCTTGAACAGGCCAAAAAGGATCGTCTGAAAGAGAAGGCTGCCGCAAAAGAGAAGGCCAAGGAAGCTTTAGCAGTTCCTGAGGACCCGGTCGACGAGCAACAACCCCCGCCTGGGCCGCCAGAGCCCAAGAAAGTCTCTCGAGACTCTGTGCCTGGTAGCTTCCCCGACGCGTTTGATGACGATTTCGAGGAAGTGCAGCCAGAGCCAGAGCCGGAACCTGAGCTTGAGCCTGAACCCAAACCGCGCGAACTCGAACCCGAGCCCGAGCAGACCCCAGTCTTGTCAAAGAAACTCAAGAAGAAGGAGAAGAAGAAGGCAAAGGCTATCGCGCCAGAGCCTGTACCTGAAGTACCAGAACCCCCGGCAGAACCTGAACCCGAGCCTGAACCCGAGCCTGCACCTCAGCCTGAACCCGAGCCGGTTGTCTTATCAAAAACCGATAAGAAGAAAAAGAAGAAAGGCAAGGTAGTTGAGCCCGAACCGATGCCCGAACCAGAACCCGAACCAGCTGCGCCTGAGGCCGAACCAGAGCCAGCTGCGCCAGAACCGGCGCCAGAACCGGAGCCGGAAGTTGCTGAACCTGCTCCAGAGCCGGAGAAGCCTGTGAAGAAGAGCAAGAAGTCCTCCAAGCGCACCACCGATCGTCCTCCCGCCGAACCCCCAGCTGAAACTGCTGATCCGGAGTCAGGTAATGCTGAGCGATCGGCTAAAAGGGAGCGGGTCCGTGCGGAGCGCGCGGCGGCCGCAGCAGCTTCGTGGGGTTTATGGGGTGCAAATCCTCCCAAGAAATCTAGCAGGGAGGTCAAACATAAGGGAGAATTGGTTTCTCCGGTGTCAAGGTCTAAATCGATGAAGCAGCCTAGGACGAGGGAGGTCGAGATTGAGGGAGGGTCGTCTTCTTCCGAGAGAGAGAAGGAGAAGCGACGGGAGGCTAAACCCAACCGAGGTATGGCATTTTCGAATTTCATCCTAGGCACTCCTTCGCCTGCGAGGGCAAAATCGACACGCCGGACTGGTTCCAGGCCGGTATCTAGGCGGCCGTCCTTTGAGATGAATGAAGCCGGGCTCCCTTCACCACCCCCGGATGAAAGATTCCGGGTGTCTGATAAGGCGGCTAGGATGATGGGTGTGGATCACTCTGGGTCAAAGAGAGAGAGATCGCATCGGTCGCGGAAGAAGTCCAGTAGGTTGCTTTTCCTCCAAGTCACTGGTTCGACCCTAACGACTTTTAGGTGCTCCCGACCCATATGCCCTGGATGATGAGGACATCGTTATGGTAAATCGTGACGATGTCGACACGAAGGGAGACTCCAGGGAGTCCAGACACTCGGGGAGAAGGTCAAGGAGAAAGGTAATCACCACCCAACGAGCGCACGATCTCATCGTACTGACATTATCCCCAGCCGAGGTCTCGAGGTGAAGACCTCCAAGACGACGGCGTGATGGTCGATGCCGACCAGAGCCCCAACGGAGTAGATGTACACTCGGGACCCGACGACATCGCATTTGTCGATGCGCCCCGAGAGCGACGTCTCAAACGTTCGAATACCGTCCCAAAGAAGCCCGAGCCAAGCGGCTTCATGGGGTTGATAGGGTCCCTACGGAGGAATACCCGACAGGAGCCTCCCGAGCGTCGCAAATCCCGATCTCATCGCGACGACGACGCACGATACGTGACAGACCCGGAGCGAGACGACCCCCGACGTCCAAGGCGGGACGATAAAAGAAGACGCTCCACCCGTCCAGACCTCGACGGCGAAGGCTACGCCACGGACGCCCCACCGACAACAACAACCCGCGACATGGAGTCCAACGATGCCGAAGCCCGGCGCGCAGCGCGCAGAGCCGCGCGACGTTCCTCCCGTCAAGGAGACCTCGATCCACCGCTCGACAACGAGCAGCGCGAAATCGATGAACGACGCGCTCGACGGAGAGAACAACACCGCGCCCGCGAACGCGCCATGCAAGAACGACAGGCCCAGGAAGAAGAAGACCGCGAGCACAGACGCCAAGAAGAACAGCGAGCTCGCAGAGCAGCTCGCGAAGAGCGTCGCGCCAGAGAAGAGCACGAAGCCCGAGAAGCCGAAGCCCGCGCCGAAGCCCGCGCCACAGAGCGCCGCGAACGGCGCCGGCAGCGCGAAACCGAAATGCACGAAGCCGGGGGCATGGATCCGCGCGCCAAACGGCGCCAGTCACGGCAGCCAGACGACCGAGGACCCTACGGCGACGAATACGCCGCTGAACGACCTCGTCGCTCGCACAAGTCCGCCGATGACGGCGAGAGGTCGAGACGTCGGCGGTCTAAGATCCCAAGCATGCTTCAACAGCCCCCGCCGATGATGTCAGGCGGCCGCAAGGAAAAGATCTCCTCGTGGGTTAACTCCCAAGCGACGGAGCCGCCTGAACCCCCACCAGTCGTGCCAACAGTGGTAGACGTGCTCCCTGGTCCTGGTGACCAAGCGAACGCGCACTCGATGTCCTCCGACGAGGAAGCCCGCCGTGATCTGCGCCGCAAAGCGCGCAGAAGATCGCGGTATCCGGGGATGACAGAGGAGGAGATCGACGAGCTCCGCGCTAGGAAGCGTGAGTCTAGACGGGACGAACCGAAGAGTAGCTCCGGAAGTGGAGATTACGAGCGTGGTCGTGGCATGCGGCCTTATGACCGCTATGCTGCGTCGTCGCAGCAGCAGCCTCCGCCTGGTGGGTTTGGCGGGAAAATGCCGGGGTGGTTCAAGAAACTTACGAGTCTATGATGTGATATGATATGTTGGGATTTGGGCAAATTATATGATGAGATGAGATGACAGTATGATGATGATATGTTTATGATAGCATGTTTTGTTTTATTCCTTTTTGGGGCATTTGACTTTGTGACAGTCTTGCTGATGCTATATATGGTTCATCGAGGTGGGATTTGGGTTTTTGATGATTGTATGATTAGCGATGATTTATTGAGATCAATCTAGATTGGTTTGTTGTGATAGTTTGAGTTTTATGTCCTCTACGTGACTAACTTACGTGTTGACAAGATCCTACCTACATAATAGCAGCAATTACAGTCATCTCGACTAGTAAACACAGCAGTGCTTCATTAACAGCCAGTACGTACCGTTCAGCACCAAAGTACATAGATACAATAGAAAGATAGTAGGCATACAATAAACCTACAAAGCAGCCCCCTCATCTTCCTCCCTCCTCGCCCGTCTATCCTCAAGATAAAGCCTCCCCCCCTCATAAAACCCCAGGTAAATACTCATCCCCAGCGCCGTCCATACCGAGCGTACCGCTCCGCCGCGGAACAGACCTTTTAATCCTTCTTGCGTCCATATCTGTCGCCCCATGGCTATCGTGCCTCGACGGGCGGCTTTTTTCAATTTCTCTTTTTTCCTCGCTTGGATCCCGGCCTGTTTGCCGATACTGTCCTCGCCCTTTCCGTCAGATGGGGGAGAAGTAGCACTCAGCATCATTCTCGTCTTAACGACATCAATAGGCGTGGTGACGATAGACGAAATCGTCCCTGACACACTAGCCGCTAAGCCCGTTAACAGCGCCGTTTCAACAATGGGGTTGAACCGTCTTCCTTCTTTGGCCCCTGCTCCTCCCTCTTGACTCCCCTGCTCTCCATGACGCACCCTCCTCCTCGCCACAACCACCGCCTCCCTCCACGAAACCAACCACCCCTTCACAAACTCCAATATCGGAAAATTCAGCCCCGTAGCCGGCAGATTGCGTCCCACGAGCGCGGTGTACCCGCTCCATAGCTTCCAGGGCTGGTTTCTGAACTTGGCGAGGACTTGCGCTGTGGCGCTTTTGGTTTTGGCTGACATGTCTGAAGAAGAAGAAGATGGGGAGGGGGATATGTTGATGACTTGTGCGTTCTGCTTGATTACTTCTGCGGGGGTGAGGATCGCGCAGGAGACCATTTCCGCGGTTGAGGAGGCAAGGCCGTGGATTAGGGGGGTGGGGAGGGTGAATGGGCGTTTGGAAGTTGAGGTTGAAGTCGAAGTTGATGAGGAGGATGGAGTGTCGCCGAGGAGGCGTTTCACGGATTCGTAGGTTGTGAAGAATGCTCCTGCTAGAACTTGCGTCAGTCTCGTTTACGCTCACGAAGTCAAGCTGAGGTATAGATGTCTAGAGGGTGGTACTGTGAGAGAAACATACAAGAAGGAATCGTAGCAAATACAACACTCCATACACCCTGGTACAAACCCCTAAAGAGGACATTCTTGCGGATAGCCCCCGTGCTTGCATCCTTGTAGATTCTGTTGTAGTCCGGGGACTGGATGCGTGTTTTGAGGGTGTCGAAGGGGTAGACGATGAAGTCGACTGTTACTGCTGCGACGGCCCCTGCCTTGTTTCCAGTGTCAATTGGTTACCCTATGTACAAGGTAGATAGAATTATGATGGCTGGTTAGGGTTTGGAGAGATGTATGGAGTACGTATAGTGGAGTAGGTTGAGGGAGAAGACTCACGATCCAGACGTCGAGGTTGGTGCCCATCTCATCTAACTATTCATTCAAGATTATCTATTGCTGAACATGATTTGTCTATTGAAGTCTAGGCGAAAAAACATCCAGCCCAGAACTGCAGTGGCAGCTCATGCTGGCTGTTGCATCAATGATGCATGCAGTCTTATCTAATCTCACTTATCAGATATGAGGTCATCCAGTATAGCATCACGTGAGATATCGTACCCTATTGCGAGATTAGGGTTCAGGAACGGCAGGGTTGTCGAGATACGAGAAAATACCCTCTACGATAAGGCAAGACTCAACTAGCAGTCATAACCCGTACTCTATTCGGCATGAATAAGCAAAGGAGACATTAACAGTGAAGATACATAATTTTTCCTTCTTACGCCGTAAAGGTCATGCATGCAATTCCCAGAATCCCCACATAGACAAAGCACCCTCGTCCAACCACAACTCTATTTGGCGAGCTCCCCGGGCATCAGGTTGCCCTTGATCGCAAACATCTTGCTCGTCGTGGCCGACACGAAGCTGTCGACCTGGCGCGAGTACTGCTCCACCTGGCGGCTGTTGAGCATGGTCTCCAGGCGGCTGGGCTCCTGGGGCAGCTTGAACAGCCGCTGCCACTCGTCCTCGGGGAGAGGCGGCTGCTTGAGGGTCGCGCGGCTGGCGTTCTCGGCCTTGCGCTTGGTTTGCCAGGCAGTGATCTTGGCCTGCTCACGGGCCAACGACCGCTGGTAGTACTGGTAGTTGTTGGTCTCGGTGTGGTGCGTCTCCATGCTCTCGAGGAGAAGATCGCAGTTCTTCTCCAGGTAGGGGTCGATGCTGAGAGACAGGTTGTCGTAGTTGGGGTCCAGGAGGGTGTCCTTGACGAAGGGGCCGGACTCCAGGGCGGCCAGGGACGGGGGCAGCTCGGTGGGCGCAGACACCTTGGGGCACTGCAGCTGGTGGAGGAAAGAGGTGATCAGGTGCGAGTTGTGGATCTCAATCGGCAGTTCGACGAAGATGTCCTGGTATCTCAGGTTGGACTTTTGCAGCCTGCAGCGGATGGTTAGACAAATAGGGGGCGCTGGATATCAGGGCGGGCTGGCATACTCCTCAGTGGTGAACTTGTGCTCCTTGAAGGCCGTCATGAACTTGGGAGACAGACGGAATGCGCGCAGGCTCAGGCTGCCCTGCGCACTGCGGCTCACGTCGTGGACCAGGAAAGCGGTCTTCTCGTTCACCTCCTTCTGGTAGAAGAACTGGTTCTCGATCACGTTCATGTTGACGAAGTTGCCCATGTTGGCGCTCGTATACCAGCCGACGTTGTTCGCGTCAACGTTGACCTCCCGAAGCATGCGGATCATCTCAGCCTGGTAGGCGACGTTGGACTTCGCGCGAGGGGCGGCGGCGGCCGGGTTGGGGGGGATGTTGTCAAAGTGCGAATCCTGGGGCATCTCGACGACGGGGAAGGGAAACGAGTTGGTGATCTCCAGGATACCGTTGTCATCCATACCAACGATCGAACCGGTCGCGGTAGTGGGGAAGGTCTGGGAGCCATGCTTGATGATTTTCATCACCACCTAATCGCGAAACCATGAGTATCTGGCTAGATTTTGATGGCGGGGGGAGTGTTTTTTGGGGGCTTACCAGGGCCTCGACCTTGACGGCCGTGAGGGGAACTTCTTTCCTGTAGAAAACTGTTAGTTAACAACATCCTACAGACCCATCTGATATCATTTCAAGCACTTACTCCGCCATGTTGAGTGTATGCGGTCCTGGGAATGTGAGAGACGGCGTGGTGGTTGACAGTCGGCCACGGTTTGTGTGGATGGAGATTTGATCAATTTCCACCGCCTCATTCCCAAAGAAGTTAGCGTGCCAAGACCGCCAGATCGGTCTTCGTCCTGGAGTCTCCAACTCTCCATGAACTAACGATTCGTGATAGATGACAACTTAAATCATGTGGAAAATATGTTCATGCTGCGACTAACATGAGGGCTGAACAGGGGAGCTCTGAAATCAATCGGACTCTCAACTGGGACACAATATCATGCCGTTCTATGGCGCCTCCGCACTTCTGCCACAAAGTATTATCGGCTAACTACAAACTCATACTAGCACATCGTCCCCCTCCACCATCTACAAACAACCTCCCATACCTCATCAATCAATCAAAGAAAAAGGAACAAAAAAAATTAGAGAAAAAAAAATTAAAGCCACACTACCAATTAACCTAAGCAATGTCCACAAAAACCCTTTCCTACGGAGACCACATCCTCCAAACCATAACCGTCCACCAACTTCCCCAAGCCCACAAAGACGCCCACTGGGTGGTGTACGTCCATCATCCAGCCAGCAGCGTGAGTAAGCACCGCTGACAGCACAAAACCAGCCTCATCCACGGCGGCGCCTGGCGCGATCCAACCCAATCCGCTACAGGCTATCTCGCCCCCGCCCTCGGAGCCCTGACGGCTTCCTCCAGCTACACATCCGAAACCCTCCCCTATATCGCCGGCCTCGCCTCCATCGAGTACCGCCTCAGTCCGCACCCGAGCCATCCCCAAGACCCCTCCACGATCCCTCCCCGGGAATACCGCTCCGCGAAACACCCGGAACCTGTCCGCGACGTCCAGGCCGCTCTGGCCCTCTTGCAGCGAAAGTACGGGTTCGGGAGCCGCTACGTCTTAGCTGGCCATAGCTGCGGTGCGACGCTGGCGTTTCAGGTTGTTATGGGGTCTTTTAGGAACGGCGCTGAGGCAGAATATGTGTGCCCTGAGGCGATACTGGGCATGGCGGGGATCTATAATCTCCGGTTACTGAGAGATACCCATGTGGATGTCTCGGCCTATCAGATGTTCATTGAGGGGGCGTTTGGGCCAGATGAGGCTGTTTGGGATGCGGCGTCGCCGGTGGTCGTGGAGGGTGCGGGGGGTGTTCGAGGGGGCTGGCGATCGGGCCGTTTGGCTGTGTTGGCGCATTCGGAGGGTGATTCCTTGGTTGATATAGCACAGAGAGATGCCATGGCCGAGTCTCTAGCGTCGTGGGCGGATGATGGTGGTAGGACTAGGTGGGTGCACAGACTCCCTATACTGGGGGAACATGACGAAGCATGGGAGAAGGGAGACGAACTGGCGAGTGCCATTGCTTTCACCGTGGCGAAACTTCACACCGTAGACTCCTAAGCGAGCAGCGGTAATCTATCATTGAACGGGCCTGTCCGCGCATACGAATAACGAGACGACAGGATTACATAGCGCATATTGAGTACATACAATAAGAACTGCACATTCTCATACCAAAGCTCCTGTTGAATACTGTCTGGCATCACAAAGGCAACAGATATCAAAGGTATAAAAAGCTAGTACACATTAGAAGGAACGGGAAAAAGACCGGCCATTCCAGAACTTCCAACGCCACCAGCATTCATCATCGTTGCTTCAGAGTACATAAAATATCAAGTCAAAATGCCCGTCATGCGCCCGGTAGGTGGGATAAACATTAATCAAAAAAAGAGAAGAAGACATAAAAAAAGTGACTGAGATCAGTAGACATCAGGTCAAGCGCGGCGATCGCACTTATGCATGTGCAAGAAGATAGTGGCGTGAAACCTAAACTCGGGCCGGGTCAAAGTTGAACAGATATTTTCCTTAATTACCTAAATCCATCCGGCCGGACGCTGCGTCTCCAGCGACTTTTTCTTTCCTAGCACTCGAAGTCTGAATTTCCTCCTCGTCTTCCTCGTCCTCCTCCCCTTCGCTGTCCTCTGCGAACCGGGTCTCCATGCCTGCATCACGAAGACGCGCTCTGGTCTCCTCACGGTACTGGTCCTGCCAGCGAGCGAGCGCGGCCGGTGCATGGACCCGGAATCCAAAGATCCGAGGTTCGTAACGACGGATGCTCTTTTCGGGAAGCAGGGCGGGGTAGACCTGGAACATCATGCTGTGGAAAGAAGACCCGAAATAGGCACCATCGATGGAGCCATGGCGAGAGGACTTGGGGTTGTAGATATCTTCGCATTTGGCACAGTAAAGCCGGACGGTACTCGTATTGGGGATGTCATGTTGGCCCATGGGCAGAAGGGGGTGGCCCTCACAAATGACTCGAGGGCACTTCCCGAAATCGCACTTTTTGTACTTATCGAGCTGGAGAAGACGTCAGTCTGTGTCTCGTCGAATTTCTCCCCCCGTTTTCGATCACATACCATCTTTGCCAGACCACGAGTGGTCACAATGTATCTCGCATGCACAAGCCCGTACAGGTGGCGCGCTGCTTTCTCGATTTGCTCGCGGAGCTCGTCGTCGGCGTCCAAGTCGAAGACATCGGTCACAAGATCCAAGGCATACTGGTAGTAGGGAACCTCCGTATTTAAGCCCGTGAGGTTGAAGCGATCGGTGAGGTACTCTTCGTCGATTTCGCAGAAGTACTCGTTCCCGCGGGATGAGATAAACTATTCGAGAGTTAGACAGATCGCAAAGTTTCAACGAGAACAGATCGGATGAAGAGCGAGAGATGAACAAGAACAACGGGGTCTGGTCAAGCCGTGGGAGATGACTCCACCATTGCTTGATCAGACGATCGGGTGGGAAATGACATAACAGCCAATACAGATGCTAAATCCCTGTATAACACAAAGCCAAATAATCCTCGAAGCTATCGCACCCCATGCGGTTGGTATAGACACTCAGCCGCAATGGCATTGCGATGAATGATGGGACGGAATGGTGATGCCCAAGCGCAATTTCTCCCCGCATCCCCTATAACAAATCATACGTACCCAATCTCGCCAATAACTAGTATAATCACTATCCGTCTCACTGTTGAAATCTTCCATCATCTTTTCAATTATTTGGCCCAGCGGGGGCGGGGGAACGGATCGTAAGGTAAGATTATTTCGGTGCTTTGCCTGTAGCAGTTGCTGAGAGGAGGGTGAGATCGGCCCAGCGCAGGAGGAGCCCCCAGAACTGTACAGCTGGAATAATCTTCCTCAGAGCGTCCAGCAGCCACGGCTAAATAGAATGGATGTAGTGATTGAATGTTCGGGGGAGACAGAGAGATGCCCGATTGGATTGGTCTGGTCAGAATGTGTGTTTCTCCATTCCGTCCACTCTTGTTATCAGTGGATCGTCTATTTATGGTTTAGCGCGGGGTTGGCGGTGGCTTTCTTCGCGTCTTTTGACACCGCCTTTACAACAACAACAACAACACCACTTGGGATATCTTCATTCCATTCTTCGTCCTCTTCTTTCCAACTTTCTAAAGTTCAATCGCTACTGCATACAATGGATTATAGCACGATGGTGGTACAATTATCACCAGTCAAAAATCAATTTATCCCTGTTTCTCACACCACAGCGCATCACAAACACCGTCCCCAATATACTAACTATTTACAAATAGCCCCTTCGGGCAGAAGAGAAGGAGGATACGATCGTCATCACGATCGAGGGCTTACAGGGGCGGGTTGGCGTTCTTCACCAGCTGCTCGAAATAGGCCTACGGTCGATATATTAGCATAGCGAACAAACGAGAAGACAACTCATGAAAAACATACCTGGAACCACTTGCCGGCCTCAGGAGCAGGGGTGAGGGCATCTTCAAGCCCACAGTGGGCATCATAGCGCTCAGCAGACTCGTCAGAGGTACCATCGCTCTCTCCACCGGGCTTTCCCCAGACGAAGGCGTCAACAAGGGCGTCGCCAGTCTCAGTGGTTGGGCGCTCGCCAAAGCCAGTGTCCTTGACGTTACACCAGTCACCCCACTCAATCTGGCCGGTGGGCTGGTTTCCGTTGCGGCCTGGAAAATGGTTAGGTATAGCTCCCTTAAATCAGCTCAAGATGGCACATACCAGTGTCAACGATGAAGTGGGCGTCGAATCCGTTGGCCTTGAGCTCGGGAGCGAAGTTGTTGACATAGCTCTTCTCGTCGCAAATCTCATTCTCAGAAGTGTAAGACGGGCAGCTATCAGTGGAGAAGGCGTTGAAGTTGGCCACGTTGGTCGCCAGTCCGCGAACGGAAGCGGGAGACTTGGCATCCTTGTAGACCTTGCCAAAGAGCTCAGCGGCGGGGCCGATGTTGGCCGGCCAGCCCAGCCATCCGGCGTGGCCTGTGGTTTACATCAACGATGTTGTCCTGGTATCGAGAAATCCAAACAATAAGATCCACTTACCAGCATCGAGATACATGGACACATTAGGAAGGTCAAGGTTGACAAGGGCATAGTTAGTGCACTCCAGATACGCCTCCTCGGCATTGGCACACTTGGGCACATCCATATTGGTGATCAGGTTGCCCAAGCTGTCCGGCTCTGCGTGACGTTAGAACTGCCATCCAAGTAGCATCTAAACTACCACAACTCACCGATGATCAAGATCGACTTCACATCAGAGTATTTCTCGAGGAGCTCCCGGATGGAGTCGATATACGCCTTATACTTCTCCACACCACCATCATCGATAGCATACTCTCCGTTGGAGGCCAGAGCAGCGCAGTCACGGTCAGGCAGATCGTAGACAACGAACTGGCCCGCAATCGGGGGGCTAGCGCCCTTATCATTTTGGGCTTTGATGTCCTCCAGGAACTCGCCCATGGTGGGGACTTTATCGGCCGTATCCCTATAGCAAACCATCAGTTTCTGTCAATACTGCATCGGGGGCTTCCCAACACCACATACAGCCAGTAGAACGAGGGGACGTTCGCCGCAGCGCTCGCCTGCTCCGCCAATGAACCAGTCATAGACGGAATGGCCGACTCCTCCACCTCAGACTTGTAGTAAGGGTTCACGAAGAGGTCGACACCCTCGTAAGGGTTGCCAGTCACAGCGGGCGGGCTAGACGTCGCGGTGGGCGACCCAGTGGGGGACGGGGTAGGCGCAGCCTGAGGAAGAGCCTGCACAGCAGGCAGAACGAACGGCAGAAGGGCCCACAGGGCCGTGTTGCTAACAGTCCTCATGATGGGTCAACGAAAGGAATGCAGTGTGCAGATATACTTTGAAAGGAACGTTGGTTTGCTTGAATCCTCAACTCGAGTTAACGGCGGTCATACATCTGTATTTATACCCTCTCCCGGCCAACTCTGCAAGATCCACCGCATGGTAGGCTAGTACCTAGTACCGACATCTAATCTCTCCGTTCCAAGTCCAGCAAAGCCAAGCCAAGCGGATAGTCAAACAAGTTTCTCTGGTTAAAAACGCATGATGCCATCCATCTCATCTCCCTGGCTAAAATGAATTACCCCAGAGCATGGGGCTGCTACTGCTAGCGCACGGGTCTCATGCGGTTCGACGGTCCCGGATTTCTCCAGTACAGTACGGCCCGACATAGACAAGCAATTAAGTTGAGGTCAAGACGGACCTCTTCCGTCCTGGAATAGTGCAGAAATGGGATGATCGTCATTATACCGCTGAGACTCGGCGCCGGCCGGGTGAAGAAGTAACGCCTGTGAATTTAGGTTCAGGGGTCGATCCTTGATGATTTGCTTTGATATTCAACCGTGCTGTGGTCGATCATGTGAATCACTTGCTGTCGAATTATACACAATACTATAATGCGATATTGCTGTCTATAGACAGCAGAGTCTTTGAAATCAAACACACTCAAAATGTCATTCCATATCCCCAAACCACCCTACCAAGCCCTACAAGCCACCCAGCAACCCCAAACGCCCAAATCCACCAGCATATCCATCAACACCCACAAAATTCTTCCGGCAATAACAATCTCCCAGCCCACTAATTCTCACATCCCCCATGGGGTCAACCCAATCCTGCACAAAGTTGGCAATTGCGGAGTGGGGGTGTGAAGAAAAAGTTCCACCACTATTTAGGGCTAGCCTTGGGGGGGAAAAAGACCCCGTTTCATATACAGCGGGCCTTCCCTAGCCTATTTTAAAGTTTTTCCGCCTACGGGATCGAGAGCCGCTCGGTTTGTTCCTTTCCGGCATCCCCGCTCGCTGTACATTATTCGTCCTTGTAGTGGCTCTATGGCGGTGGTTTGTGGAAGTCCTGAGTTAATATGGGTGTTTGGCGCCAAGGGGTAGAGGGCGGGGTTGGTGAAGTCTAGAGTCGATGGCCGGTTTGGCGGGCCGGGTTCCCATGTGTGGGACGATTATGTCGAAATCGAGGGCGATTTGGGTGCTTGTCGTGTTTGGTGGGGACTTGCGAGGAGAATGTGTCTCAGGATATATTCAGTATGTCTATATTACGGGGACATATTTATGTAGTTGAAACAATATATTTAGTTATCAGGGCAATATGAAACAAAACTAGGTATTTGACAAAGGAAATGAATGAATGTCCAAGTTGGATAGATATGCATATCAATAACATTGCGCAGCACGATCACATTCTGCTAGAAAACGATGTATTCCTTCGGTTGATCCACATCCGGAAGTGCTAGGTATGCCAGCACTCGACGTCTCGGGGAAAAGCTCCCGATCGCCAAGCTCGCTGATATTGATGCTGGAATACCCCGAAGGGGAGGAGGCCCATGGATTGTCGTTGAACATGGTAACATCCTCGAAGCTGAGCTTGTGCGCTGGTGACGACTCCGAGAGGCTGTCTGACATCATGGCTTCCCAATCAACTCCATCAGGCTTCTGGGTGCAAGCTGGCTCTTCTCGGTAGAAGTACTCCTCAGTACCTGGCGAAGCAGGAATGCTGGGTGCAAAGGGGAACAGAAGGGCGAGATCAGCGCCGGTGCGAATGTTGAAATCGTCGTCCTGCACGATCTTGCCCCGCTGGACGCCGACTTCGTCACACAGTCGCTCCACGGTGGCTGCATCACAGCCTGGAAATCGTACCCGTATTGTTGATCTGTCGTGAAGTAAAATGGGCAAGTCTCCTAGACTTGACAGCCGCTTAAGGTCATTGAGTACGGCCGCCAAGTCCTTGAGAGCACGTCCGAAATCGGCAGAGAGCACATCCAGGACACCGTCCGACTTGAGCGTCGCGGGCTCCACTGCCCCAGACACACCAAACTTCTTCTCCAGGCCAAATGCCGTGATAGTAGGCGACATCTGGAAATCAACGAAAGAACCGGGCGCCGTTCGGGGAATCGCCATCATCTTACGCTCGGCCTCGTCTTGGAGCGCACTAACGGCCTTGTACTTCTTGTTTCCGGTGACGTGGTCGATACCATCGAACCGAGCCTTCTGCCCCGAGAGGAAAAACGCCCGAACACCGACCGATACATTGTTGATGACCTGCGCAGGCGCCGCTGGGCCATGAGAGAAGTACCGGGCACCCCCAACGCGACCAGCGCCAATCGTGTACCCTCCTGCGGTACGGCCCAACGTGCCACCGGTCAAGTTGGGACGCAAGGTCGAGGCAAACGGAGCCCGGGAGGTCAATCGACTGACATTGGACGCAACACGGGACGGCTGGAAGGCAGCACGTTCACCTTGTAGTCCAGTCCGGATGTACGAGATGAAGGCGCTTCCAGCACGAGTAGAAAAGTGACGGCTACGAGCCTGGCGAATGGCAGCGGCCCTGTTAATAGGCTGTCGGGGATTAATACGAGCATAAGCTGGTTGGTAACGGAGTGAGCCTTGTTGCAGATGTTCTGGAATCCTCGACCTGATGGCCTTGGAAGCCTTCTCATAGGCAAACCTATAGATAGTGGAGCCGTCAGATAAGGAGATCAGCGGGAGTGTATGAAGAGTGACTTACCTGGCTGCTCTCCAGAATTTGGGGAGCAGCAGGTGCCCACTAGATGGAGGCATCCTGCTAAAATGTCAAGGTGTATGGATCTAGATGAAGAGATGGTAGGACGATGACTCTTAGGAAGGATTGGATGGGGAAATGGAGAGGGGAGATGACGAAGTGGCGGCAAATTGTGGCGGTGCATCACATGACGCCACGTGCCACTCGGAGGCGCATATGCTGAGTCATCTCATGGATGCTTGTGGAATTTACGGACGGAATTAATGAATACTCGCGTTGAATTTTTGACGTGTTTTTATGAACGAATCAAGTGTGGGAAACATTAACAATTTTATTTTTGGAAAATCTATCATCTATTCATCTGGGGATATCATTATGAGACATAAAATTTACTCGTCATCGCCGAAGAAGACCTTGATGGGCAACCAGTCGTCACCGCAGACCTTGAAACGGTCCTTGAGGTTATCGAGCTGGTTGATCTCCTCGTCGGTCAACTCATAGCCGTCAAGGTCGAAGTTCGCGTCAATACGAGACTTGCTGACGGACTTGGGGATGACGCTCCAGCCCTTCTGCAGACCCCAGAGAAGCAGCACCTGCTGGGGAGTTCGGCCCTTCTTCTCAGCGATCTGCAGGAGAGTGGGGTCCTTGTAGAGGGGCGAATTGGTGGAGCCCAGGCAAGAGTAGCCGGTGGCGTGGATACCCTTGGACTTCAGGTAGGCAATCAGCTTGGGAGAGGGGTTGTTGGGGTGCAGCTCGACCTGGTCGACGGCAGGGACGATCTTGGTGCTAGGGTCGTTCAACAGCTTCTCCATGTTCTTGATGCCAAAGTTGGAGACACCGATGTTGCGAACCTTGCCGGTCGCAGGCAGCTTCTGCATCTCTTGCCTGATTCTTGGTCAGTTTCTGCTAGCTTGAGGCCACGAGAAGTCAGACGGATTACATACCAGGTCTTGATGAAGTCCCAGTCGGGAAGGTGCTTCTTCAGGTCATTGGGATCGGTCGAGCTGGGCCAGTGGACCAAGTAGAGGTCAACATAGTCGAGACCCAGGCTCTTGAGGGAGGAGTCAATGCCCTCCGCAACGCGGTGGTGCCAGGGGTTGTCGAGCTTAGTGGTGACCCAGATCTCTTCGCGGGGAACGCCAGAGTCCCGGATACCCTCGCCAACCTCGTGCTCGTTGCCGTAGGCAAGGGCACTAAAACGATTTGTCAATATAGGTGCGCAAAACGGTTGAAGCAGGAAGAACAAGATGTGACCTACGTGTCAATGTGGCGGTAGCCCCTCAGCAAGGCATTTTTCACAGCCTCACGGACCTCGTTGGGCTTGGACTGCCAGGTGCCCAGACCAATGGCTGGGATCTTAGCACCGGTGTTGAGGGTGAAGGTCTTCCTACAGAGAGCGGCAACATTAGCGATATGTTCTCACTCTTGCGCACCCGTCTAGACGCAGAATTGATGCAGACGAGAGCATCAAAATAACTTGAAAAAAGGCAGTAGCCAAAAGGCGGAATTGGAGAATGGAAGCATTGATTCACTTACTTGGTGTACTGAGCGGTCGACATTTTAAGTGTTTGAGAGGTCAATGGATCAATCAAATCAGAAATTGGGAATAGGTTCAATCGAAGAAAAGACACAGAAGGGATGCGCCGGAGGCTTTGTACGTTCCTATGGTCGCGCACCCCAAGCATGCCACTGGGGGGAAGGCGGGGAGCATGATGTCGACTGAGGGGCAACTAACCCCAATTCATCGTCGCAATGGGGCCCCTCCTTAACTAGCAATTACCCGGCGGGCGGTTTCATTTTACCCAGGGTAGTACTCCGTGCTCCGTGCTAAGTCGCTGACTTATCTCCGATATCTGTCGAAGAACTAAAGCAATTGAGCTCTACAATGGACATTTAATGTCTAATTGTTGGATATCGATGATCTCTTGGTGGTTGACTACGATTCCCAGATCACAGCAGATTTGACCTCAGCCTCCGTAACTACACCTAAGCCATCTTCATCTAGACCTGTTTCTAAACTTCCCACATACATCATCGGAGTTTATGGCCAGGTATTTTGCCTAAAATACCCGCCTCCCCCACCGGGAATGTGGCGGAAACTGTTATAGGCCAGTCGTCATCGATTTGGCCACAGTATCGCCTGGATTTTACCGCTCTTTACCGCTCTGTTCTGCCGCCGTCTTCCGCCCCACTGGCTCCGCAAGCCCCGAACACGGTTCGAACGACTTTGGAGAGGTGTAATATTATCCAATTTTTTCCCATCTACTACGAGCACGACAGCGGTTTATCTAAGCGGACAGCTGCTCTTGAGCTAGCTACTTACGCAATCCGGACAGCTGAAAATGTCATCAGGGTTCGTGTCCGCGGGGACAGACCAAGAACCAGTAGAACGCGACGAGGAATGGCTTCGCGTACAACATGAGCTGGAGGAGGAGCGGCAACGAAAGGCCGAGCTGAGCAGGCAAGATGGCGGGAAAAGCTTGTTTGAAGTTCTCGAACAGAACAAGAGTGAGTTACGGCATATTCCAGGGAGGCTGAGGTGGAATCGCGTGCTTCCGGATACCCTGGGTTGACATGTTAGGGTGATGTTGTTCCGGCAAACAGTGGCCAAGCAGGAAGCTTTCGAAGAGAAGATCAAATTGAAGAATCAATTCCGTTCGCTGGATGAAGATGAGGTTGACTTCCTCGACTCGATCATGGAGTCGACACGTGCCCAGGAAGCCGCCGTCAAAAAGGAGACCATCGAGCAGCTCGAGGTGTTTCGCCGGCAACGGGAGGAGGCAGAGAAGGCTCTTATGGAGGACAATACCGCGGACGTCGTACCGCCAGCTGAGGGGGAAGAGTGGAAGATACCGGCGCGCAAAAGGCGGCGCGATAAGAATAAGAACCTTCTTATTCCCGGCAAGAAGCGAAAGTCCATGGGTGACGGTGCCGAGGAAGGGGCCCCTGCTAAAGAACTGAAGTCGGACAAATATGCAGATGAAACCAAGAGAAGCAACGAAGGCAGCAGGGAGTCATCCGGTTCCGCCCCGCCCCCGAAGCCTCCCGTTCAAGGTGCCACAAATTCGACACGTCTAGCAAACGAGACATCGAAGGAGGAAGAGAAGGCAGACTCGGGACAATCGCAAGCGAAACAAACCTCGCCACCTCCGTCTACTTCTCTTGGCTTAGCTGGTTACAGTTCCGATTCGGAGTAATGCGCAGTTTCCTCGTCGAATACCAGAGCACGACATGGCCCCTCCTAGCCCATGTCATCTCACGCTATTACAGAACCTTCAAAGGTTCTCCATCAACAGAAGCGTACAAGTTGACCAGTGCTGTTGACAGTGGCCCTCTAGTACACAGGTCTATTGACTCCGATCGTACATCCGAATGTGTGTTTTTCATGATCATCACTAGTACTAATTTCCACATGGCAGTGCACTTTCCGACATGGAATACTTTGTCTGTTTTCAGTCATCACTGGGTGGCATACATTTGATTATACAATTAGGGCACACGAATTCCAAAAACAATATATCATTCACTAGTAGTCGATATTTTCCTCCGAACATCTCCTTCATTCCACATGTTTGTCTCAATTGCTCGACCGCCGGGCTTCCTCTTCCGCCATAATCACCTGCTGTTTCTCTTCCTGTTCCATGACCTTGCGTTCCAGATCACGAGGGACGTAGTCCTCCTTCTTTGACCCCACAACAATCCACGGGGAATTCGAGAACAGATAATTCATCTCTTCAAGAGGCAGCTTCTTAGTCTCAGGCAACAGCAACCAGAAGAACACCGCATTCGTGAAGTTGCAGATGATGAAAACGAAGTAGTAACGGTACCCCACGCTCTCCATTGCAATAGGAGTGACTTGGCCAATCATGGTGTTGAAGGCATAAGAAGTCATCGTGGCAAGCGAAACCCCCTTAGCACGCGTTCGAGTATCGAAGACTTCGGCTGGAATGATCCAGCTAAGAGGACCACACGTGCACGAAAATGAAAAGTTATAAAGCCATGTCATGATGATGAAGCCCCAGTGGGCTCCCGTGTTCTCAACTTCTGGTGGGAACCGAGCCAGCAGCGTGCATGCAACGATGAAAGTGACCATGTTTCCGAGGTTGCCCCAGATCAACGTCCAGCGACGGCCGAGCCTGTCGATGAACAGGATGCAGAGAAATTGTGCCACCAGCGCGATGATGGAGTTGATCGCTTGGTATTGTAGTGTCTTGTCACCCGTGATTCCAATCTGCCCATAGATCGTCACAGAATAGTATCTGCGAATAACTTGCAATCAGCTTCTTATTTCTTCCGCTTTGGTCTTATCAGAGCAGTGAAGACTTACTGGATTGCGGATACACCGGTCATCTGCACGGATGCCTGCAATGCGCAGCACAGGAAAAGACGGCGAAAGGAGGACCGTGAGGTGAACAGCTCGACATAGGACTTGGCCTCGTTCTCGTGCTCGAATGTGATGGTTTCCTGGATTTGATTATATTCCGCCCGAACCCAGGCATTATCTTCATTACCATGGGCATGGAGCCTGGCGAGGGTCTTCAGCCCCTCTTCGTGGTGGCCATGGTCAATCAACCAACGCGGAGACTGCCACCAATTAGCCCTAGAACTGGAACAATTTTTTGAACTTCGCCTACCTCCGGGAATAACATAATCAAGAGACCCAAGAAGACTGCCGGAGCAATCTGCAAACCCAGCGGCACTTGCCACTGAGCATTGTTGGTTGAGGGGAACCCGATGTATGTACCATATGAGATCCATGCGGCGCACAAGGACCCCACACCCAGCATGAATTGCTGCAGGGCGGTTACACGACCTCTTATATCGGGGTGGCAGATTTCAGCTTGGTACAAGGGAATGATCATGGTCAGGAAGCCAACACTGCAGCAGTCAGAGCCTGTCTTTTGCTCCTGAGTATCCTGGGAATTACCCGAGGCCCGCTAGGAACCTTCCGCTGTATAGATACGCCACCGTCTGCGCTCCCGTTTGGAGCCCGCCGCCGAGGCAGAAGATGATACACCCGATGGTGATGGTCCATCGCCGACCCAGCTTGTCGCCTGTGGGACCTGCAAATGCAGCACCGAAAAAGGCGCCTGTCGTGAACATTGACACAACCAGTCCACTACGTTATGGTTAGACTTGATCCCGGCCACTGGCTGTTGTTGTTCAATCCGAGAATGGGAAAGGACCATACGTCTGGGTTGTATCTGCTTCAAACTTCGCCTCAAAGGATCCACTTGCGATCACTTCGGCGATCACACCCAGATCGTCTGTGGAGAACCTTAGTTATGACATCGTAAACTGCATGGCTGTGTCTCATACATCCATAAAGGAACGATCCGAGGGAGGCGAAAACGCCCACCAGAAACTTGGAAACGTTAGTACAGACTCATACTATCTCGCGAAAACCCTTGGGTATGTACCTGGTACCATGCTGGAGACAGACGCATCCCGATCACAAAAGTTTGGCGATTTCGAGTGCTTTTGACGAATCCAGTCTGAAAGCGTCTGACAAAACGAGGAAGTCAAGCTGAGTCCAGGACATGAGTAGCCTTTAATACCAGATCCCCAGTTCGGCTGGCACAACCGAGCCATGTCCTTGGGGACGAGATGCTCACACTCCACATGGCATAAATCCGACGGAGCCATCGCTGGGCGGGGAGTCTCCAAGCCATACAATATTCCAAGCCATTCGCTCAAATCCTCCAACATCAGCACGGGACTTTCCTGTAAATATGACACGATCTATCGCAGCGCAGCAACGAATCAAGATATCCAGACCCTACCCATGTTCAGCCACTTCTGTTGGTGCCAACTAGTGGAAGCTAACAAAGATGATGGGGGTAACCAAGACAGGCATCTGAACTCGGTAATTGATGGAAGATTCTTTTGGCTCGGACATGGCTCCCTGTACTAAGGAATTGGCGCCAAAGTATATTATATCGTCCCCGGTCTTAGCACCCGTTGAAATGCCTTGTGATAGATGTTACTTGGCCGCGTCAGGCACGACCCCGCAGGGGAATTACCTATATGAATTGGCGGGGCCGGCAGACGTTATAATTACTGTCTGTGAAGACGTCTGCAACTATTATTTCAAGGGACTCATTCGTCTACTCATTGAACTTTCTTTGTGGTCTTATACCAGTTATCGATCTTTCTTTTCTCTTGCGAATCAATCCGGTGTCTTAACACGCCATTTATCAAACCCAATGACAACCTTCACGAAGCTCAGTAGCGCGGAGGCGCCTGGGATTTCCGTCCACTCAAACCGGCGCATTTCCAAAATCAATCCCAATATATATGCTGGTTTTACAGAGTATGTTCATTGCTCTAACTTTGTCTCCCAGGACTGAACTATGAGCTGACACGCGGTGGCAGGCACATGGGTCGCTGCATCTATGGGGGTATCTACGATCCTGGGAACCCGCTGTCAGACGAGAATGGCTTCAGGAAGGATGTGCTCGAGGCTTTGAAAGAGCTTAATATCCCTGTTGTTCGCTACCCTGGGGGTAATTTCATGGCAACTTACCATTGGATCGATGGAGTCGGTCCGAAGGATCAACGCCCTTCACGGTATTCTTCTCTCTCTTATTCTGATTTTATATTGTTTCGCATCGTCTTATGGCAATTATGTGGTCTCAATGACGATATACATTTACTGACGACCTTTAGCCCTGAATTGGCGTGGTTAGGGACGGAAACAAATCAGTTCGGAACTGACGAGTTCATGAAGTGGTGTGAGGCCCTTGGAACTGAGCCCTATTTCTGTTTGAACTTTGGGACAGGTGAGAACTTCAAGCAGTCTACAAACTGATGAACACTGTCATTAATAATTATATTCCAGGGACTCTCGACGAAGGTAGCCATGTTTAATACCTTCGACGATTTCACTTGACTAACTGACATCGTCTAGCCCTTGCCTGGGTCGAATATTGCAATGGCACCAGAGACACCTACTATGCCAACCTCCGACGCAAGAATGGGCGTGAAGAACCATATAATGTTTGTCTTCCACCTTCAGCATTGCTTCGTATCCTAACACTGTAGTTAGATTAAGTACTGGGCCCTGGGAAATGAGACATGGGGTCCGTGGCAGGTTGAGCAGATGACCAAGGAAGACTACGCACACAAGGCCTTCCAGTGGGCGAAAGGTAGATAAAATTCTCCCCTTTATCGAAGATTTATCTGACCATATGTTCAGCTCTCAAACTCCTAGACCCTAGTCTAATTCTGGTCCTTTGCGGACAAGACGGCACCGCGTCGTGGGATTACTATACCCTCAAACACTGTCTTCTGCCCGCGTTTTCTCCACTCTCGACCAGCACTGTCCCCCTCATCGATATGCACAGCATCCACCTATACACCTCCTCATCATCCCACCTCCCCAATGTCACTGCCCCGCTCGCAGCCGAGCGCGCCATCGAAATCACCTCCTCCCTGATCGACCTTGCACGAATCGAGAACGGAGTCCCACCCGAGCAGCTCCGCCCCACCATCTGCTTCGACGAGTGGAACGTGTGGGATCCCATCCGCGCCGAAGGCAGCAAAGGCGCCGAAGAATGCTACACACTATCCGATGCGCTCGCCGTCGCCGTGTACCTCAACGTCTTCGTCCGCAAAAGCAAAGACGTCGGCATGGCGTGCATCGCACAGACCGTCAACGTCATCTCCCCCCTCATGACGACCAAAGACGGCATCACGAAACAGACCACCTGGTGGCCTCTGTACCTGTTCTCGAAGTACATGCGTGGCTGGACTATCAGCGCGCATCTGTCCTGCGGGACTTACGAGGGAGAAACCTCGCCTAAGTGGGTGCGTGGTGTCAAGGATACGCCGTGGTTGGATGTTAGTGCGACGCTAGGCGAGGATGGCTACGTTAATGTTGCGGTTGTCAATATTCATGAGGAACAGGACCTCGAGACGCAGGTTGATGGGACTAGTGGAGATGTCCGTGTGTTTACTGTCACTGCGGACGATGTCTCTGCTACCAATATGAAGGGGAAACAAGAGGTTGGGGTCTTGGAGAACACCTGGGATGGAAGGGGTCCGTACGTTTTCCCTAAGCACTCGCTGACTCTCTTGCGGTGGAAACAAGAGTAGGCTGCAGTCTTGGCTGCGTCATTTATGCCATGGTTTTGGCGGATTACCACTGCCGTTTAGGGCTAGAAATGCTTTTTGAGCTTAGACAAAAGCATTCATTTCCATTCATAACTCTATCATCGTTCTTCAAATGTCATAGCAAGCAATCAAAGCAGAATATTCATACAAATGCGACTAAAGAAGGGGAAACCAACAGCCTGCCTGAGCATCGTAGACCCTCTCCCTAACCATAATTGACATCCCGCACGGTACCGTTCTCATCGACGTGAACATTTAATCTGCGCAGCCCCCAACAGTCAGAGCCCAAACTATTACAACTAGAAGACAGACATCAAACATACCGGTCCGATCTATAATCCATTGTCATCGCATCACCGGGCTTGCAGATCCGGTGCGACTGGGGTAGGTCTTGTTTCGCGAATGACTATCGTGAAAGCGGTATCATTAGCATAAACCATCTCATGGGATAATGCAAATCAGTAATGGCTAGAAGACTCACATCTACACCACCAACCGCCTCAGTCGTGATCTTCTTCCCCGCAAGCTTGTTCAACCAGTCGCCCTGGTCCCCGCCGGGCATGTCGTTGTTGATTCCTGGGACGACGAGAGGCATTTTATTGGTATTTGGATGAGGTATTCGGTCTAAATATTGGTGTCTGACTTTCGTGGAGAACTCTGAGGATGAAGTAGAAATATCAAGGAATTGAAGTTGCCTGATGTTGCATCAGCAATAAAACTGCGTACCTTATCTAGCTGTGACGAAATGGGTGGCGATGACGTCGCCAGGCCCCAAGGCGCCAACGATCGCTGTTTTGGGACTAGTTTGTTTTATGGCCCACTTCTGATCTATATTTCTATACTATGTGTTGATCCTCTGGTAATGTTGGATATTCTTCATCGATATTTGATAAGTTTAGCTGCGATGCTCGTCAGCGAGAGTAGGTGCTACTTTACTAGCAATATATGGCGACATTCAAGTTGGTAAGGTGTTGCCTTACCACAGACATCAAAATGAGGAAGTTACGATGGCGCCATGCAACGCTCTTCTTCTCATGCTTTCCCCCCCCGGCTTCACAGACTCGAATAACTCACCATTGAGTGTTTTCATCCAGGTGATTTATCCCTGCTTGCAGGGATCACTCTCATTGAGTCAAGTTTTATGGTTACAAAATTGGCATAGCCTATATCACTCCTTATCATAATGCGACTTTTCATCCTTCTTACCATCGTTTCGCTCATACCTCTCGCGCTCTCCCTGCCCTCGACTGTCAAACCAACGAATGAAAATGCGCTTTTGAAATTCTTGGAGTTTACGAACCGTCGCTTTCTGTCGCTTATCACACCGAATATATGGATGAAACGGCACGTCAATGTGGGAGATCGTTCCGACTTGGTCGGAGACCACATACCGCAACGAACTAGAGAAATAGACAGCATCGAATCAGACCTTGATCTTGCCGACAATGTTTATCCATCAATAATTTCTAAAGCGGAGTCGATAGAGAGCTCTACAGAGCAAAAGGATTCGATAGCTAAGAGTCTTAAACGGGCCAACCCTCCCCCTTCAACACCACCAAACGGTAATTATCGCATCCCAAGCCTTGCTGCCGCTATCATAGTCACTACATTCGCTGGTTCAGGTTTTACCTTTGTTCTAGTCTTGGGCATCATAAAATGCAGACGGTACTGGACACGCCGTCAGCGCAAAAAGAAGGGCGATTTGGCCCTTAGATACTCCGTCACGTGTTCTAGCGAAGCCAATTCCAGCTGGAAGATGACTGCCAGTCGTGAGTCATTGATGTTTGATGCGAATCCTTCCTCATCTGTGAGATATCTTGTCGAGCAGGATGGAGACGCAGTCACTCGAGTATTTCAGACAAGCAGTGCAGATGCCTCGTCCACCAGAGCCAGGGACCCATTAAAGAGGTTATCAACCCCAGGATGGCTGCCAGAAAGGGAGAATCGGGTATCTACTCACAAGCCAATAGTCGTCCCATCGTCACTAAAACATGTCTCCTCGCTCAAAGCCGTTCCTGTGGCGGAGGGCACGAAGGATAGCTCGCATGTCATAGAAATCCCGTCGCCCGGTTTTTGGGGCTCGCCGCTGCTGGAGACTTCATCATGTGCGACTGATACTCTGTCACCGATGACTACAACAACGGCAACAACTTCAACATTGACAAACCAGTCCAGATATACTTCTTCTGTTCCCGCGGCATCCCCGTCTATCTCGCCACTCACCCTGCAGCCAACAAAATCCCCGCTGACACCGGTTTCCAGTTATGGGGCCAATCTAGGCGCTGCGACCTCGAACACCAGGTCACAAGGTGACGGTAAAAAAAGACCGACGAGTCTTCTTGCAATAGCCTTTGATTCGAGCATTCTCTTTGGACTGCCGCCTATTGAGCAGACGACTTCGCTTCTGGCCGATTTCGAAGATGGATATAACACTTAAACAACACTACGCATCACGGTCTAAGCGTCCTGAGTGTACTTTCAGATAGGCGACTGTTTGATGTGTGTTTGATACGGAGAGGATATGCCAAATGGCTCCGGTGTCTCTATCTCTCCTTTTGTGCTAGGCTCACTTTGAAAAGGTTTCATAGTCGTTCAATTTGTTGGGAGAGGTAGTAGATAGGATACTCTCACTTCGGAAAAAGAATCAGCCAGAGCATCTAATATAATAGGTTGCTTTCATGCGAGAAATCGCAGGGTCAGAAAGCAAGCTAAATCCTTAGGCTGAGCCCGGTCATGTCTTGTCCATTATTAGTCGCACACTGTACATTATGTATATTAGTCGGATGGGTTCAACAGGAGTACAGTCAGGTCAAATTAATTCCATACTGGCTAATGCTTGCGCTATTAAGCTGTCTGTCCACCATCTGTTAGTTCAGGTGGTTTACTTGTATACACATACGTGCATATTTTTCGACACACGCCACTTCCCTGAATTGCGAGCTCCAGGAAGCTCAAGTATTGGGTAGCATATCCACGAAGGATTGCCGTAATCTGGGACTGTTGACCACTGAGATTGTTGCGATTGATTATCAGGGAACCTAGGATGCTTCGGGGATAGATAAATCTCACCAGGGTTGCAGTCGTTGCCTAAGAGGGAAGCCCATTTATTCCCCGTTTCCCCTCATCATCCTCCTTCTGGTTTCTCAATTGCCGATCATTCTACAGCACTTTGACCCTTTACATTGTCCATTAACATTCCTCCACTTGATCATGGTAATCAGAAGCGAAGGATCTCCGTTCACCGCGGAGTTCGACCTCCTCGTCCAACAGCAATTGGACAAATGGAAGGTTCCTGGGTTAAGCATCGCGGTGGTCCATGGCTCCAGCACATATTCCAAAGTTCGTCATCTCTAGAATTCTAACCCCAAATGGTTCTCGACACTGATCATTATCCAGGCATACGGGATCGCTGAATTCCCCAACAAACCAATGACCACGAACTCCCTGTTCTCGACATGCAGCACCACCAAGGCGTTCACTGCGGCCGCCATGTCAATGGTCATCGACGAAAGTAAGAACACGTCAAACCCCATCCGGTGGGACACTCCCATCCACTCTCTCATTCCCGACGATTTTGCGCTGGCCGACGACGCTGCGACCTTGAACACGACCATCGAAGACGCCCTATCTCATCGGTCGGGATTGGCGGGAGATGACACCCTCATGAGTCGCGAGCCATGCAACGCGTCGATCCGCGAGACAGTGCGCAAACTGAGGCATCTCCCATTCACCTTGGCGCCCAGAACCACATTCTCCTACAACAATAACATGTACATTGTCGTGTCGCACATCCTAGAGCAACTGACGGGCCAAGACCTGGGCACTGTCCTCCGGCAGCGGATCTGGGACCCACTCGGTATGAAAGACGTCTACTTTGATATCCAGGAGCTCTGTCGCTCGCCGAGAGGTAAACGCCTCCTAGCCAGAGGCTACACATGGGATGAAGATACACAATCCTACATCGCAGAGCCGTACATGAAGTACAGACCCACGACAGGCGCAGGTGCCATCGTGAGCAACGTCCTAGAATACACAAAGTGGCTCCGAGCCATGATCTACAAAACCGGGCCCATGTCTCCACAAGGCCATGCTGCCATGGTAGAGCCCCGCACGATCATCACCGACACCAGTGACATTGTTGGCCCGCCAGCACCGTATCATGCCTATGGGCTCGGGTGGTTCGCGCACAGCTGGCGCGGTGAACCGCTCTACTGGCATAGCGGCAGCTGGCCTGGGTTTGGAATCATGGTCGGGTTCTTGCCGGGCAGACAGTTCGGGTTTGTGATGATGGGTAATACGATACAAGCTCGGAAGGCGGAGCTCGAGCTTTACTCGTATCTTCTCGACAAAATTGTGGGGTATCCTTGGAATCCAGCTCAATCTGTCATATCGCAGCGGGCGTCGGGCGTAAAGCCATCATCAGAGTCCACAGGCAGTGCCATGCAGCGACTATTCCCCTCGTTGCCGAGCCCAGTCATTCCCCATTCTCTACCGTTGGAGAGCTACGCAGGCCACTACAACCATCCCGGCTCGTCACTGATCACCTTTGAAATAAGAAATGGCCGCTTGATAGCCGACTTCCGTGACCGAGTGGGGATGGCCCTTTTCGAGCTGCACCATGCCAGCGGGGAATTTTTTCTGGGCCACTGGTTCAGCGGCGCAGAGCTCGGCGCGGCACAGAACGCGTACATACAGGTACAATTCCGAGTAGACTATACAGGCGCAGTCCAGGCTGTGGGGTTGGATCTGCAGGAGGATTCGAGTGCCGGAAAGCTTTGGTATCAGCGGAAGATTTAGCCTTTTAGCTTGTGGCTTGGCCAATTCCATCAATAGTATGCTCAAGGTGGTGTTGAGGTTGAAAGTATAGTAGTAGCTTGAGATATGTAACTCGGATGATGCAAGGAAGAGCAACAACATTAGACTCATTAGTCCTTCTAAGATACGTAATAAAAGATGATCCATGGAGTCTCTGGGCCTGACGCTGTATTCCAAACTACACGAGATCGTTGTAGCGGAACTACATATATATAACTACCGTATGAACTTCTGCCTTGCCACTCCCATCGCCTTGCTGTCCCTTTTTCTGCATAACGCTTGACCCTGGCTGTTTCTAGATTTATTACTTTTCTTATAGAAATCTACCTTCTTCTTGGAAGTAATTTTTCATAACGTCATCATAATTAGTGGTCAGAAATACAGACACAAAGCAAACAACACAGAAAAGAAACAGAGAAAACAAATAGAGGAAAAGGAAATGAAAAATGAATAACAAAACTGCGCCAAAGGACTAATTCTACAGAAAAGGAAAAAAAAAAAGAAACAAAAAGAAAATTATCTATATATTTTACCCCCTCACTCTGCTTATCCATCCCTCGCATTTCGCAAACACCGCTCAAGTCGCTTTCCTCTCTCCCTCTCCCGCACCAACGTATGCTTGACGAACGAACGCAGCGCATCACGACCGATCTGCTCCCGCCAAGAGGTCCACCCGGCCAGCTCGCCGACGACAACGTCCTTGTTCCAGGTGATCTCGCGGGAGATGTGGGCGACTTGGGCCTCGGATTCTTGGACCTTGTTCTCGAGGTCGCGGGCGGATTTCTGGCGCGATTCTTCGAGGCCGGGGAGATTGATGTTGAATTTGCGGGGGAGGGAAGAGGATATGAGGGAGGAGCGAGAGCGCGAGAGCGCGCGGGTTGATGCTGCGAGTGAGGAGATGAGCTTGACGGGGCGGGTGAGCGAGCTTAGGATGGCGGTTGTGGTGTTGTCGATGGCGGAGAGGCTGGCCAGGAACTGTAGGAGTGGGGAGGAGTCGGAGGCGGAAGTGGAGAGGTATGAAGCGTAGCGGGCGAAGGCGTCGACGTGGGCGGTTGGGAGTGCGCAGGTGGGCTCTTGGAGGGTTGAGATTGCGGATGAGGCTAGCGACGCGGCGTCGGCCATGTCGGAGGCGGCGTTGTGCAGTGCGTGGCCGCGTCGGATGACGCTGCGGGTGTTGGCGTGTACGCCTCGTACTGCTTCCTGCGCGTGCGATACGAATTGCTCGGTCTCGCGCATGCCGTCTTGGGTTATTTCCTCGTAGTCGTCGGCGATTGACTCGGTGAGAGCTAGCGCCTTGTGTTGGGAACGGTCGGCCATCATTTCGAGCTGGAGCTCGGGCATGAGGATGAACTCCCAGAGCATTTCGTGAGTGGAGAAGGTGGGGTGCGTGAGGAGGGTCTTGAGGAAGCGGTCCAGTTTCTCTTGCATGTCGTGGAGCACGGCGCGGGATGGCTTGGAGTGGATTTGGAAGGGGTTGCGGAAACCAGAGAGTGACGGCATGTAGGAGGCTGGATGTTCGACGGAGAGCCATTTGGCAAGATTTTCGAAGTCGGCGAGGCTGCGGCGGCAGGTGGTGACCGTGTATGTCGTTGTGGAGCTTGGCCCAGTGGCGTTATCTGGCTTTCGGTGCGGCGCACCGGATTTCAGGACGAAGCGGACAGTTGCGTCCTCGACGAAGAACGACCGGACTACGGTGGTTATACGGCCGGATGGTTCGTTTGCTACCGATGGAGGTTGCAAGACGAGGATCAGATCGTCAATGCGGTTTCGAACTTCGTCGTCCTTTGCGAGCTCCACGGCGGTCAGCCCGCGGCTTTCTTTGAGATGAACGTCCACGCGGGGATCCAAGAACAGGATCCGCACCTGGTCGGTGCGGCCGTACTTGCTCGCCATCATCAACGGCGTGAATCTCTTGTCATTTGTGGCGTTTGGATCGCAATCGCTCTCTCGAAGGATTCGAATGGTGATTCCCGGATCACTGACGATGTGCAACAGTGTATTGCCCCTTAAGTCGACGTGCTCATCCAGTCGCAAAGGCTTGCCATCCCTTTGGCATTTTTGGGCAGCTGTCAATGCATCATTCACCATAGCATTGTAATTGGGATGGTCGTAAGATCGACACAGGGCAAAAAGCGGCGTTTGCCCGTGCTTATCATGTTGTGTCCAGGGAAGAAGTCCATTCAGTCTATGCATCACCGATGGTGAGCTGAACAGATAGTGGGCAACGGTACGCCCATGCACATCTGCCATCCCTAAGTACGAGGAAATGGCATCCTTGTCAGCCGACGCGAAAAGAAAATCAAGCAAGATATCAACTATGTCCGTATGAGCGAGCTGAACGGCGGCATTGAGTAATGTCGTCCCGTCAGTATTTGTGTCCTCCAGGATGTCATTTAGCGGATAATACTCCTCGAGGCTGAGCAAATACCTCAAGGCGTCCGCCCGGCGGTTTTCCACAGCCATCATGGGGATAGAATCACCAGCAGGGTCTTGCGTCTTGGTCAGTGTCTCGATCGAGCTGTCTCCTTCGATAGCACTGCTGATTGAGTCCAGGGTGGTGGTTCGCGAAATCATCGAAACACCAGACGATTCTGAGAAGCTGCGAACATTCATTGACACTTTCTTGACACGACGGGGCACATCGGTGTGGGAAGAGTCATCTGCCCATGTCTGGAAAGGGAAGACATGTGAAAGTGGTGGAGCTTCAGGCGGATTGTTCAGGTCAACATGGCCATCAGATCTGCTGTTGCGCATGGGCAAAACGGCGCGGAAGTGGCGTTCAGAGTCGTGAGCATCGGTATTGAAAAAGACAGAAGTTTCGTCGTGTTCGCTGGGCGTCTCGTCTATAGCCGAATCATCACCATAGGGTTCAAGGATGGCTCTCATGTCATTGACTCGTCCAGCTTTGGTAGCACTCCAAAGGCGCCTATTCCGAATACTAGACCTTCGGAGACCAGCCGAATCGGTCACTAGATAGGTGAGAACGCCTTCGAATGTACTCAAAGCGTAGCCCATTTCGCCACTATCAACATCATCGATGTAGATGAAATGCTGCATGTATAGGAGTCGAGCTTGAAGATGCTTGACCTGGGACCGGATGACCACCACGAGTAGCAGGGAAACCAATACGTCGGCATTGACTGTCACGACTGGCTGCTTTTCAGATGATTGTGGATTCAGTCTGTCATAACTTCCCGAATACGACAGAATCTTGACGGTCTCGAGCAAGATGCTCAGCATTTCGTGGGGGCTTTTGCCGTCTAGGATCTTCCGAAATTCTTCCACTGCCCTGCCGAGTCGTCGCAACAGCTCTCTTTTGCCTTCACGGCCGCCTTCGACGGAGATGCCCACTTGCGAGACGTCTATACTCTCCATTTGACGTATTCGAGATTCGAGTTCTGCGTCCTCAGGCCGGCGAAATTTGCATAGCCGGGGGAAGAGGAGTGATTCATGGACCTGCTCGGCGACATACCGCTCGATGAGTCGTTCCACCAACGGCCCGGTGAGATCTGTTGTGGCGCCAAGGTAAGATAATTGTTGCTTGTCGACGAGCCGGAATAGGTCAATCGCGGCTGTCACGGCGGTCTCGAGGCTCCGGCGCATCAAGTCTTCGTCGTCTTCGAAATACTCCTCGGAATTGAACGGAAGCCCATCCTTGCGAGACGATACAGAGCTTCGAGTCGACGCGACCTCATCAAAAGGGAAGTCGTCACGGTCTCGCCCCCGCTCATAGTCATCAAACGTTCGCGGCGAGCGAGACGGTGGCGGCGGCAACGGCTTTCCCAGTTCTTTTCCGAATTCTCGAAACAGCCTCTCCAAGCCCGGCTGCATCTGTCTGGCGATCATCGGGAAATGCTCGAGCAGTTCACTGAAGGACTTGATCTCCTTCTTTTGTGGCGCACCCGCCGACTCTCCAGGCTTGACCCCACCGGTAACCTTCTTGTGTGGTAATGCCCCAGGCACCACGGCGGAGATGATCTTCCCAGGGTCGAACGAGCCGATCAACGGCCGCGAGATGTAGTAGATCAGCCATGGCTGCGAGTCGTGGCTTGGGGTATAGTAGAGAGCATCTGACACCAGCTGGACCTGAGTGAGAGATTTGAAGCCTAGATCTGCAGGTCAGCAGCTGCCCGGAGGGAACGGAAGACCGTCAAGGGGTTGAATCCACCTTTGTTACTGTACACCGAATTCTCCTTTATTATCACTGTGCGCCCATTTACGGTAGTTACCTGCTTCGCCTTTCCTCTGTTGTCGCGAACGTTCGAATCATCCTTCCCTCCGGCAGCTCCGTTCGGGACGGGGGCCCGCAAGGTATGGCTTCCCAGAAATTCTTCGGAGACGACGAGGTCGGAATAGAAGAGAGATGATTCGCGGTCGCGCGACCCGACCAAGGATTCAGTCACAGGCACTAGAAGGACCTAAAGACGGGGACTTGTGAGCGGGGATGCATCCCAGATGGGGTGGGGAGATGGGATAGGTATAGTTTCAAGGCCGCCATACATGATTCTCGATCGGCAGGCACTGCCCCGGGACAGTGCTTCGGAAGAAGGCTCGCAGGAAGGGGTTTAGAGGGTGCATCCAAACGATCTTGGACGACTGCCCGGCGAAAGAGCTCTGGTACTCATCAAGCCGTCGGTGTGGAGCTCCAGGAGGACTTGCGCTGCTCGATCGTCACAGGGGAGCAGCTCCGGCGCATGTGTCTCCAGGCAACGGTATCGCGATGTGGCCACAACCCGATGTCCGTAATCCCGGGGGAAAAGCACCTTGTCCAGTGGAAGATAATAAAGAGTGATCGCTATAACGCGTCGTTCAATTCAACAAAAGTTTGGAATGAGGGGGAGGTGAAGCAAGTCAGTCGCCAACATTCACGGAGTTCAAGTTGGAGATCTGGGTGCTGCTGGCACTAGACCGCATCGGGTAATCTAGTCTGCCTAAGGTTCCGTGCCTGCAAATCAAACAGTCTCGGCCACCGATTTCGAGAAAAGATTACAAAGGAGGCAGAATACGGTAGCTACATTGGATTCAGGCCTTTCCTGGTCTCTGGAATAAGCCAACTAGTGTACAAGTGTTGGGTCACTCAAATAAACATGAAACCCGGGGGATCCCTTTCGATCCCCTCACGAAACCCGTCGAAATGGATGTATTCTTCCTCCGCAATCAAAGACATAAACATTTCCCAAACAAAAACGAATGGCTTAACCCAGCCGGCGAACCTTCCGGCTCCTGGTACCACCGAACTTGATTCTGGTAGCGTCCGTTACCCGGCTAACAAGTCCTCGAACGTTTTTGCCCTCATTTCCCAGCAGGACCTTCGTGAACGCTTCCCGGCCGAGAGCAAACCCACGGAAGATGATATCCAGTCTCTGTATTTGGAGCAGAAGACCTCTCTCCTGAATCTGAGCAAACACATGTGCGGACAGCTGATACGCGGGATCGAAGCCCGCACGACCGCCTTTGCGGAAACCGAGGTTGCCACAACTCATCGTGAACAGGGGGCTGCCGTTTGGCCGGGTCAAGGTAATGACCGTGTTGTGCTTGTGCGCGTAGACGTGGAGGTGGTGCGGAGGGGATCGGTCGGCGTAGGGTTGTTTAAGAATTTCGGCTTCGAGGCTCTCCGCCATTCTGGAGTAATCCCGGCTCACGTTCTGGGACGGACGGCCGGCCTCTCCCTGCATCATCCGGGTAATCGCCGACAGGGGCGAGTCGTCCTTGGACTGCTCATTTTGCGGGTTCAGGAACTGCTTCTCGAGCTCGCGGTTCTTGTCTCGAGAGGAGGCTGCTGCTGTTCTCAGGGTCGTCGTCGAGAAAGGGCGCATGGAACACGTGGAGGGGACTCGAAGGGAGAACTGCCGGGCAGACAAAGGCGCAGCCTTCGTCAAGACGTTGACAATCGAAGTGTTCATCTTTGCGGTTGCCTCTTGAGGGCGTAGGTGGTAGGAAAAGAGCGCGGCGGACGCACCGACCAACGCAGTCAACGATCAAGCAGGAAAAAGAAGAATTCAATGATATCGTAGGTCACCAGAAGGAACAGAGACAGGGTGTGATGCGGCGCAAACCGAACTGGGCCGGGAACGAAAAGGGCGGAAGAAACCCCGGCCGAATTTTCGAATTCTTGGCGTTTCCATCCGCCTCAATCGTCCAACTCAACTTTTTTCCTTCTCCAAACCGCCTTTCCGACATCGCTCACTTGCCTCCTCTTCCCTTCTCCACGCGCTACTCCCTCAACCACGATTCGATTCTTGGGGCGTGGCTCACTTTTAGACCTTTATTGATTTCTTAATCACCTTTATCCCCTCCCTTCTCTCCTTCTCGACCTCTAGAGCATGATTTCGGCTACCAGGATGTCGGCCACCGCTCGGGCGGCTACCTTGCGCCCTCAAATGCCGACGCTCAAGAGCTCGTACGCTCAGCGGTCATTGATCCAGGCTTCCTCCTATTCGACATCACCGTCCAGGACCGCCCTCCCGTTGAACCCTCTGCCTGCGAACCGTCCCGTCGCCCAGATCCTCTCTCCGTACGCCACCCTCCCGTTGTCGAGATCTTTCCATGCCGCCACTTCCCTCTGGCAACAGCAGCAACAACAACAACAGAAAGAACAGCAGAAGGAGAAGCAATCTGAAGACGCGAAGGATGAAAAGGATGGAGAGTCCAAGGAAGAGGGACAGTCCGGTGACGGAAAGAAGGATGCGCCTCCGCCCCCGCCCCATGGTGACAAATCCCCCTGGCAAGTGTTCCGCGAGACTCTTCAGACGGAGTTCAAGGCTTCCAAGGAGTGGGAAGAATCCACCAAGGCTCTGGCATCGTCAGCGCATGAATTCAGAGAGAGCGAGAACATTAAGAAGGCTCGTGCCGCCTACGAAGCCGCCTCGGGAGCCGCTACTAGCCGGACCTCGACTGTGCTCAAGACCACCGGGAAGGCCATTGGCACGGGTGCCGCGTGGACCTGGAACACCGGCGTTGTGAAAGGCCTGCGAAAGGGTGTGAACGCGACGGGAGAGGGGCTCGAAAAGGCCACCCGACCTGTGCGAGAGACCGAGGCCTACAAGAACGTGAAGGACGCCATTGATGATGGCAGCAGCTCTCGGTATGGTGGTTGGATTGAAAAGGAGGAGCGACGCAAGCAGCGACAGCTTCGCGAACAGATGGAGGCCAAGGCTGGCCACAAGTCTGGGCCAATTGTTGAGGACCCGAAGTAAGCATACTGTGATGTTCGAGATCTGTGATGTCGACCTGATACTAATGGATTTAAAGTGCTGGAACCAACGTCACACTGCACAAGGATGCCGCGTGGAAAGAGTCGTGGCGCGATTTCAAGGATTCCAACCCTATGATGCAGAAGCTCTTCACGTTCAAGGAGACCTACAATGAGTCCGAGAACCCTCTGATCAGCACCGCCCGCAGCATCACCGACCGCGTTGCTGGATTCTTTGCCGAAAACGAGACGGCCATGGTTGTCAAGAAGTTCCGGGAGATGGATCCCAACTTCCAGATGGAAACCTTCTTGAGGGACATGCGCGAGTACATCCTCCCGGAGGTGCTTGACGCCTACGTGAAGGGTGATACCGAGACCCTCAAGCTTTGGCTCTCGGACGCCCAGTTCCACGTCTACGCTGCCCTGGCGCAGCAGTACACCACCGCCGGCCTCAAGTCCGATGGCCGGATTCTCGATATCCGTGGCGTTGACGTCACGCACGCGCGGATGCTGGACCCCGGTGAGATCCCGGTGTTCGTGGTGACCTGCCGCACGCAAGAAGTCCACGTGTATCGCAACACGAAGACCAACGAGCTCGCCGCCGGTATGGAGGACAAGGTCCAGCTGGTGACCTACGCCATTGGCTTGACGCGGATCCCCGACGAGGTCAACAACCCCGAGACCCGCGGGTGGAGATTGATCGAGCTGCAGAAGGCCGCCCGTGACTACATCTAAGCCTCGGTTGCTCTTCCATACACCCTTTCTCCCATTTCCGACGATTTACAAACACTCATGTCTTGATTATCGGCGATCCCTGATGAATTCCTCCCACCTCCCATCTTTTCTCCATTGTTTTGATATCATCCGACTGTACAATATTGTTCCCAAATAGAGACCAGGCGGAAATGGCGCTCGTGTTTGAGACAGTAACCATGACTAATTACGCTGGAAATCTTCCTTTTTATTTTTTTCTTCATTTCGTGCCCAGTGACTGTATTATCTTTCTTTTTTTCTTATTCACTTGGTTCGATTCCCCAAAACCTTGGGGCGACACGGACCTTTATGGGAACTGTGGAGACTGCAGGTCTCTTTCCATATGGATCCTGTCTGTTGGGAGTCTTGTCTATTCTGGTGTATATGGCGTCTTATCCGGTTAACTCACCGCTCCACTCTTCGCATTGCATCTGGGCCGATGCTCAGCTTGTTGGCTTTATTAGCTGGTTCTTGTATCTATGAAATAAATTATGAGTTGTGTTTCATATTGTCGTTTGTAAATAGCAGTACGCCTAGCACGTGGCTATTCTTCACTCGGGAGGCCACACAAAAACGGAACACTACTGGTATCACTTCATTGCGTCAAGCTCTATCTCACTTCACAACTAAGAAAATAGCCGGCAGAATATTACTAGGGCCAATCTGATTCAAAGAATTCAAACGTATCGAACATAAATGCAAAGTTTTTATCCCTGATTACCGCGGTCAGCTCCGCCGCCACCACCCATCATATTACGTGCCCTATTGTAAATCTTCGTTAGCATTTCAACGACCCATCTGGCATATATAGAGGAACTCACATATCAGCAAGGCTGGGGTCGTTCATCAATTGAGACATGTCCGGCATGCCGCCGCCACCGCGGAAGTTGTCGGCCATCTGTCTCAGCTGGGGGTTGTTCATGAGGTTGCCCAGCATGTCCGGGTTGCTCATGAGGTTCTGGGCCATGCTCGCGAACATGGGGTTGCTCATGATCGAGCTCAGATCGGGCATACCGCCACCACCGCCGCCGCCGCCGCCACCGCCGCCTCCAAGCATGCTGGCCAGCGAAGAGAGGTCGGGCATACCACCGCCACCGCCGCCGCGAGAGGCGCCAGGAGCCTCATCGACAGCATCAGCAGGAGGCTCCGAGCCACTGCTCACCTCCGCGATCTTTCTCTTGGTAGTCTCAAGGCCCCTCTTCATGGCATCACTGCCACCGTTACCCTCGGCTTCGATACCCTTCTCGTAGGCCTCCTTGGCACCGTTGAAATCGGCAATATCAAACCGGGCGAGTCCCAGCCGGCTCCACGCCTTGGAGTACTTAGGATCAACCGCAACGGCGAGCTCGGCATCGTCGATAGCCTTCTGGTGTTGTCCGGACGCGGAGTAGGCAGCAGCGCGGTTGGAGAGATAGATAGGGTTGGCGGGGGCAGCCTCCAGCGCCTTGGAGTAGCGCTCGATAGCAGCGGGGTAGTCCTTGCGAGCCATCGCGCTGTTTCCTTCAGACTTCAGCTTATCGGATTCGGGCGTAGGGGCGCCAGCCTGGGGCTTGGAGCTCTCTTGGGCCGGGCTGGGCTGAGACTGGGCACCACTGCTGGCGGATGCCTCGCCGGAGGGCTTTCTCCTGAGCTTCTCGTAAACACTGTAGATGCCCGTCAACGACTGGCCACCCACGGCATCCTTGACCGCGGCCTCATCGGACGGGTCGACCTTGAAGGTATCGGCGATGCACGACTGGGCGATCTCGATCGACTCCGCATCGTCAGCAGTCAGGGTGCCGTCTTTCAGGCTGGAGCCCAGGAAGTCGATGATCGCAAGCGCCAGGCGCTTGTTGGATTCTGTCGGGGCCTAATTGAGATAGTAATTAGAAATGATAGATGCAACCAAGGTACCATATACCGAGCAAGGATCCCTTACCATTCTCAAAATCAGATATCAGGGGTGATGTGGATGAGACAGGAGGACAGATGATGTCGCGGGGAATTTGGGGCTGCGGGGACTTTCCAATCGGTTCCATATCCAGAAATCGTCGTAACTTTCCATGTACTGCAAGAATACCAAAATTACGGCTAATCCCAATCGGGAGTTTGTTCGGTTTGTTCGGCTTCTGGAGCTCCCGCAGCACGTGATCAGCCCCCCCGTCTCTGCTGCATCTCCGCATTCTCGTCGGTCCCTCCTCCATCCCCTCAAATCATTGACATTACGATAAGGACACTCGGTTGGACATGGCTGGCAAGCTTGGGATTCACCTTGCCCCGATTTCCACGGTTTGAGTGTCTTTGTTCTCCCGAAGATGACTCTCTGTGAGCTTGTTCCCCTCGGTATCTCTCGCACCCGTGTCGAGCCATGTACTGGCCCAATGGCGTCCCCCGGGTCTATGCGATCAACGGCCCCGGAATCCCACACTCATGGTCCGATGATGATGAGGCGGTAGAGCTGGAGACCTCTGTGGAGCAGAGACTGACGCTGACCGAAAATGAACCGAAACCCCCGTCTGGAACGGATTCGGCGTGGGCGGAGGAGGCTATCACCGGTCTCTGTGTGTCGCGGAGCGGTCATATATTCGCGACCCTGAGTCGGTCGTCAATCGCCGTTTGGCAAACACGGGTATGTTCCGGGATACCTTCTATCTTGCCCTGGGTCGGGTGCGTGAACTAAGCTTATCTATCAGCCTACCGCCGTTGTCGCCGCCGTTACACGGTCCGCGTCGTCCCTCGAGACCTATGGCCCCAATGTAGCCCTACTCATGCATCCGGACTCTACGATTCTCGTCGTTCAAACCCAAAACGGATACTTACTTACCTATACCATCGCCTCCGACCCTAATAGCAGAGTTTACGAGCAGAAATTCGATCCGTCCACACAAACCCGCCGTCAGCAGATTGCCCGCCTGTCCAACAAGGAGGATGCCAATGGAATCCGCGATGTTAGTATCCGGTTTAGAATGGCCATCAAGATCGAGTCGGGGATTGTCAAAGCCCTCGCTCTGGACCATGAACTGGTGGTCGCCACGGTCAAGCCGGCGGCCATCCAGTGCATTCGATGGAGTCCAGATGCGACTGGGTCTCAGACTACATCGGAACTCCTGAGTCGGATATTGGGCGTCTCCAAACGGACCTCTATCACCGACATGGTGTATGACCGTGCCATCAACCTCTTAGTCTGGGTCACCAACGAAGGACAGGCATACGCAGTCCAACGCGTCTCTGAGACACCGGACGAACCCGACGCCCCCAAAAAGCTCTTCCACGGCCACTGTTTCCATGACCCAAAACACGAAGGTGAGAGAGCAGTGAAGGTCGCTGTCAATGCGCGATTTTCCCTCCTCACGGTGAACTGCGCCAATGGCGAAATTCTCGTCTACACCGCCAAAGACTATTTTGGAAACGTGCCGCTGTCTCAAAAGCTTCAGCTCCCAGCCTCGCCAATGACAACGGGCGATCTTTCCTTCCTGTCTTATTCACCAGATGGGTATTGTCTTTTCGCCGGCTACAATCGCGGATGGACGACGTGGAGTGTCTTTGGCAAGCTGGTAGGCAACAGTTTCACCTCAGACCGGTCTCTGGCCAAGTCGAAAGCGGAAGATTGGGTGGCTGGAGTCTCGCACGGCTGCTGGATCGGCGGTGGCTCAGATATCATCCTCGCTGCTCGTAACGATCGTCGCTTGTGGGTTTTGGAAACAGCACGGAGCTCTTTGACAGGGTGCTATTCATCTGCAAACCTCGCACGGGGCTTGTTACAGACGGGGACGGAAGTCATCCTGTACCGTGGCCATGATTTACCAGACCTCATGTCGATATCCGGCAAGGACTCTTTGTGGCATCATGCCCAATATCCCCCTGGTTACTTGCATTCCCAGTGGCCAATCCGCTCCAGCGTGGTCTCTCAGGACGGGCGATATGTAGCCATCGCCGGTAGACGGGGTCTAGCGCATTACAGCGTGAATAGCGGACGGTGGAAGATCTTTGAAGACCCCAAAATCGAAAACTCATTTGCTGTGCGGGGTGGCATGTGCTGGTACGGCCATATTTTGATCGCCGCCGTCGAGAGCGACGGTTCTTACGAGGTAGGTGCCACTTTGTAAAACGTTGGACGAGGCTAACGAGACAGCTACGACTATATTCCCGAGAACTCCCCCTGAACAACCATTCCATCTTGCACATAGAATACCTCCCCTCACCTGTGGTCTTCATCGGGCCGTCGGGCGAAGACTCCATCCTTGTTTATACCTACGACAACATCCTTTATCATTATATTATAAATGCGACGCAACCTCGGATTACATTGGTCCCGGTGGGCCAGATTGCCTTCAACGGGATTGTACGAGCGCCCACTCGAGTGCGGGCAATCAGTTGGGTCTTGCCTGATGATCAGATGCGTATGTTCCTCATCTTTCTCCCTGTTGAATCGACATGGTACTTATCAGTGCAGGCAATGGCGATCCATCTCAAGATGTCAAAGTTGCATCCGTGCTTCTCTTGGTTGATGGGAATTTGGTTCTACTCCAGCCGTCACTGTCTGATAGCGGTGACCTGAAATATGACATGCGGGTGGTTGCTCACGACGTCGAGTACTACATCTTGATGCGAGACCAGGTGTCCTTCAATTTTACTCAACCTATGGACGAGTCGCTTCCTCCCAGCCCGGCCGCCGAATTGGCTCTGAACATGTACCACAATAACCTTTCTCTGAGGGATTCTCTCTGGACGTTTTGTGGGAAGGATCTACTCGCGTGGGGTGATGTGCAGGACGTGCTGCGGCGGGAGGATGTGCCCAAAGCGATCGAAATGCCCTTGGACTTTTATCCGCTCTCGGTCTTGCTCAGCAAGGGTATTGTACTGGGTGTGGAATCAGAGATGATCCAGCGTCGGGATGTCACGTTCTCGGTGTTGAAGTTTGCCATCCGAGTATGTCCTCTCCCTTCGACATGAAATCCACTAGGCTAACCAGACAGACCCATCTATTCCTCCCCTACTTCCTCCAATACAGCCTCGTGAATGGCGACATGCCGTCGGCACTATCCCTCAGCCAGCACTTCGCGCACCTCTCCTACTTCCCGCACGCCCTAGAAGTCCTCCTCCACCACGTCCTCGACGACGAAGTGGACAACGAAAGCAAAGACAGCAAAACCAACGACCCGTCCCTAAAACACGACCCCCTCCTCCCCTCAGTCATCTCCTTCCTGCAAGCCTCCCTCCCTACAAAAGTCTACCTCGACATCGTCGTGCAGTGCACACGCAAAACAGAACTCCGCTCCTGGCGCACCCTCTTCACCTACCTCCCCCCTCCCAAAGACCTCTTCGAGCAAGCCCTCAAGCTCAACTCCCTCAAAACGGCCGTCGGCTACCTCCTCGTCCTCCAAGCCTTCGACGACGACGACAACGGCCACGAAGCCCCCATCGAAGACTACGTCGTGCGGCTCATTGCGCTCGCCTCGCACAAGAGCGACTGGGATCTGTGTGCGGAGCTCGCGCGGTTCCTGATCGCGCTCGACGGGTCAGGCGACATGCTGCGCCGGGCGGTGTCTCGAGCGGGTCTGCGCAACGGAAACGGCCAGGTGAACGGGTCTAGTACCAGCGTTAGGGGCCTGGGGCTGGCGATCACGCCGCCTTGGTCGACGTCCCCGGCTTCATCGCTGTCGTTGTCTATGGGAAGAGGAGAAAGCGGGGATGTATCCCCGCGCGGGGACATGTCGCCTAGTGCGGAAGAAGCGTTGGATAGGGTGGATGATTTGCCTTGACTTGCAGAATTGAATGTACATACCTGATTGATTTTGATTACATACCTTCTTCACACGTCTATATATGCTGTTATAGTTTCAATTGATTTATCATATCCCCCTAGACAGACAAAACGATATCAGGTATCATCAACCCATAACTAACTAAACTCAAGAAAAAACACTTAAAAGAAACAACCATACCACAAATAAGAAAGGAAACAGATCAACAAAAACCATACCATATCCGAAGAAACCCCCCTACCCCCCCACACCGAAGGTAAGGAAAAACTAATCAAGAACCATCCCCCACAACCCATCCCCCAAATAATGCCCCTCCTCCAAGGCAACCCCCTTCCCCTTCTGCTTGATCTCCTCCGTGCCGACCTTCAACGGCCCAACCAGACAAGCCAACTCCTTCCCCTCAGCCACAACAGCGACCACCGTGCCCGCTTCCAACTGATGTTCCGCATCGGGCAGCCGTCCACCGGGGGAGGTGAGACCCGGCGCCATGAGCGTCGCGCCGGACAGCACGAAGCGGATAGCGCCGCGGTCGATCTGGATGGTGGGGAGGGCGGAGGGATACGCGTGGACGAGTTTCAGGTGCGGGATGGGCGGGCCGTCTTGGGGTTGGTAGAAGAGGGGTTCGGTGGAGATTGAGTAGAGGGTGCACTTGTCTGGTCTGGTCGTTGTCTTCTGTCAGTTTCTTCATTGATAGATAGATAGATAGATAGATAGATAGATAGATATGTGTGTATACACAGTGGGTGATAGAAGGTGCGGAAAAAGGGGCGCCATACAGCTTCACAGCATCCAGCTGGGCCTTCTTCGGCAAGACCTCGTCGATATAAGGCTCGAAACCGGGGTGCGCGTCGAGGAATTTCTGACGCAGGCCGCGCTGGACGGAGGATTTGACTTTTGAGCGCGCGGAGGGGGCAAGACTATTTTACCGTTCTGTTAGCTTATCATTCTTGTCTTTTTTCTCCTCCATAATCAGAGTCAGAGTCATTTCTTCTTCATCGTCTTCTTCTTCTCTTCTGCATGACAGCTATGTCCTCCCTTGACTGGGGCGAGGAGATTGATGCTTGCTGATGAGGGGGAGTGCAGGCGGGGTTATATTTTTTTCTTCCTGTGTTCTTTTCTCTTTTGTTTTCTTTCTGTTTTCTTTCTCCTTGTGTTTGCCCTCTGGTACTAAAGACACGGCAACTAGACACATTGGGTCAACTCACTCCTTTTTAAACATGATGGCGGTGCTGGTGTTATATGGTGTGTTGCAGACTGTTGCAGTACTGAGAGCTCCGCTGGCGCGGGGAAGTTGTCATGTCACGTGACATTTTTACGGCGGTAAAAATAAGATACTACATCATATCATGTCGGGTCTGGTGATGGTAGGTATACGATGGTATATGATGGGGCCTGGTGTCTGAAAACGGAACTACGATTACGATGTACAGTCCAAGATACTGAGAAACTGAAAATCATGCTACGATCGGGTACATTCAGATACTAATACTTTTATTCATCTATTTATCTGTTTATCCACGTGCAGCACCCGCCTTGATCAACAAGACATCGCCGTCCTCGACGACGTATTCCTTGCCCTTGGTCATGACCTTGCCGGCCGCCTTGACAGCGGACTCGTCGCCGAGCTCGCGCAGGGTTTCATAGTTGTAGACGACAGCCTGGATGAAGGTCTTCTCAAAGTCGGTGTGGATGACACCGGCCGCGGCGGGCGCCTTGATGCCCTTGCGGATGGTCCACTGGCGGACCTCGTCCTCACCGGTGGTGAAGAAGCTGGCCAGGTTGAGCACCTTGCGCATGGTGGTGATGACCTTGGGCAGACCGGACTTGGTCTCCAGCTTCTTGCACTCCTCCTCGGCGGCCTTCTCGTCGCCGATCAGGGTCAGACGCTCCTCGAAGCAGGCCGAGATGGGCAGCAGAGGATCGCCGGGGGAGTTGGTCTTGACCCACTCAAAGACCTTGGGCAGGTACTTGTTCTTCTGGCGGATGTAATCCCTCTCACTCAGGTTGACCAGATACACGACCGGCTTGGCGGTGAGCAGCAGAAGGGGGTTGATAACCTCGACCTGGATTCATCATTAGCGAGTTGCCAAGCAGAATCGTGAAGATCAATGGCAGAATGTGAATTGGTATCAGATTGGATGTTCTCTCATGGCACCTCTACGTGAGTTTATAAAAAATGAGGTACTCGACGAGCTGGGATTATAGAGCGAACGCTCTTGTTCATCATAATAGGCAACCCCGAGGGGTAGGACGGAATGGGATAAAAAGGGATACAAAGACAAAGAAAAGAATGATAAACGTACCTCCTTAGGAGCCCAGTCGCCGTGTCTGACATCCTTGCCAGCCTGCAGGTGAGCCAGGATCTTCTCAACGGTCGCCTCCTCCTCACGGAGCTTCTTCATCTCCAGGGACTGGCCACCACGACGAGTCTGCTTCTTCAGGTTGTCGAGAGCCTTCTCGGTGAACTCGATATCCTTGACGCGCAGCTCCTCGCTGATGATGTTCAGATCACGCTGGGGGTCGACATCACCCTCGACGTGGATGATCTCGGCGTCGTCGAAGCAACGGACGACCTGGAAGATGGCATCGACGGCACGGATGTGCGACAAGAAGGAGTTACCGAGACCGGCACCGGTGGAGGCACCACGGGTCAGACCGGCGATATCATAGACCGTCAAGTTGGCGGGGACGCGCGACTTGGGCTTGTAGTGCTCACAGAGCCAGTCGAAGCGGTCATCGGGGACGATGACACGAGCCTCTTCGGGGTCGATGGTGGCATAGGGGAAGTTGGCCGGGTTACCCAGGGAGGACTTGGTAATAGCCTGGAAGAGGGTGGATTTACCGACGTTGGCCAGACCAACCTACATACTGTTAGGTTCCTGCATGGAAGACTTCATGACAGTCCATAATGGGAGTCACATGGTGAATGTGAAAGAAAGGAAGACCAAGAAGTCCAGGAAGGGGGAAGGACAGGTTTAAATAGGAGAGAGTGCGGAAGAAAGAAAGAGAGAAAAAAATTAAGCGGGTGGGCAGAAAAAAAAAAAAAAAAAACAAACCCGCCAAGAAAGAAAAAAGAAAAGACAAGGCGGTGTGCTCACATACGATACCACTCTTCAGGTTGTTACCCGGACGGCCCAGCATGACCTTCTCCTGCACCTGCGCCTTCTTGGGAGGCATTTTCTTGTTCTTGGATTTTCGTTTACTAGAATAGAAACGAGAAGAAAGGAAAGAAGTGGGGGGACGGGTAGGGAAGAAGGAAGAAGAAGTGAGGGAGGAAGCAAAGAGGAGGGATGAAGAGGGAGAGGAAGAAGAGGGGAACCGACCGGCTGCGGACGGGCAGAGGAAGGAGTGAAGAGGGGCAGAAAGCAACAGAAGCCCCGCGGGAGTTTTGGTGCGCGACAGTTTGGCGGTTGGCAGAATGGCCGTCTTTAGTAAGGTAGTGGTGGTATGGAGTGGTGGTAGTGGTGGTAGTAGTAGTAGAGGGAGAGAGGTACGGGCGGAAGTTGGGAAGAAGACTCGCCTAGCCTCACCGCCCACGTGCCTTACCAACCCTGACCCGAATAGCTTCATAGAACAGACAAGGTATAGATATAGTTTAGAGAACAGGAGAAAAATGAAAATGAAAATAAATAGTCAATCAGTGATCCCCCCCACTATCCCAAACCCCAATACGCCAGAACAAGTACATCCCATCCCCTCTTCACGTCTCCATCGCATCCTCATTATCCACCATTCCCAGCAGTTTCGCATACGGCACCGTCACCCGTTGCAGATCGCGGTGTTTCCCTAGACCTCAGTTAGTATGCATATCTCATCGATCGAAAAGGATAGGAATGAACAAAAAAAAAAAAAAAGAAAAAAAGCGAGAAAAGAGAACAAGGGAAAACATACCCAACGCTAAGATCACCTCCTTCAACAACACCTCCCGTGGCCAGCCACAAAGAGTCTCCGAACTCTCGCGCCAGTTCCGATCATCTGCCCGCGAGCCCATCCGACGAGCCACCGTCCCCGCATCGTCCTCGCTGTCATCGCCGGCGCCGTCGCCTTCGTCCTCGGCCTGTTCATCCTCCCCCTCCTCCTCGAACAACCCCCCAATCAACCCCTTCAGCAACTCCTCCACCTTCCCCTTCAGCCCCTCCGCTCCAATCCGCTTAGCGTACATCGATAAGTAAAGACGGAACTCCTCCTTCGCGCCCAGCGACAACGCCGCCGCCACGCGGTTCTCCAGGTGCGCGATCGACACGCTCGACTCGAACCCTTCGTATCCCTCCCGCGACAGCAGCACCTTGATCAGTCGCTGCAGGAAGTAAGCCCGGCCGCGCAGCAGCGTCTCGTTGGTGGTGTTCCGTTCCAGGAATGGGACGATCCCCGCTGATACGGCCGCTGCGGCCGTCGCTGGCTCGCGTGGCTGTGGGCCACGCCGCGCCTGTAGGTTGCCTACGGGGGCTTCTGTCGTGTTCCAGTACTGGCTGCCCACGGCCCACCACGCCTCGGACACGCGCTGCCAGGTGAATAGTGACGGCGAGTAGACGTAGCCCTCGCCGTTGGACAGCGCCACGACCACGCGGCCCTCCGAGTTGACCCGAGCGTTCGTCACCGACGGCGCGGAAGACGGGTGCGCTCCTAGGCTGTGTACCGCTGCGTCCAGCACCGGCTGCAGCGAGATGGGCGGGTGCGGCGACGACAGGTTCTTCACGTTCCACACGTAGCACATGCCCACGGCTGAGATGCACAGGATCCACGGCCCGTGGCACTCCAGGATCACTGGCTGCGCTTCGAGTACCAGCGCGCTTACCAGACGGCGCCCCGCCGGCGTCCAGATGTAGACTGACCCGTCTTCGCAGCCTACAGCCCACATACTCTGATTGCCTGTCGCCAGCAGAGCCGTCCGCGGCAGGTAATCCTGCCACAGCGGCTGCTCGCCCCGGGACAGGGTGAGCCGCACCGGCTCTCGGTCGACGGCGCGCCCCGTCAGGCTCGCCAGGGACGGGTTGCGCACTTCGAACACCACTTCCGCGCGCGACTTGCTCGACTCCCCCGATGCACTGGGCGGCTCCGTCGGCTGGCCCGATGAGTCGATGGCGCGCAGGATCTGGCTGCGAACCTTGGGGACGGCCAGCCGCAGCTGGCTGATCGACATGCACGGGTTCGTCACCGCCGGCCGGATGAACTCTGGGGTCGGTTGCTGTCCCGTCGCCGCAGGTTGCGGCTGAGCCGGGAGCAACCCGTCGGGCGTGTTGGCCAGAATCGGGGTGGCTCCATTCTGGCTGGCGACGGCCACGCGTTTCTCAACGTGTCCATCCTCGTCTCCCTCGATCTGTGCCAGTTTGCGCTTGTTCCCGAACAGCAATGCCGCCAGTCCGCCCTTCGGCAGCCCGTCGAACGGCTTGGACAGGTCGACAATCGACTGCGGCGTATCGGCCTTCACCTGGCTGCTGACCGACGCCATCAGCCGCGCCTGCGGCAGAGACGACTCGGCAGCGCCAGCTCCGGATACCAGTAGCGGGGCGATGCGTTTCTTGCCCTCCTTGGTGTAAGTCGGGCGTTGTTTGAGTCGTTCCAGCTTGGCCTGGTAGGGGTCCGGTTTCTCTGGTTCTGGAGCTTGCGGGGTTGCTGATGTTCCGTTCGCTTGGCTCTTCTGGGTATCGGGAGCGGGAGACGGGGCGCGCGCTGGTGTCGTTCCGTTCGCCGGCGCAGCTTTCCCATTGACCACGCTATCGGAAGCCGCATGGTCGTCACCCATCAGGGCGCCCATGCGACCCTCGACAGCCTTGCTCTCCCCAGCCTTGCTCTTCTCCTCGAGGAGCAGTCCGTCCGTAGTCTCTGTGATCCCAGCGCCCCTTCTGTTGGTACCGAACTTCGTAAGGGATTTTTCATTCTCCTCCATAGCCATCGCGAATCCCAGATCCCCATCTTCAAAACGCACAGCCAGGATCGTCCCGTCCAAGGCCGTCGCATAAAGACACTTCCCATCCGGAGTCCAGGCAAGATCCGAGATGGACTTGGCCGCCAGCTCTTGCGCAACGACAATGGGCCGCGGATTGCTGGTGATCCATATGCTCAGCGACTTATCACCCCCGGCGCACGCAATAACGGTCACGCTAGGCGCCGGGTGGTCGGACTGTTTGTTGCTCGGTTGCATAGAATAGAGCCGAGGAGAGAACGCGCAAACTTCAACCGGCGCTTCATGCCCGATCAGGTTGATATCTCCGTCCCACGATCCACGGTTAATGATGGCGACGGAGCTAACAGGCCCATTCACGGCATTAGCCGCGGCGATATGCATTCCATCCGGGGACCATGAGCACCGTCGGAAGTATGCCGTCAAGGGCGAGTTCTGGAAGGGAGCAGTGATGGTGTGTTCCAGGACGAAGTTGTTCATCTGGTCGTGGGCGGTCGAATTCGGAGCCGGGGAGGTGAAACGGAAGATCCGAACAGTTCGGTCGTCACTGGCCGTAGCGAAGTACTTGTTTGCCGGGTCGAACGTGATCCCCTTGACGTGACTTTGATGGACAGACAGCGTCTTAAGCTTCTCAAACGTGTGTCCCGACCACACGACCACTTTCGAATCCAACCCAACAGACACCAGTATCGACGAATCATACGACCAGCCCAAGTCCTGCACATCGTTATCGTGACCGATCAATCTCCGAATCGTGCGCCAATTTTCCACGGGAGGAGCCTCATTTGTCCCTAAAAACAAACAAAAAAAAAAGACAGCATCAGTGCCCATCCCTCAAGATCGCAAATCCAATACGCAAATCCAGTACATACCAAAGGTCGAAGCATGCGACGGCGGGTTCGCATCCAGTGAATAAATACAAACAATCTTATCGTCCGCCCCAGACGCAAGGTACTTGCCGTTCGGCGAAAAGCGAACCGTATGGATCGTCCCTGAATGGTTACTCATGGACGCCAGCTGCTTCGGTTTGCCCGCCGAGTCGTCCGTGTCGCAAATCGCTTCCGTCGACCAAATCCGCACGTATCCGTCTGTATAGATGATGACAATACCGTTAACACCCATCCGGTTGGCTAAGTTTGTATGCGTGTGTACTAACCTCCGGCTGCGGTGACTAGGCGGCTTCCATCGGGGGATACATCGCAGCTGTAGACTTCGAAGTCTTTTCTCTCGCCTGTATTCGAAGCAGTAACGGTTAGTCAGTCACGTCGGTGGTTCAATATTCCAGTTGTATTCAAAGAGGGGACCTGTGCTAGACAGGCACGTCGTGGCTCCGAAAAAGAAGGAAAGAAAGAAGGAAGGGAAAGCCTACCTCCATGGGTCAGCCAAACCGGCTTGATAATATGCATCGTGAGACCTCTTCCGTTTAGTCCTTCCTCTCAGTTTCAACAGCTCTGCACTTCTTACGCAGGCAGGTTCTTCTTCGGGGTCAATCAATCAATCACAAGTAGGTAGACGTGGACTCAAGACAGGAGCCGAATCGGATCATCGCAGAGCAGCCACGTCCTCGGCTTCAAGTCATGCAACAAAAGAAAATCAATAAGCAAGTGAAGGCTTCCAGTCCAGAATACCCGTTTGTGAGTAGAAGAAATGAATTCCAGACGGGAGAGAGAACGGCGCAATAAGTGAAGACGCGCGAACCAAAGAAAGGGCCGGGGTGCAGGTAAGTTCCCAAGCGCGCGCCCGCCTTTCCAGAAAAGTCGCGATCTCCAGATGGTCGGGAGGCCGGTGGTCCGAGCTTTGCCTTGGGCGGCCTGATTGGCTGGGTTGGTTTAATTGGATTATCCATTTTTATATGCTACAATTGCTACAATTGCTACACGTAATGTGCTTTCATGGGGATGATCTACGGGTTAATTGGAACTACCAATGACTTATGTATCCACCGTGGTACATCATACACAGAATACAACATGTCTCGCGCGATCAGAAGATTTGAAACTATGCAGCATGTCCAACCATAGCTCGCTCCTCTGATTTTCGCGAGTCAATCTACCCCCTATCTGGCGCCATGAAATGGATGACAAAGGAAAGACTCAGAAAACAATCGAGGTCGATACTAATACAATGCGATATGGGACAAGAATGGCCTCTCCCAGAGTTAGAGGGCAGTCGAAGAGTGGAGGAAGCGAAGAAGGATTCGAGGAGTATCATAAGGAAAGAACAAAAATTCAAATGCAAGATCAGACCGCCGCGCCATTACTGTCTGGGGTGGCTGGTCTGCTCAAAGCCCTCCAACACCGTGTCCGAAACCCCACGAGGGCTCCCGGATGTCCCCTCAATCTCCGATTCGAGCTCAGGCTCGTGTCGGCGTCCCGTATCCTTCTCGGACTTGTTGGCCTGGGCCCCCTGCTGCGGCTTCTCCTTCACTCCGAGAGTCTTGGCCGCGATACTGCGCGCCTGGGTGTCGCTGACTTTGCCGTAGACGGCCATCGCGTTGGCAATCATTCCGCCCAGATCACCGACGTTGCCCGGGACCACGACGGCAGTGCCCTCCTTAGCCAGGTTGGAGAACGCATCGACGTACTTCTCCGCCACGCTGAGACTAACAGCACTGTGGGCATTCTCCTTACCCTCCTCGATAGACCGCGCAACGGCCTCAATCCCCCGTGCTGTGGCCTGCGCCCTCAACATGATCGCTTCAGACTCACCAGCAGCGCGGTTGATCTGCTCCGCGCGCATAGCCTCCGAAGCGAGGATAACAGACTGCTTCCGGCCTTCAGCGATGTTGATCGCACTCTGGCGCTGACCTTCGGAGTCGAGAATTTCAGCCCGCTTGGACCGCTCGGCAGTCACCTGGCGATGCATGGCCGCGACAACACCGTCGGGGGCGTGAATGTCCCTGATCTCGTATCGCAAACAGACGACGCCCCAATCCTGCGCCGCCTCGTTGATAGCCTGCGTGATGTTCGTATTTAAGGTGGCACGCTCCTTGAGAACGTGGTCGAGCGTGAGCTGGCCAATTTCGGAACGCATCGTCGTCTGGGCAAGCTGGGAGATGGCATATTCAGCGTCTTCCACACCGTAACTATTATCCGTTAGTCCAATCCCGAACTCAACCTAACCCCAACCCAGTAAAAAAAAAAAAGAAAAGAAAAGAAAAGCCCACCTCGCCTTAAACGCATCAAAGACCCTCGTATAAAGCACCCCATCCAACTCCAACGTTACATTATCCGCCGTAATAGCATTCTGACTTGGAATCTCAATAGCGGACTCCTTCAAGCTCTTCACATAAGCAATGCGATCCAAGAACGGAATCAGAATCGCCAAGCCCGGTTCCAAAATCCGATGGAACTTGCCCATGCGCTCCACGATCCACGCCGTCTGCTGCGGCACGAACCGCACGACCGTGTTGACGGGCAGCGCGGAGCGGTTCGCGAAGTACGTCGCTGGGGGCCCACCGCCGCCGCCACCGCCGCCGCCTAGCTGGCCGCCTGTGCCGAAGTTGAGGAGGGAGTTCTCGGGCGCGGCGGTGCGGCGGGTTGTGGAGAGGTCTCGTCGGCGGATGCGGTTGATGGTTGGGATGGCGGATTTGGAGAGGTGGGTTGGGTGGTGGGCGAATAGGCGGGCTGCTGCTGCGGCTGTGGAGGGCCGGAGCTGCCTCACTGTTTGCCTAGAGGCCACTTCCATGGTGAAGGGGTAATGGAGGGAGTATTGGGTTAAAAGGTGGTTCGATCGAGAGAGAAGTGTATAGGTGGAAGCTGGAAAACGTGCTCGGGCGTAACTGAGGGAGCTGGGCGGATTACTTAGTCGAGTCTAGCACTTTCGATCGGACCGGACTGGGGTCAGTGCCTCAGGCATGATATTGCTGAGTCAGCTATCATTTCGTCCAGCTTATAGTTGTATACAGATGGGATGCTGTTGCAACACGGATGCAGGAGCTATAGAGATTCAATTGTCAGTAAATCTACATTATCCCGACTGTGGACTATCTAGAAATCATAAATAGTGCAACACGTCATCTACAGAACATCCAGAGAGTCCAGCACCATTGCACGTCATCAAAACATTCATGATGTACCTAGCACATTACTTTCACAGGATATACGTAACCGGCCCATCTTATGCAAAAAAAAAGAAAGAAAATAGAAGAAGGGGGAGAAGAAGAAAAGAAACCACTCCTGGCAGGCTATGAAAGAGACACAATCCTTCCCTGGACAGGATCTTCAACTCCATGCACGAAAACACCTTGCACCGCCTGGCAAACTATAAGAAAAGGATGGGAACGAGTATGCTGCATTCAATTTTTTTTGTCTTGAGAGAGACCCCGATAGCGCCCGGCTTTGTAAAATCAAGAATTTTTTTTTTTTGGTTTTGGTTTTTGGACTGGTTTTCTCGTTTTGTGTTCCATTGGTGCTAGAAATCCAGATTTCAGAGTGCATGAGTGGAAAATAATCATCGCAGTATTAGCAAATCAAAGGCAAATGAGAAAATTCGAGACAAATGATAAACCGGATAAACACTCTATGGTCGTGGGAATAAAACTCAGCCCGGCGCACCACAAAGGAAGCATCAAGGTCAGGAGATACTGCCCAGTCAAACATGCCCGGACTCCAGAATTTTAATAACCTCCCATGACTGAACAAAATATGAGATAAAAGAAAAAGAAATGAAGAGAAAAAAGAGAAGAAGATAAGAGGGAAAAAGAAAAGAATTGAAAGACAAGCCGAGATATTGGACGTGCAAATATCAATCCACTCTGATGGCTGCTTTGCAGTCGACAGCTCGACAAAACGTAGTTAAATGCAAAAGCTGACAGATAATAATGCAAGTCATGATCAATGTAAAAGGCAGAGGAAAGAGAGGTAAAAAGACCCGCGAGATAGAGAAAGATATATGACCGATAGAAGAAGAAAAAAATAACAAAATCAACTTTTCCAGCTCGTCTGTCCAGCTAAGACCCAGAATGCAGTCCACCTTTTTTTTTTCTTTTGCGACTTTGGAGAGAAGACGCACCACAGAGGTGAATCAGAGTGGCTTTTAAGTCTGCGGTGGAACTTCGTCCGCGCCCATATCAGCATGCTTCCAGGGAAAACACGGCAAGGCCAGCTGATTGACAAAAAAGGTGACTGTCAAACCGAAGGAATCGCTCGGGCTGAGGCTGACGTTTCCGTATCGAGATCATCAAACGCTAGACTCTTAAATTCATTGTACATTTGTGCATGGAATTTTGGACCAAAATGCGACCAAAATTGGTGCAAAACATCGATATCACGGTCACCATCTGCGGGCGCCGTGGTAAAAAAAATTCGTGGAGGATTCGTTTTCGGAAAATAGGACATGGTAAAATCACGGACTGGATAAGACCGAATTTTTTTGAGAAATCTCCCTTCTCAATCCCAGGTATGGGCAGGCGAGCTCCTAAGAACGAAAGCTATATCACCGTTAGTATTTTCTGTGGGGAGGATGAAGCCTGGACGGTCTCTCAAAATCACTGTCCGCTAGTGGAATCGAACTTACTGGAAGGATCTGCACTCAATGGCCCGGGATAAAAAATGGAGACTGGTGATGGGGAGGGAAATTTAAGCCGCATGCTATTCAAATTGTCAACACAGGATTATTGACTGTGGAAACGTTCAAATGATGATCTTACGTTTGCAACCTCGGTCTGGGCATTCAAGGCGTTGGACGGCGAGAACTCCGGGGCAGTAGAGGACAAGGACGTCTTGGGGACATGCGACTCAGCTGTGCCATTGGACTGGTGCTGGGGAGAAACGCCGTTGGTGGTCCCATTGACATGCTCATCGGACTTGGCAGAACTGGGCGCGAACGAGGGACCGTCGTGCTGCGCAGAAGGGTCCCGTTGGTCCACGGGGAAGACCCACTGCTCCCACTTGTCTCTCGGCCGCAATCGATCAACGCCATCGTCCCCGCAGACGTGGTCAACGTTCCGCAACTGGCGGGAAACATGGCGGAGAAGCTCGAAGTCTTCGGTCAAGGACTTGATGCGCTTAAAGCTAGCGATGAAAGACAACGCCACGAAGCCCTGGGTGTCCATGTGCTTCCGGAGGAACAGGTCCTTGCACAAGTTATCAACGGAGAAATAATACTCTAGCTGCATCGAGATCATGCTCATAAGAGAGAAGGGCTCCATGTACTGCTGGTACGGAACGGCGGTCATCGGACCAGCATGCATGGGGTGATAGCCGTACATGGTGTTGATATCGGCGGGGAAGGGGTAGACACCGTACATAGCGGCCGAGTTCGGCAGCGACGGCGACCTCAACGGCATCCGATGGTTCTGCGACCCATTGGGCATGCCATGTTGCTGCGACCGCTGACGGTCATTGAAGCCAAAGGATTTCGGATGCATGAAGGTGTGGTGCGACATGTGGTTGTTGGGGAATTG